GCCGATGGCAAGCTTGAATTGTTGCAGCAAGTGAGCAGTTGTCGGGGATTCGATATTGAACCACCAGCCTGGCATCTGGCCAAGACCACCAACGCGAGCACCAATACCCAAAGCTCCCTTGCGGCCAAATTCGACAGCGACCAAACCGAAAGGCTCGTCCCGAGATGGGATCAAAGCGAATTCGGCACCGGAGAAAATGCACGGCGGGAGAGCAGTGAACTCAGGTTTGGAGAACACACGTCCAGGGTAAACCTTCATCATGCGCTCGAGCTTGAGCGCGGCAAATTTGCCATACAGGTCGATGATTGGACCGACGCAAACCAGCTGCACATTAGGTCGAGCCTCCAAGACAGCAGGCATCACGTCAGCGATCAAATCAACGCCCTTCTGATGGGACCATCTTCCGACGAAAACCAGAAGGTCGGCATTAGGGTTTTGGTCAAGGCCTGCCCATTCCTGCGCCTGGCGTTTGAGAGCTCCACGGCTGTCCTCGTAAGCCTGGTCCACCTGGACATCAGTCGCGTTTTGCATGTCACGGCTCCATGCTCCAGTATCCGATGGATCCGGGTTGGGCAAATTGCCGACCTTCTTCAAGCCCCAGAAAATGGGATAACGAGCATACGACCGCTTTCCGTACTTCCTAGAGACACCCACAGCACCGAAGCCTTGCTGATGAACACGGAGATAGCTCGCACCAGCATGAAGCATGTTGAACACTTCTCCGAATTGGACATAACGTCTTGCCGTGTCGAGATCGAGATTGAATACTGAACAGACCTCGTCGCGTTCCTTCTGGGTTCGCATGGGCCACAGTCCCTGAAATTCGGCGTTGTGAAGCGAGAGACACACGGGGGTGGTTTGAGGAAGAAGGTAAAGCGGCGCAATAGATCCGTGGTAGTCATTGATATGGTACAGGTCAGGCGAGAAACGCTTCAATGCTTCTGCAATACACTGATTCCAGGCTGAGTAGTAGATGGCGCTGTCCAAGTCGTCCATACGCGCGGGATACGGTTCAGACTTCGTCTGCTGGCGGAAAACGGGAGCATCCAAAAGAACGTATGTGATGTTGTTCAGCACATGGTACTGAACCTTGACCTCATAGGGGTTGCCAAGAACGGTCACGAACATGGAATCGGCAGGCTGATCCCTGGGGTAATTGATGCCGCCAACGCAAGGAACAACCCAAACCAGATTCTGGTCTCCGAGATGCTTGCCCATCAGCTGGGCCATGACACCCAGACCACCGATTTTGATTTTGATCGCCCAGTCTTCAATGTCGTATTCCATGGTGGCAATGAGAGTGGTTCGTCGTTGAGCGGCTTCTGTGCCGAAGGCAGGGGTACTCTGGAGGAATCCCGACTTGTTGGCGAAACGAGTCAGGGGATTGCTCGAGTCACCAGCAGCACCGGAGGCAAATTTTCCGCGGAAGAAGGATTTCTTCTCCACAACACCCACTTGATTGAACTTGACCTGGTAGAACGATTTCATGAAGGCGTAAACACAAGCTGCAGCTAGTGCAATCGGGACAAGCCAAAGAAGAACATAAATGGCAATCTGGGTGGGCCGCGATCCTACCGGCTCAAGGTGAATGCGAAGAGTGCTATCGTCAAGGCGCAGATTCCAACCGAGATAAGGCGACGGGGGGATTTTCGTGATGTTGACCACCGTGTCACTTTGCGACGAAGGAGGCATGCGATCCAAGACAAGGTCCCCGTCCACATCACCGTAAACCCAACTCTGGTCCGGTTGCCCATCCGGGTTCATCCCCCAGACATTGTACTGAGCTTGGGCGGGGTACTCCGCCATGAATTTGCGAGACCACAGCCCGTCCTTGTCCTGGTAGACGTTGTTATCCAACCCAGCATCGTATCCGAATTGATTGTACGGGCCGTTGAAGTAGAGGTGAGGGAAGCGTCGAGGTCGATCATAACCAACGTCGCCCTCTTGAACGTAGTCACTGCTTCCACTCAACTTGCTCCAGTACTCGACCTTCACGTGCTTCCCTTGCCACTTTTGCTTGTCTGTCCCCGACCAGGGAAGTTCCTCGATGGTGTCCGTACCGCCGTGGTAGTCTTTCCACTCAGAGAAAGATGTGCCCCAGTTTGTCGAATAGCGGTATTTATCAGCGCCCGCTGCGTTATGCTTGATGCGCAGCTTACCACCGTCCTCTTCTTGCAATAGCGAGGTGGAATAGTTTGCCGATGTAAATACCACGGGGTTATCACGCTGACCCACGCGGATCAAGAAGTGATCGACAGCATGCGTAGAACCGCCGCCAGACGAGCTGGCCGCGTTCTTCACCGTCATTCGATGTACACCGTTGTATACACCCGTCAGTTTTGCCGACCAGACCCATGCGTTTGGAATTTGACCAGTCCAGCTCGTTTTGCCGGGATTAACCGCTTTGCAGTCGACGCTTCCTTTGGAAACTGATGGCTTTTTGCCAGCCTGATGAGTGGTTGATTGGAAAGATATAGATTTGGTCACACCATCACAGTCCATCTTCTCAGAGAAGTATATGCTCACGTCGATATCCTCTGAGTCATTGGGACCGACCTTCGACACTTGGGGCACATCATGACCTGGCTTGATTTGGGTGATCATGGGTCGAGGACCATGGAAACTGTCCTTGTTTACGAAAGCCTTGAATTCAAAAGGCTTGAACGTCAGATGTTCGAGGCAGCCATTGGTGGCATTGGAGCCGTTAAGGTGAAGAGCCTTTGGCCCTCCCAGAAGTTCGTATTCATCGTGGGGGTAAAACAAGTTCTTCACGGTCGTTCCGTGGGTGAAAGCGGAAATCAAGGCCGTTTGGTTGCGCTTGCAGTCGAATTTATAATCCACGGTCTTGTTGGCATTGTGGTACACTAACCACACGGGTTGATTATCGCTTTCAGTGCCCAAATCCTGGACCTTCGCAACTCGATCCCGCAAGACCGACCACATGCCAATCTCCGTGGCAGTGCCATTTGAGCCCGGGTATTGGACTTCGCGAGTCTGATTTGACAGCTTCACCACGGAATACCCGTCGTTAAGGACAGGGTAGTCATGTCGCATCTGGAACATGTGCTTGATAATGTTCCTGATTGGATGAGACGGGTCACGGTGGTCATAAGCAACGGCGTCGTCATTGCACCCTTCCCGACCTTTGGTGATTGGCCAGTCGTGATACTGCGAGGCATCGAGAGAGAAGCACCCATGATTTTTCCATGCGGTAGCAGGAGACATCGCTTGGCGGCCGTAAACATAGTTTGGCGCAGTTGCATCCAAAATGTAGAAGCCTTGCTCTTCTCCCCACAGCAAGATAGGGATCCCAGGGAGATGCAAAGTCGTGATGAAGTGCCCCATCAATTGCCTCTCGACACCAAAATCAAGGGCGGGCCAGCGGAACACATCTTGGTTGGTCGCTCCATACATGTGTCGGGGGTCAAATTTGCCTGTGTTGGCGTTGATCAAGTCGTTGGTCATGACCATCACGTTCCACGCATCGGTCCAATCCAGCGGCGTATCGTAACCTGCGGCCAGATTGCCATCAAGCCCAAGAAATCGTGTCAGGGTACGATATATTGAATAATGGAAAGCGGATCCGTCCAGGGCCGACAGGCTGCCGTCACGGATGAAGTACTGCTGGTTCGACTTGTTCGTCATACCCATAGCGTCCATCGAGGAATCGGGCCATTGGTCGGGCCGTCTACCACGGCCAAGGTAGATAGATCCGAAGGTATTTCCACCAGTTATTTCGCCGGGGAGGAAGAAGTTGTCCTTGCCAACGCTACGAGCACATTCTCTGTAGGCTTCAGACATCTCAGCAAGGGCATCCACGGTGGCTTGGGTCGCCTTATCGTAACGGAAACCATCGATATCCAGAGCCTTGATAATCATGCAAGAGTGTTTAATCAGTTTCTCGCGGACAGGATCATGCCATTCGCGCAGACGGTCTTGAACTGAAGCGAATTTGGCTAGTTGACGCTGCCAGTCGGGGTAAACACCGAAGGCTTCTCTGTCGCCATACTGGTCGAAATCACTGTCGTAGCATCCCACGAGCTTGTCATCGACCTTTTTCTCGACCGGAAACCCCGTTTCGTCCCAGAACTCGGGGTATTTACACGTCTTGTTGTAGGTATTGCCAGGGCGGAAGTCAACATATTGTCGTTCAGATTTCCATACTGACTCGTATTCCTTGACTGAGAACGGAGTGGTCTCGTTCAAGTGCCCTTTGAAGCCAATCAAATCACCCATGCTATGCTATTGTCAGATCCTGAATGCGGCAGAGAAACATCCTTGAAGCTCCAATGGCACTTACGTCGCAATGGTATTGTCAAATACCACATACATCCCTCGCTTGTGGATTTCCGAAATTGCGTCCCTCCAGACCTTGATGTTTCCATAATGCTGGTCAAGAAGGGTGGTATCGAGGATGGAGTAACCGTCGGCGCCCCAGGGTTGATTCATCAAAATGGTCCCTGCCAGGTAGATCCCCTGAACGACAATTAGCTGTCAGAAAACAAGAATCAATAGCCTTAATTATACAGGCATACCTTGATTCCCATTCCCTGAAGATAGTCCAATGTATCAACCAGGCCAACCGCATCACCTCCATGGCGCATCTGGGTCGAGCTTAAATCATGTTCGAAGCTGGTTCCGTTGATGTTGTCGTTGGTAGGATCGCCATTGACAAATCGGTCAAGAAACAAGGTGTAGAACGGGAACCGCCAGCTCTTTGGCGACTTGTGATATTTGTGACCCTTCCATTCTGTGTGGAAATAGTCGACGGGGTCGGTAGCGTCTTTGTTGGCGTTTAGGTTATAGTCAACCAGAGATTCCTCGTAGGGCCAGCCTGTCGCTGTTGTTGCGAGTAGCGCCAGCAATGAACTCGCTATCCCCCACTTCATCATAGACGGTTCGTATAATGAACCGTTTCCCTTCCTGGCTTGTTTAAACAGCCCGCATGTGGTTGGAAGAGACCAGAGGAGTATTTATGGGAAGGGAAAACCTGAGAGCACGCTTCGGCGAGGAAAAGGAAAATAAAAAGGATTCTAAAAAAGGAACTTCCTCGAGAGTGATTTGCACCTCTCCACCTCTTGGCCTCTTTTTGCTCAAAAGCGGAGCCGTTCAAGACCAATCTGATATCCAATTATGAGGACCAGTGGGCTGGGAGAGAAAGGAGCCACCGAAAAAAGTAGCGAGGGGGAATGGAACAATAAAGAATAGTGGAATGAGAAGGTACAAGACCAATATGCCCGAATATTTGCCCGAAGAGATGCAGGAAAGAAGCTGAACTAGAAACGAGTGGGAGACCGTGTTATGGGATGTGATATCTGGTGGGACAAGGGGACAGAAAGGTCTGATATCGCCTGGAACAAAAGAAAACGAATGCCGATCATTTCTATACTGTGTCATTATGATGCTATAAGCAGACAGATAGTCTGTCGGCTTGCGGGAGAGGTAGATGGATGGGTAGGCGTCGAGATGCATCTGTTCCTTGAGTGGCCCAGTGGGGCACCGGGGGCTTCGCTCACAGCAAGCCACCGATCAACCATGATGACTTGGGTCACATCATTCGCGGTCCGAAATAAAAAACCATAGAAGAACTATTAGCTTCCAGTCAAGCAGGATGGGATGAATGGGGCAAGGGGAGCCATGGAAGCCTACAAACGAGGACAAACCGGATGTGGGCCAGTGGCTCTGCCCTGTACTATCTCCTGCACATTGTATGTACGCATGGTGATACCTAAATAAAATATACCCTATGCAGTATTGTCAGTAGGCAAGTAAAATCGAATTGTGAACAGAGTAGAGGAGGATGGTTGTGGAGGGAACAAGTTGGTGGTCAGTACTCCGGAGTATGTTCGAGGAAAGTTTGGTTCTATTTCGGGTGGTGGATCCATCCAATATGGGTCCGCGCTCTCTTTCACAAACCTACGCCGTTTTATTCGAATTGAGATTTATTCAAGCATCCTTTTTTTCTTTTAGAATTAAAAAAATACACTTAATTTAATTTAACTTAATTACATTTCTTTCCAAAGCATATTTTCATTTATTCCAATGGCTGGTATTATCCTTCCGCTTTACTTGTTCAATCAACCCTCATTTGTATATGATCATCATTTTCCAGTCCAGCATATCAAACATCACTAGCGGCTCAAAGCACGACCGCAGATCCCATCAATGAAAGCTCGGCTATCCCGTGTTGTGTGATAAATCAAGTCCTCCGGCCAAAACATTTCATTTTCCCCCGGTATACTCGTTCGAGAGTCGTTGCCACTCTCTGGGTGCATGGGCATGTCTTTTTTTCGTCACCGGCTGATGAATGCCGATGCAAGATACACAGCATGATTAGGCTATCATCGATAGTATATGTCACGCCATGACTGGACAACAAGTCAACATGAATCCAACGTCCCAACGGCAGATTTTGATTCGACCTGCTAGTCAGAGAGTGGGCTCTTTCTTACTTGTCAATTGAGAGGGCTATAGCGCGCGGCGATAAAGCATATCGGTTTCTCCACCACTCGATTGGAAAATAGAACACAATTATACAATAGTAGAAGAACCCACTTCTTGCCCGCCGATAAGGAAGAGGACAATATGACAAGAGGCTTCCACGAGGTGTATCAACAAAGGAAAAACAATAGGCAGACGCTCCCAGCCTGTCGGGGGTTTTTGACTACCGCTCTGCGAGATGATTATTCGCTGACGCAATCAAAACAAAGGTTTCCGAGACATCTTGGTCGTAGTATAATTTTTGCATATACGACCGTGTTTACTTGATCTGTTACATTTGGTGTCCAAGTAGTCCTCGATGGTTTGAGTTCTTGCTTGTCGTCTCTATGATTCTTATCATTTTGCGATCAACCATTGAAAGCGGAGGAAGAGCAAAATAAACGATGTCTATAGTTGATTTAATCCGAATTAAGTTGACACTACCGATGCTAGTCTTTTTTCGCCATCCACCTACGTTGTGATACCTCTCGGGCATCAACGACAATTGTTTCACAATTCAACAATTTCTGGGAGCACGGATGATCCTTGTACACGACGAAACTATACAAAAATCTACGCCAATGAGTCGCGCTATTTACATTACCAATTACTTTCCTAAATACAATTGATTGGGTCTTTCATCGACAAGAGAACTGTTCTGTCAAGCATCGATCGCCAGTCGGCCCCCGGCGATCAAGATGTGGGGAGCGGCCAACCGCTAAGTCCTTGGCAGGATTACGGTTAGGATACGTCCGGTTGTATTACAGATACAGACACATATTGCGGCTAATGTGCAGTCCCCTTGCGTCGATGGATTCCAAGAGAACAATGCGGGATATTCAGTACTTGGAGAGTCATGCGGTGGTCCAGTGTGTTTATTGCGAGTTGATTTCCGAGGAGTTGTCGACCAACGAAGCTCGCTTGGGCAAGTCGGTAGTATGTCGAAATTCTCGAGAAAACAGGAAAGACCTCATATCTATGCAAGGGGAGTTAGCGAGATACACATCGTAGCACCAGTCCTTGATCTGATAATTCTAGTAGTTCGAGCCTTGGTTGATGGATAGGGTTTATCAAGGCTGTGAAGAAAAGCAGGGAGGCAACAAGGAGCTTGATAACCAAGGTGTCACATTAGAGTGCTTATCTCTCATACCAGTTTGAAGCTTTCAATGATTCTATAAAAGCCATTTCAGACCTATGGAACTAGGACTGGCGCCATATAATAGCTTCTTTTTTCTGGTTCTTTTCGTAGGAATGAAGAAGCATCACTGGATGGAGCCTCGAACGCCTTTATACGCCTCTCGTCAATTTGATTCTCTACCCTGAGTTGAGCTCTCCCATCAATCTGTGGAGACTTTGGAGGGTATAGAATTCCCACATCACGAGTCTTCATTGATTCTGGTGGATCTGTCCCTTGCCGGTTTACCTATGTAGGTACCTGGTATGCTTCATGGCGACTGGGCAATACATGATGCGAATGTGGCACATTAAATTTAGATACATATATTCTTCAAAGCATCATCCAACTGCCATATATCATGATAGAGTAATAAGTCTGCTAAGTACCCGCCTAACTACTGAAGTCTTAGATATAGCATCGTTCAATTAAGTTCAATCAATCGAGATACATGTAAGGCAGTGTATGAAACTTACTAGACCACCCGACTAGTCGGTACCGGGTAACTTAAAACGCCGCGTACCATACCTTAGTGTTGAGCTTATCCAATATACCATGATTGGTCACTAATTCCAAGCCGTTTGGCTAATATTGACCGCTTGTCACAGTTTTCGAGGCTTTGCTCGGGGGTCAGATCGCCGCCAGGATCTTAGATGCTATGAACAGACCATCATGACCCACTTGATGTCATCTAGGCTCGGTCTCCGCAGAGAACGGCGCTATCGCTTGCTGCACCTGCCATGTCCTACGCATGCAGGCGGATTCTAGGCGCATGCATATATTGGGAACCGAACTTGTCAGCAGTGAAGCTCGATCCCTGCCAATCGGTTTTGGCGGGAGTTTGGTGACAGCCGGTTGTCCTTCCCTACCGCTGATTTGGCTCGGATTGACCAGTTGAGGCTCGCTATTGGTTTCTATATCCACGCGGCTGAGGGGCCTCCTGGTGGTAAATTGAGTGTGTGGTAGGTCGGTAGTTGATAGGACTTATTGGGCTTTGATATATATTCCCTAGGTAATTAGGTAGAATCAGAATGTGCACTATTCCAATATTCTCGGTGACATCCTCCGCGGCTTACTCCGTACATGTCCCATTGACCTTTTCTCACTGTGAAGAATGGTGTTACCAAGTCTCGTTATGCTGCTGACTTCCTCGCCCAGCCACCCATATCCATGCCATACGTACCATTTCTCGGTAGACTCACGAATATAGCAACAAACCACACCAATCCAATGCGGTGTAGCATTCTATACCCAAAGCCAAACTCTCCCAAGCAGCATATAGATGACGCTCACGCCGACACGGTGCATATATTGTACAGGAGGTGCGCAAGTCCCACAGGCAGACCCAACAGGGTTTGACCGCTGCATAACCGACACACAATCAATCCTCAGGCTATTGCATTCGAACTGCATGTAAACAGCTAGATTACCCAAGGTGCAGTCTTGGAGGCACATGGCAGTCGATGGAGCCCAATGATGTAGACATATCATATGCGTCACGCTTCCCAGACCTTGGCAATCTGACTCGGCCTACTCATCGTTGCAGGTCCACACATGTCACTTTCTTTCCCTATTTTCTATCCTTTCTTTTCTTTTTCAAGGACAGTGTCGGTGTTATTCCCACTCGGTGCTTTCTCTCCACGTACCATCCATTTTCCTACTCCATTCGGACAGACTGCGAACGTTCTTCGGAACGAGCGATGGAGACATGAACACGCTGGCCGATAACGAATAATCAAAAAGAAAAAGAAAAAAGGAAATTCCTCGACTCGTGTTCGCTTTGAGCCTAAATGATGTGAGCGGTATTGCTCTACACCGACATGTCTTCGCCCTGGTCACAGTTTGGATTTCCCTATCACTCCCAACAAATCCAGTAAACATCGCGCCGTTGCTTCGGAAACATGACGTGCAAATTTTGAAACTCTTGATCTTCTTCTTACTACCGTACCTCACTATCTCGACAGTTGATTCCTCACGATCCAGCCTACTCGTAACGGCCTCTACTCATGACTCACGTCACGATCCAACGTCTTCGACTCCGTTGTAGCACCATTCTCACCAATATAGAAAACAAACGCAAGGATAGGCACCCCATATGTAAGTGCAGTCAAGGTAGACGCGCAAAAACCTGCCAGGGAATTGCCACTGCTGTGTGTCGCCTTGTTTACTGCGTTTGAACAACGCGAACGCTTCATGTATGGGCTCTTCGGCGTCCGAGAAGACTTGAGTGGAGGTTGTGGATCGGGTCTTTCGGTTGAGAGTCGTCCGGCACAGGGTTTATTGTGTGTAAAGAAACCTGTTTTTCCAGCAGTCAGGACGTTGGGGCAGTCTTGATGGTCACTGTGGGTTTATACTAGATACGATAATCACATGGTTAGAAGCGTAGTGTTGATCTGGCATAGATTCAGTGAGAGCCATGTAGTACAGACTACTGGTTCTTGGGTTATTCTGATCAGGCATCCCAATTGTGAATGCATTTAATCGTAATCGTAGGTGCATTAGAGACGAACGATGAAGGTAACCTTCTCGAGATTACCAACCCACCGGTATGTGATCCGACTATGTGTTCCTCCATGCGCGACTTCGCAGTATATTTACTTTCATGTTGAGCCATGCTATAAATATAAATAGTGATTTGATTGTTTGATATATATGTATCTACACTCCACTCCATGCTTTGGTTTCATCAAAAACATTCCGTGACCTTTGGCTTTGAGTGATTGATTTGGTGTATATACCTTATCAGCCACCTTGTGCTCTTCAATCAGAAGGTATTCGACCTGATGTCTAGAGGAAAAGATCAAAATAAAGAAGAAAAGAGAAGAGACATCATCGGTACCATTCCATCAGTCATGTATATCAATCTAAGAGTCAAAGTGCGATAGCAATCTATTCCGCGCCGTAGCGAGCCCGATAATCCTTCAACCGCTGGACCTCACCCTCCCCAATCTTATCACCCAGCGTCTCAATCAAATCATGCAAACCGATAACCGACCGGATAGGAATATTCCCACCCAGCGCCCGCTGCGCAACACCCACAGCACTCTTCGGCTCCGCGTCACTAACGCGCTCCTCGCGATCCAACAGCACCACCACACCGGCGACAATACCGCCCTCCTTCTCGATGATATCGACTGCCTCGCGCAGGGCCGTGCCCGCCGTGATGACGTCGTCGACGATGACAACGCGCTTGCCCTTCAGCGGGGCGCCCACGATGTTGCCGCCCTCGCCGTGCGCCTTGGCCTCCTTGCGGTTGAACGAGTAGCTGACGTTGTCCCAGGTTCCGGTGCCGGCGAGCGAGTCGCGGACGGCGAGCTCGTTGGTGACGGCGGCCGAGATCGGGATGCCCTTGTAGGCGGGGCCGAAGATGATGTCGAAGGCGGGGGTGGTCTTGCCGTCGGCGGCGGTGGTGACGAACGGCGGGGTGGACAGGACACTGGCGTAGGCGGCGGAGGTCGCGCGCAGGAGAGGCGCCGTGTGCAGCAGGGACGAGGTGAAGAAGTAGGGGGATTCGCGGCCGGATTTTAGCACGTAGGAGCCGAAGGAGAGGACATTGTTGGACATGAGCAGCGGCAGCAGGGTGCGCTTGTAGTCCTGATCGGCGGCGGGGGGAGGGATAGTGGCGGACGACATGGTGGATTGATTGATTGGTTTTGATATAATTATTGAATGGCTGACTTTATTAATGGATTGGGAGTGGTTGATAACGGGATTGTATTAGTGAGTATTAAAGCGTGTAGGGAGGCGCGCGTATAGCTGGGATCATTGAACGGGATAGAACCTCAGGCTGTCTACTTTTACTACTTTTTTTTTTTACATTAAACTTTTTCCCATCTTGTCCCGCAATGAAAGTCTTAGTGAGCTTAGTTAGTTCTAGTTAACTACGGAGCACGGTAGTAGTAGTAGTCAGTGAGGGGCAGAGAGGGGAGAGCTGACTAAGACGAGAGGGGCAAATGAGAAGCGGGACCGGAGTCTGATCTCCACCCAGTTCGCTCAATACTAACAGCCACGACTAATGGCAACCCTGTCTCTCCTCTCATCTCCGTTTTATACTGTTGACCTCAGGCGCAGTCGCGGATTTGATCATATACCTTACAGTGATCCGGAGATCGAATCCATTGCTGTCCTGTGTGGGTGAGTCCCTTGTGAAATTGAAACCCCCCTGCGCGTCCTGGTGCTGCATTACTGGCCTATCAACTGGCCAGAGCACGTGCCCGCTCCCCGTCTCCGAAGGCCGGCGTCCGCTGTCCCTCCCTTCGATCTGCTTCTTTCGGCGACTTTGTTTTCTCCCCTCCCTTCTTGACTCTCTCTCTTTCTGAATTTTCATTTGGCTCGTTCATTTGATAACATTGTGTCATTTTCAACGGTTACAGTTTCCTTTCCTTCCTCAGGGTCCGTTTCGCTCTCAAAGTGTCGCTAGACACCTCGGTCTGATCTCGGAAGGGCGCCATCCGTATTACAACAGCCACTGGCGGGCTTGGTGAGCCACAAAAGATACAGTTCCTAGATTACCCTAGAGCTAGGTTCCAGGTTGATCAGTGGTCTTCTGTGTGATTTGCTCTTGGAGTTGTGTCTATTTTCTGTCAACAGAGTGATTCGTGTAAGTCCGTGCTCTCCTTCCCCGGATATCGGCCGGTCGCCTGCGTGTCACAGCAATGCTTAGACTTCATATTGTCCCCTAGTTCTCCTCATCCTACGACAATGCATATCAAGGACAAGCTCGCACAGAATGAGGCGGCGGGGAGGACGGGAATCTCGTTCGAGTTCTTCCCTCCCAAGACTGCCCAGGGTGTGCAGAATCTGTACGATCGCATGGATCGTATGCACGCGTTGGGCCCCAGCTTCATTGACATCACCTGGGGCGCCGGCGGTCGCCTGTCGGATCTGACCTGCGAGATGGTCAACGTCGCCCAGTCGGTCTACGGCCTGGAGACCTGCATGCATCTGACCTGCACCGACATGGGAATCGAGAAGGTGGATGCGGCCCTGCAGGCCGCCTACAAGACCGGCTGCACTAACATTCTTGCCCTTCGCGGAGACCCGCCTCGTGAACAGGAGCATTGGGAGGCCGTCGATGGGGGATTCCGCTACGCGAAGGATCTGGTCAAATATATTCGCGACAAGTATGGAAACCACTTCGATATCGGTGTCGGCGGTTACCCGGAGGGCGCAGACGACAACTCGGACGTGGATCAATTGATCGATCACTTGAAGGAAAAGGTGGACGCGGGGAGCTCGTTCGTGGTCACCCAGATGTTCTACGACACGGATAACTTCATCAGCTGGGTTAAGAAGTGTCGGGAGAAGGGGATTCACGTGCCCATCATCCCCGGTATCATGCCGATTCAGACCTATGCCGCCTTCCTGCGACGAGCGAACTGGACCAAGATCCACATCCCCCCGTCCTGGCTGGAAGCGTTGGAGCCAGTCAAGAATGACGATGCGGCCGTGAGGGAGATTGGAAAAACCCTCATTGCGGACATGTGCCGGAAACTCATGGCGTCGGGCATCAACCATTTGCATTTCTACACGATGAACCTGGCCCAGTCGACGCAACAGGTCCTCGGAGAGCTGAATCTCCTCCCGTCCGAGGAGACGCCTCTGCAACGGCCCCTGCCGTGGCGGCCATCGCTGGGTCTTAACCGCAGAGGCGAAGACGTCCGTCCGATCTTCTGGCGGAACCGGAATTCCTCCTACGTGGCTCGTACCCAGACCTGGGACGAATTTCCGAACGGACGGTGGACCGATTCCCGGTCCCCCGCGTTCGGTGAGCTGGATTCCTACGGCATCGGCCTCAAAGGCACCAACGAACAAAACATCAAGCTGTGGGGGGAACCCAAGTCTATCCGCGATCTCTCTCACCTCTTTACTCGCTACCTGGACGGAAAGCTCGACCGTCTGCCCTGGTGTGATACTCCCATCACCTCCGAAGCTAGCGAAATTGGGGGCGAGCTGCTCGAGTTGAACAAGCGCGGGCTTCTCACCATCAACTCCCAGCCGGCGGTCAATGGCGCGCGATCATCCCACTCCGTGTACGGATGGGGTCCCAAGAACGGATTCGTCTACCAGAAGGCATACCTGGAACTCTTGGTGCCCCCATACCTACTCGACGAGCTGATCGCGCGGATCGAGAAGAACGAAGACCTCACCTACCACGCCGTGTCCAAGAGCGGCGAGCTCCGCACCAACACCCGTGATACTCCCAATGCCTTGACGTGGGGTATCTTTGCCGGGCGCGAGATCGTTCAACCGACCGTGGTGGAGACCGTCAGCTTCTTGGCGTGGAAGGACGAGGCTTATCGTCTGGGAGAGGACTGGGCCAAGTGCCATGATGCCGCCAGCCCGAGCAGAAAGCTGATCCAGGGTGTCGTGGACACCTGGTACCTGGTGAACATTGGTAGGTTCCTCGCTATTAAAATATGGACAGATTGGTAACTGACTACGTTCGCAGTGAACAATGACTTCCACAACACATACAACCTCTTTGAGCTGTTCAAGGATCTGGACGTGAAGGACCTCGACGTCGAAGTCGCCACTGAACAGAAAGCCCAGCCAACCGTGGCTGTCAACGAAGTCTCTCCGGAGGTGCCGACCAAGAACTAGCCCCTGACATCTTCTTTCCAAGAAAGAAAGAGAAGAAAGAAAAAAAAAATAACCAAAAAACCCTCCATCCCCAGCATCTACTAACTAATTCAACATCAACTCTCAACGACACAACCCTGCCTTGGGATCCCACATCCCCAGGTCACGAAAAAAACATCTTTTATGGCGACATGACTGAAGACCTCTCAACGATTTCTTCTTGGGCGTTATCTTATTTCAACATGACTCTTTTTAACCATTTTCACATATACCCCAGGTATTTAGTTTCTGATCTAGTGTGAGGAATATCAAATTCAACATAATTTGCTGTATGCAACAGGCATCTCCCCTGTTTTGTTTTCCATATTTTATTCCATATTTTATTCCATATTTTATCTTATTTTATTTTTCCTTCTCGTATAGTTTTCTTTCTTTCTGCTTCTCATCTTATTATTCTTCTTTCTTTTTCTTTTCCTTGTCAATTACACGAAGAACGAAGTCGATAAACAGGTGAAGACCAGCGGCGTACGAACAATTCAACATCGAATAATGATGATGATAACGACAGACAGTGTTGGCGTTATGGCTATGGCTATCCTTATCCTCTTCAACAACGGGATACAGTCTTTAGTTTCTTTTCTCTCTCTTTCTTTCCTATTGCCCTCCCACCCTTTCTTTTATTTCATCTATGTTCCATTCTTTAACATCGAGATATAGATAGATCTCAAGGTAGAATTTCTTCTAGCGATGATCTTCTTCTTCTTCTCTATTCGTAGTTTCTATCTAGGCCTTCCATTCATCTAAGAGTAGAATGTGAGCAGATATGTGATCTTTTTGATACTTATTCTAGAGACTAGGGTAGTGAGTAGTAGTTACAGGAGTACTACTACTATACCAGTATGTAGCAACATAAGATACAGTATACTACATCTACCAAGTAAGAAGAGCAGCATATAGAGATAATAGATATTCTCTTCTACGACAGTAAGAATAACTATCTATCTAGCTAAGGTAGGCTATTGCTATTGTAAGGATATGCTGATGTCGCCACAACGATAATACAAGCAGCAGGCTTGAGTCCCAAAAATGAAATGCGGGAAAACAGCCACATGAAGAGAGAAAAGCGCGACACAAAGTAAACCGATAAGCAACCCCATCCGGTACCACCATCGTCGTCACCCCACCAACGCCCTCCCCATCGCCCCAATCACCCACGCAAACGGCCTCGCAAACCATACCACCCAGCTCCCAATCAGGACCACGTACCCGGCCGTGCGGCCGACGATCACCATGATGAACGCCAGGACAAGCGTGTAAGCTACGGCCTGCACGACTTCCGTCACGGAGTCAGCGAGGTCTTTCTTGTTAGCACGGGGCCAGCGGCCGGTTGTGTTCCAGATGGAGATGGCTGTGAGGAGGTCTCTGATGACGCGCAGACAGTGTGCGACCATGTAGAGCATACTGTTGGCGCCGATCTTCGCTAGAGTGGCTTTGGAGTGGCGGTTCGCCATGATTTGGTTGTAGAGTGTTTGGACCTGTGCGGCTGATAGGGCGAGGATGTCGACGAGGAGGGACATTGTGACGGAGTTTGCTGCGGCTTTGTGGTTGTTGTTGTTGTTGTTGGTGGTGGGTTTTGAGATCTTAGAGGGAATGTCTGCGGTGGGTTTGGGTTGCGAGGGGACTGCGTCTTTGGACCTTTCTACTTGGTGGCCGTCTAGCTCGGCGACTTCCATTATTCGAGAGCTAGGCAGGACGTCCCGGAAGTCCCGTTGAGAGCCGGTTGTATCCATGGAGGAAAGGACCCCCTTGGTGGGTGCTTTGGGGAGTTGGCTTGTATCAGACACACTCCTGAGCGGAGCATTCTCCTTGTCGGAGCTCGCGGTGCTGGACGTTGGGGACTGCAGGGGTTTCGCCATGGACATGGACTGAGCCAGGTTCTCTGTAGACGACCGGAATGACTTGACGAGGGCCGGAATGCGAATGTATCCACTAAGCGTGTTTGGTCCTTCTGCGCCGGGAGCTCCTTGGTCGGGTCGGTTTTTCGCGAAGCGTCCGTTTCTTGGGTAGGCCGGCTTCGAAAATGCGGCGGACGATGCGTGCGAGATGTCCCACGAATTCTGGGTTGCGCGCCGTAATCCTGATGGAGAAGAGCTTATCTGATGCTTTGCCCTGGCGCCTGGAATGATCTCGCCGGCTGTGCGCGACGTGGGCCCCTGTGCGCCTGGTTGCCTCGGGACGTGAGCTCTCACGTCGGCCATGGTCACCATACTGCGTGTGATAGTGGGTGTGATAATGAGTACATCGTCCGGGTTGGTGGTGTGCCCCTTGGGACCCTGATTGTTGTCCTTGGCAGCATTCATGTTCGGAGGCGAGTTCCCTTTCCCCTGAAGCCTGGGAAGGGCCGGGGGCTGGCATTTGGCATCGCGGCACATGGTCTTCGGAGACGACTTCAAGCATTGGGCATGTTTCAAGTTCTGAGAAATCGATGTCCATTCTTCCCGAACGTTTTTCTCTTCGAGCCCTGTCGTGCCGTGACGTGGTGCCGCGCGTTTCCTGAACCGCGGCGCGGGCACATCTACTACACGGGGCCGCTCCTCGGTTGTCGAAAACAGGAGGATCTCGTCTGGATTCTTGTCGTGCGGCCCGTTGATCTCCTTGCACCCTAAAAAAGAACCGTCGGCGTTGAGTCTGGGGGTAGTTCGTTCTGGTTTGCCCGATGCATCCTCCCATATTGTGCTGCACCGTTGCTTCCCAACTTCTTCCGGGCAGTAGTACCCGCCTCGATTTGAGGATCCCGGTGGCTGCTCTTCCGACTCACTCGGAGCTCGCAGTGATTCCTGGCCATCGAGTGTGCCGATCTTCTGCTCCCGTGGCCGGTGGCTCGTATTATTTTCGGGCGATGTCGTACGTGGACTCGGCAAGGTGTCTGGATCGAGCATTCCACCGCCAGCTTCATGGACGCTTTCAATACTCTGATGGAACTTCCTGATTTGATGGTCGGTGAGACCTGGTGGATTGGGATCTTTCGCCGAGGGCATATTGACAACAAATCTATCCTCCCAGTCGGTAATTGAGCTCCCAGGCTGCGACACAGGCGACATCGAAGGATATGATTGAGCCGAGGAGTCGGTTGCCGTATCATTCCTTTCCTGATATTTCTGGGGCGAGCTGTCGCTAGTATTGATACTCAACTCTCGATCTTTATTCGCCCCTCGATTAGAAGTCCGGCCAGAGTTCCGGAGGCTGTCGACACTAGGCCTCGCCTCGGCCTTAGGGCTGGAATTAGCACCTCGCAGGGACGGTATGGCACTTTTCGGGCTTCCCCCTGTGTACTTCAGCTTGTGCTTGGCGATCTCTTGCCGTGAGGAGCTTGCCAGTGAGACAATTTTACGGTATGCCTCGTAGGGAACTTTCTGTTTCTCTTTGCTCGGTGTTGAATTGGGTGTGTCTTGCGCAAATATTCCTTTGTCCTTTCCCTCAAACTGCCCCCCGTCTTTTCGTGTTGATTTAGGTGAATCCCGGTCTAGCACCTGAGAAGACTTGCTTGGTCTGATATTCCGGGCTATGGCTTGTTTGCTATGTTCGACAACGGCTTGCTTTTCCTTCGGTGAGAATTTGCCTCTGTCGGCAAATGTCCTAGGCAAGGGAAGTTTCGTGGGTTTGGCTCCTTGTTGTGAACCCTCCGGCGAACGCATCGGGCTTCCAATACCTGGTGTCACAGTTCTTTTGTTGGCTTCGTTTACGGGCTGTTGCGAAGGCAGGATGTTATTTTCTATGGAGTAAGCTCTCACGTTCTCGACTCGGCGTTGGCGGCGTGGGGGCTTAGGGTTGAGTAAATGGCTGTCTGGCAAGTGCACGGACTCCTCCATTTTACCCTGAAGGCGATCGCAGCGACGAATCAAGGATTCGACATCAAGGCCCAGTTCAAAGGCGATGTTCAACCATTCCAGCCAGGAGGGAAGCGGTTTTGATGCTCTCGTTTTGCTTGTTGAGGCGGAGGTGGTTCGTCTTCGAAGGCGCTGTCTGTGGCGAGGAGACGGTGGTGAGTCCTCACAGCCGGATGGAGATCGTGCAAGGAAAGTAAAGAAGGGCATTTCGTCCAACAGGCTTGTTTTTCTTTGGCTTGGAAGGGATGGACCGTTTGGAATCTATTGGAATGTGGTACTGTCCAACCTGCTCGAGCGAGGTATGTATAAAACCCAGGAGTATCCACTAAGGAATGCCAGCCCCCCGGTCATTGACATTGTTTATGCAGACATGCTGAGCACACGATTTGTTTTTTCCGTGTGAGCTTGCCGCTGTGTACCAAGGGGGAAGGCACCGATGATAACCACAGGGACGGAATGTCAAGTCCAACCGAAGATTTTGACTAAGTCATCGTCGAGGAAGGCGTGTAAAAACCAATAAACACCTTATGTGCTGCAGCATGTGTATCGAGGTTCTCTCTTTTCCTTCTTTTCGTTTTCAGTTTTTTATTGAAGGAGTCGATTCTCCTCAGTGCTGTAGAAATACTATAATGGCTAGCACATATAACGCAGTGGCTGGACACCCCGGATCTTCCAATTCGCAGGGCCAAATTCTCGCCACTCCATCTAATTGGATTAATTGCGGGGCTGGGAAGACATAGTAAAAATGGAAGAAATGATGAACAAAAAGACGCCGTTACCCAATGCTTGAATAATAATCTGTCATAAGAACCATGAACATGCACAAAATAATGACGTGGAATAAAGCTCGGCATGCTCCATACCAAATGTTCCCGCCTCCTTTCTTTCAGCATAAACTTCACCTGGAGCTTCTGCTTCCCTGTTGAAATCAGAACCGTCCGACCTCGCGATGCGTGTCCACGTGGCTCCTCCTGGAGCTGGACGGTATGGGACTTGGAAGACCGGGCACATTGCTCTTCTTCAATGGACTCGAGGGCCGTCTGGAAGTACCTTGTAAACGTCGCTCGAAGTTTGTCGAAGCAGATTTTTTCAACGGAGAATTGGCGTGCGAGTAGACTCCGAGGCTTCCACCATCCCCAGTACTCGCTGGCGAAGGTCTAAACTGCGGCTGGCGTATTGAAGAGAACGGACCCCTTACCAAAGGGGACGCATCCCGCAGGTGACTGGGCGTGTGGAACGGAGTCTGGCGGGGAGGGCCACTCGGCGTGCCCGCTAATGATGGACGTCCGGAAGACCGACCTTCGGGGTCAACATGGCTGACATAGTTCGGGTTTGGACTAGTCTTGAAGCCCCGGTTGATCACAAATGTGGGAGTGAACGTGTCGACTTTATTATGTTTAGTCTCGGAGCCAGATCGAGTAGCGTCGGTATCGCTGAACTGGGTGCCAACGTCCCGCATCAGAGGTTGGGTTCGCGGGTGGACGTATTTCGTGTCGTACTCCTTCAAGACTTCTTTGTGGACAAGGGTTGAGTCCTTGGCCTGTTGAGCAAAGTATGTGGAAAGGAATGACATCTGCACCGACAGCAACGTCGAGACGAGGATCGTCGTCACGATAGTAACACTTGGCCGAGGGTCGGATAGTTGCGTTGGGAGGAAAAGCCAGTACACAAGGGCATGTCCGGGGCTGAATAGACAAAACAGACGGATACAGATCGGTAGCGGGTCCCAGACCGCGAGCTCCCACACGTCACGCTGGGCATCAGGGTGGACTCGCGATTGCGCAGATCCCGAAAACTTATTCGCAAAGTATCGGATTGGCGATGCGCTCATGGGGGTTGAGTCGACTCGTACACGCTGCGCGGATGGGGTTGCGGGGGTCTTGTCAATCGAAGATTCGAACATGCGATAGTGCCGTTTCCGGTGGAACGTGTAGAAGGCATTGAATGCCGTGAAGCAGACAAGTAGGTGGACAATAAATGAAGCCTAACACGGGAACCGTCAGCACTTTTGGATCGAGTGAGTGTCCGGCAGGATACTGGTGAAAACATACCAGCCAACTTGACCAGGGCGCGCTTCCTTCATCGCCAAAAACATCATCGACTGCTTTGCTGCTGTTTGTCCGACTGTTTGCCCGCGCGATAATGAAGATAATATTCAACGAGATCCCCAACGGAAGAGCCCAGTCCTTCTCAAATTGATCCCAATCATTCGCGTCGATCTCCTCCGACAGCCATAGCAGGAAGTCCAACGGGTTCAGATAAGACTTGATGCGCTCGCCCAAAGGACGGCGGCGTACCAGCCGCGGCATGATGTCAGGGAGGTAAGGGCAGAGAGTGCCGGGAGACTGTGATCGCAAAACGTATTAGTCTCAAATAAAGAGGAATAAATGGTTAAAAGTAAAGTTTCGCGGGGATCAAATCTAACCTTGGTGAGCAAAGTCAAGTGAAAGCGGGTTCTCTTGTCGGTCAGTCTGTAAACAATCGACAACCATAATAAGGCGGGCCGAAAATTAGTTAGTATACACTAGGCGGCTTAGATAAGCAGGGTCTCCGACGTATGACGACCACCGATAATCATCGGCCTCGCGAAGTCAACAGTCAACTTGCGGAACTTATTGAACAGCGAACAGTGTTCTGTTTTTTTTTTTCTTTTCCAGGGACACGAAGAGCCCAGCCTACTTCTGTCGCTTGCAACATGGCAGCGTCAGCCACCACATACAAGGTATGTTTGCCAGACTCTCTTCCATCGCGGGGACGTGGCAGGAGACATGCGGTATCGAACTAACCATGGTCACCGTTTAGGACCGACAGTTCCTTGCCGTCATCGGAGATGAAGAGTAATTTACTACACTGGGTCAGGAGATATGCGAAGCGTCAGACTAATAATGTGTTTTCAGCTCCGTGACGGGGCTCCTGCTGGCGGGCATCGGGGTAAGTGGACAAAACAAGCCCCTCACAGCGTGCAACCGCCGTACTGACAACAGTATAACAAAAGCACGTCACAGATGGACCAGACGCCCAGCGAAATTTTCTCGTCGTTGATGCCAAGACCGAAACGTCCGCAATTGAGAAAGCGTTCGTGAATTTCACACAGGAGAGAAACGATATCGCCGTGCTCCTGATAAACCAGCATGTCCGTTGTCCCTGTTCCCGGCGTCGAGTTCACGCAGAAAGAATGGGCGCGACTCTGTCTTGCTCTATGTCTGTATGTCTTATTGACCAAATATGTATTGTAGGTCGCGGAGCGCATCCGACACAGCGTCGATTCTTTCGCCGACCCTTTCCCCGCCGTTCTCGAAATCCCCAGCAAGGATCACCCCTACGACCCAGAGAAGGACAGTGTATTGAAGCGGGTGCGGCGGCTGTTCGGCGAATAAGTTGGAGAGTTGCTGTGTCCCTATCTATTTCTTGTTTGTCCGGAATATATCGAGATGCTTGCCGTCATCTGAGGTGGCGTTATCTACGCTGCGCCCTGTATACGGAGCGCCGGAGTGCCTCTTTTCCAGGTGCATGGTCCAGTGGGGTGGTTTAGTACAGAGGGAAGATACCCAGGTTACACCCGAGCCATGTGCATACAATTCAATTATACCTACCGATCGATACGGAGTTTCTTAAGACGTGGTTGATGGCAAAGTGTTTCTTGCCCCACAATGGGAAAGGATATACCGAATTTCACAATTTCAACTGATCATCATATACTCAAGGTTCCCGAAAAAAAAAAAAAAAAAAAAAAATGCGGGAAGCAAACGTTGCAGCACAAAGTCCTCGTTGCTGATACAAATAAGAGTGCGGGTAGAGTCGTCTAAAGCCATACATAGTAGCTGCGATATTGTCAAACAATCGTCCAAAACGCCGGGTCTGAAGAGGACGTAAGACAGGTGCACAGGGTGAGTGTTGTAAGGGGTGTGCAACCGGACTATCGTGGAAATCGGCAGATTACAGGCAGCATAATCAACAGTCCGCTGGAAAGAGATAAATGAACTATGCAAACATAACGTCGGAATTCGTGATGCAGGAGTTGATCAAAGGCGTTTCCAACCCGTAACAACGGATACAGCACCGAAGGATGGCCCAATTATGCGGGAAGGAAGCACGGCTGCGAGGTCGTCTAAAAACCGGCCTTGAACTCAATGTTCACGCCCTCCAGACAGGTGATCGTCTTGCCATCCTCGGTCAAAACGTCGGCATGCACGGAGTATTTACCCTGTAGGCACGGGTGTATTAGTCTTGATCCCGATGATCGGATACGAAGGCGGTTGCAACATACCGGAGGGATCTGCTTGGGCAGATCGACCTTCTTCGTCAAGATCATATCGCCCTTTTCCAAGGGACATTTCATATCGACGTTGACCAGCTGGTCACAGAGATCGGCCGTTTGTCTGATCAGAGTGATTAAGCCATATTTGACCACCAAAAGCACCTTGGCCCCCTTCTCAATCCGTTCGCGCAGAACGCCCTTTGCCTCGATCGTGAGCGTCTTGCCACTATTACCCACAAGTCAGCATTAATAGAGGGAGCGATGGGGGAATGGGCTCGCGTGGGTGAGCTGGTGAGACATACGGAAGAGGCGGGTTAGGCGTCAGGTCCACCGATCCAATTTGCAGGATATCACCGGCCGTGTCCTCCTGACAGTACTGAAGAGGGTTGTTGCCCTCTACATACTTGATTTCCTTGGTTTGTATAGGGCTCTGGGAGGAACCAAAGAAGGGTAGAGACTGCGCGGCAACAGACAGAGGAGCGGCGCAAACGAGGAGAGCGGTAGCTGATAAGAACTTCATTGTCTCGACACTCACTCAATCTCTCTGATGTGGTCTATTGGCCGCACGGTACGGCGAGAATGCAAAAAGAAGTAGATAACGAGTAACCAAGCTTCTAGATAATGATATAACAAGACTTTCGATGGGGATAATATGGAGTTGGAGAGATTAAACGACGTAAATGAAGCGGAGAAGGGCGAGGCGGTGTCATGGGACTCGTGCCTGCTTTAGCGGCTGCGCCGATGACGAACGCCTGGGTGCACGTGATGCGGACCAGCCATCCATTCAACATGCGGTCACCCGCTAAGGCTCGTTCCGTCTCTGGTAACAGGGCAGTCCAATGAAGCTGTTTTGTTACTTCTGAGAAACATAAACGACCAGGATGGCCAGCATGGCCATGGAATGCATGGTCTATCCGCTTCTCCAGTTTGTTTTACGGACATAAAGTAGACCCTTTAATCTTGAGTCTCTTCCGTTAAACGCTATCGTGGGGTCTGACCCACAGTAGGACGGAACAATCACTCCACCCTACAATGGATAGTTGCTTCGTACCACTCGGAAGAAACAATCGAATTCTCGGCTTGGGTGACAAGGAGAGCTCGAGATGGTGAGAGTCAATTTGATAATCATTGGCTTGAATGATATAGGCAAGTTACATGATCCTACACCATAGAGTTGAGATCCTGTCCTTAGGTGGTACGGAGTAACCGTCTACCTATATATATTGCGGATCAATTTGCCGCAGTACAACCGTTTTTCTATTTCATCCGTTTTGATATATGGAGACATATCGTACTTTACTACAACATGGTGAGATAAATCAGAGCATGCTTATTTGAGCAGCTCCACAAGAACTTGTATCACGTTCTTCATGGGAAACCCATAGCGCTACCAATTCGACGAAACGCCGAGTTCAGGGTAGGACGTTAAGGAATATCCATCGGAGCTTTTCCCGATCGGTAACGGTTGGTAAAATACGCGCATTGGAGGCTGCCTCGGCTCTCGACCGATGGCAAAATCACCGAAGATTGGTTGCATTCCCGGCCGGATCGGTGCATTATTGATATTCCGTGATCTACGCAATACAATTACACGTATCGGATAATTTCAATTTTACAGGTCCGGGCACCCCAGCCTGGAGGTATAGGTATGCTTGGTCTTCAATCTTTAATATTCGAAGGTACGACTCTGGATGAAGGTGCGACAGCTACGTACTAGCTATCTGAAAAGATAAAAGTCCACAGGGCAGAAGGATAACACCGCAAACCCCAGGTCGTTGCCGTTGTGGGGACTGATACCGAGGATCCCCCGGTGGGATAGATATCAGTTCCAGACTTCAAAGAGATTACATTCCCCGATAGGCAAGGCCCATTGCTTAGCGCCCTGTCGGTTCCCACTTGTCAAGTCAATTGCCGTCAGCATGGACGAGACTCCAATGGCCCTGTATTCGGACACCTGTGACGAACGGTAGATTTGTCCTGTTCAGCTCCCGTCTCGTTAGCCGGAGTCTGACCAGATTTATATGCTGCTGTTGTCCATATAGGGTCCTTTCGCCGGATTTGCCTTTCCTTCATGAAGACACATTCATTTCTCTTGTTTGTCCGGTCAATGTGGGGCGTTTTCGCGTTTGACATGTTTATATACAATCGCTGCTGATTCGATATCAAACCACAGCTCCTGGGTTACTGGAATTGTTGCAACAAAGATAACTGGACTACCCTTTTGATAGACGATATCGATCTACTAACTGGCACTTATCACAATGGAATTCCTTTCCGAGTTCAGCGCGCCCACTGTGGCGATGGCATCGGCCTTAACTGCAGCCGCGGGTGCTTATCTGAATGCCAAATTTTCCATTTCCACCGACCTCACTGCCATACATCACGATCGGTCATGGAAAAGTCGCCTGGAGCAACGCATCGGACAGCTTGGGGACACACCCACGATCTATTGGATGCTTGAACGGACGATCGAGGTGGACGGCAATGGTGCGGCGCAAGCGATCTGGTTCGAAAACAAAACATGGACTTATGCCCAATTGAAGGACCGTACGTACATATCATGTCTTGTTTTGGAGTGGTAATATGTCTTTGCTGACAGCTTCCACCATGTACAGTTGTGGATCGGTTTGCCGCTTTGCTTCACTCGAGAGGCATCAAGAAAGGGGACTTTGTTGGCGTCTTTACCATCAACTCACCTGAGATGGTGGTGGCAATCTATGCGCTTGCCAAACTCGGTGCCGTGGCGTCGCTGCTCAACACAAATCTGCGGGGTAATCTTGTACATGGAACCCCCTTTGTGAAGAGAATGTGTGCTGACTGCGAGTGACATAGACGACACCTTTATCCACTGTTTGAATGTCTCCCGCTCAACGTTTATGATCTCCACCCCCGATCTGTCACAAGACGTGCGCTCCGACCTGCCACATATTGCGCTCAATCTCTCCTCCTTCGACGGAGTCTCCACCGGAACGATAGAAACCGTCACGGCTGCCGACCTACAGCGGTACGCACCCACCGACGTGACTGCAGCGACAGGATCTCCCGCTGATTTGACCGTTCTCATCTACACCTCTGGAACGACGGGAAAACCCAAAGCATGTGCGATACGCAACTTCATGGCCCTGGTTACATCCACTCCACTTACCTCTGATGTGAGCGACCCCGCAAAGTACTTTCCATTGCGCATCTACTCGCCTCTTCCCCTTTTCCATGGGACCGCCTACTTCACGGGCCTGTGCTACTCCGTCGGCACCGGGGGCACGCTGTGTCTGCGGCGCAAATTCTCCGCCTCCCAATTTTGGAAAGACGTGCACGACTCCCAAGCGACGCGCATATTGTATATCGGCGAGCTGTGTAGATATCTCTTGGCCACACCACCCTCGCCGTTCGACAAGGATCACTCCTGCATAGTAGCGGCCGGAAACGGGCTGCGCGAGGAGATCTGGGAGCGTTTCCGCCAGCGGTTCGGCGTTCCCGAAATCCGCGAGTTCTACCGATCCACGGAAGGCATCACGAAGTTTGATAATTTTGGAGTGGGCGCCTGGGGGGCCGGAAAAATTGGGTTTTCAGGGCCCATAAAGCGGTACCTGGAAGACGATATGTTTATCGTCAAGTATGACACCGAGACAGAAATGCCGTATCGGAGCCCGGCAACCGGTTTCTGTGTTCAGGCCCAGCCGGGCGAGGAAGGGGAGGCCATTGGGCGGGTACGGAGCCGTGCTCTTCTCACTGAGTATCTGCACGATGAGAATTCGACTGAGAAGAAGTTGCTGCGCGATGTCTTCCAGAAAGGCGATATTTTCCAGCGTACGGGCGACCTGATGGTTCGAGACGAGTCTGGCTGGCTCAAGTTTCAGGACCGGGTTGGAGATACATTTCGCTGGAAGGGCGAGAATGTCAGCGCTGGAGAAGTCCGGGATCATATTTGCCGGATTGCATCCGTCCACGATGCTGTTGTGTATGGTGTGAAACTGGGAGGGTATGTTTTGACTGATTCCACTACTCCATTGATTGAAGCGCCTATGCTAATGTCTTAACTGCTAGGTATGATGGCCAAGCGGGTGCTGCGGGAATCACGCTTGACAACCCTTCTGCTGAAGATGAATTCATGCCCAACCTCTACCGCCGACTGAAGAAGAAGGGCGTCCCGCCCTATGCTTTTCCTCGTCTTGTCCGGCTCACTGAAAAGTAAGTCTCCCCGATATATCTCTGAGCGATAATTGAGCTACTTGCTAATTGGTATCGTAGAGTGGCCACCGGTGTAACCTTCAAACAAGCGAAGGGCGACTTAGCCAAGAAGGGATGGAATCCTCAAGGCGATTGGAATGGGGACAAACTGTACTGGCTAAACGGGAAGTCCTATGAGCCGCTCGACTCACGAAGCTGGGCGTTGATTGAAAATGGGAAGGCCAAATTATGAGTTGCTCTACCGGTAGATATTATCCTGTTGTCGATACTGGTTCAGCTTGGCTAGAAGGAAGACATGTTGAATACTTTATTCTGTATACATGGGCACAATATACACAATAGACATAAAACGTTGATTGCTAGAACAAATGAACAGATTCAACACACAACAACAAGAAGGTTGCAAGAACAGACGCTTCGCATCGCCCCGTGATTCAGAATTCCTCAGTTGGGGCCGTTTCGTTCCACTTTTCGTCCCAGTCTAGTTAGTAGTGGGTTATGTCGAATAATGAGGGCAGCATTCTTGAAACTCCACGACCCAGCCACCCTAAGCTCGTCTGCAGCCAATTAGCCCGCCAAGGCGCGCAAAAGGCTTAGAGGCTCCCTAGTCTCGCTCTCAGGCCACTTTCAGTGACCTGCTAAGGACCATAGCGTGATGATCCAACCAGCGCAGGCTTCTCATTTTCCTGTCTATCTTCCCGTGTGCGGAAAGGGACTATGGATTCAGACTTAGTTGGATATAGTTAGCTCGTTCATTCCGCGGGGTTAATAGCCCTTTGATTGGCTTTATTTCCACCCCTGCCATTGATAAATCGGTGTTTGAACGCGTTTGGTATTTTCATCGCTGGATACTGTTTGGATCAATATCGAGCATGGATTCCTCGAAGGGCGCGTTGGTAGAAACCGGGAAATCTCCCAACAATGCTACACTAAGGGTCGACTCGGAGCCTGCGATTGAGATCAATCCATCAGACGACAGCCATCGAACTTCGAACTGGGAAATATGGGCCTACTATTCGTGCGTGGCTTGCCAGAACCATTGATCTATTTGCTAAACCCGGTATCAGCTACTACATCGGCAACAATGGGCTCTCACTATTCAGTAAGTAGGCCCTCAAACCCCACCCCCAGACCCAAACCCCAGACCCAAACCCCAGCTAAAACTATCAGATTTCGGCCCCACGGCCTTTCAAAACCTGCTCTCCCAGGCCGCAGGAGACAAGGGTGTTCTCGACTTCGCGGGGAGAGAGCGTTCCATCAATAGTATCGTTCTCCTCAGCAACGGGATATCCTTCGCCATCCAGGTGGTCATCTTCCTGGTCGTCGGTAGCTTTGCAGACTTCGGCACCTGGCGGCCAACGATCCTCATCACGCTTTCTGCAGTAGCGTATGGGATCGGCTTCGGCTGGCTCGGCGTGCACACGCAGGATAAATGGCGCGTTGGCGTCGGATTGTACATTGTAGGATTGATCGCCTACCAGACGACGCTGACGTTCTGGACTGCGGCTTTTCCGGGGCTGGCGCGGAATACGCAGACGATGAAGGAGAGGTCGAACCAGTACCGCGCCGGGGAGATATCGCGTGAGGAGTATGAGTATGCTGATACTATGGAGCGTAGTCGGCTGGCCAACACGGCGTTCTACGTGCAGTCGGTTGCTGAGATTGTTATTCTGGCTATTATTGTTGGAATCATGTTTGGCTTGCGGGTGGATGCTAGCGAGGCAAATAATAATTGGGGGCTGAGTGTCTTGATTGCGTTCGCTACTGGGGTTTGGGTACTCGTCTCGCTGCCTTGGTTCTTCCTGGAGAAGCGGAGACCGGGGCAGGATCCTGGCCCTCGAGGGATTGTTGTTGCTGGCTTGTGGCAGATTTATCATGCTGCGAGGCAGATCTGGCAGTTGAAACAGAGCTTGCTTTATCTCGTTGGTATGTGCCGGACTTGAACTATACTGTTATTATGACTGACACGCTGCAGGATACTTCCTTCTAGGCGACTCATTGAACACAACCGTGACAGTGGTTTCTACCCTCCAAAATAGCGTCGTTTCCTACAGCACATTGCATCTCACCTATCTACTGATAGTAGGAATTGCCGCGCAGGTATGTATCGCCTCATCCCCCTCTCCCCCTCTCTCTAACACGGCCACCACACGCAACTAACCACCAACACGGAATCAAAGGCCATAGGAATCTACACCTTCTGGACCACCCAGCAGCGCTTCAAACTAAGCACCAAAACAATGTTCAACACCATCGCAGTAGCAATCATCCTCCTCGACGGCTGGGGCATGATCGGCATCTGGACGCCCAACTTCGGCTTCCACAACGAGTGGGAATTCTGGCTCTACCAGGCCTTCTACGGCCTCTTCGTCTGCCCCTGGTACAGCTACTCGCAGATCATGATCTCGGAGGTGACGCCGCGCGGGCACGACTTCTTGTTCTTCAGCTTGTTTAGCATTATTGGGAAGACGTCGTCGTTTATTGGGCCGTTGATCTCGAGTGCGATCATTGATGCTTCGCCTGATGGGAACAGTTCAACGCCGTTTTATTTCCTGTTTGCGTTGAGTGTGGTTAGTTTTGGGGTGCTGGCGGTGGGTTTGGATTTGGAGAAGAGCCGGGGGGAGCAGAGGGTGTTTTTGGAGGGGAAATTGCAAGAGACTGCGTCTGTTGGGAGCTGAGTTTGAGTCTGCTGCGCGGTGTTGGCGAAGTTGGTATGGTATCTGACTGCTCTGGAGGGGTGGGAATAGCTTCCAATGTCGCTCATCTTAATGACTACTGCGCAGGATTTATTACCCAAGTCATGATCATTCCAAGAATTGGGACACTGAAAAATGATAGATTTACACAAAGATATCAAACTCAATACTAATTTTGGTTTCCCCCATCCGTAGCGTAAGTGGATGGGGAACAAGAAACTCCAGCCCATGCTATGCCCAAGCGCCTGATCTCTGGACGTAAGAAAAGCAAATACAAACGAAGGAATAGTATAGCAATAACAACCAGCACGAGGCGTACGGATTACGCCTCCTCGTCGGAGTCCTTGGACTTGCTCTTTCTCTTCTTCTTCTTTTCCTTCTTCTCGGATCCCTCGGCGTCGGCGTCGGCTTCGGCCTCGCGCTTGCGCTTCTTCTTCTCCTTCTTTTCCTTCTTCTCCTTCTTCTCCTTCTTCCTGCGCTCCGCATCCTCCAGGTCCTCGGGCGCGACGAACGACTTCTCGCGCTCCTTCATCTTCTCCTCGCGCTTCACGCGCTGGCGCTCGACAACCTCTTCCTTCTGCGCGCGCTCCTTGGCGTCCTTGGACAGGAAGTACTCGCCGGACTCGATCTGCAAGTCGACCTTGCTCTTCTCGGGGGCCGGCGGGAACGGCGTGTAGACCTTCTTGGCCTTGTCGGTGACCTGGAAGGGAGTGCGGCGCTTGGACAGCGTGCGCTTCTTGAAGTTGGGCAGGAAGCGATCCCACGACTCGTGGGCCAGAGTCGGGTCCTTGGCCAGCTCGCGCTTGATCATGAGCTCCTTGATGTGGTAGATGGGATGGATGTTCGCCATGCAGTCGTTGATGATCTTGCGCACTTCCTTCAGTCCCTTGAACGGTCCCATCGCCGCCACGGTGTTGCCCTGCACCAAGATGTACGTGCTCGTCAGGAGCTCGAGCGCCTTCAACGTCGAGCCGTTGGGACCGAGAATACGTTGTCGCCGCTTGACGAAGCGTTCTTTGTTGCGCACCTGGTTGCGGATCTTAATGACGTCGCATGCGATGTCGTCTTCGAGGATTTTCAGGGCCTGTCATCATGATTTGGTCAGATTTTGTCACAGGAATGCTCGAAGAGGACGGAGAAGGAAAAAAAGCAAAAAAAGAGATAGAAAGAGAACTGACCTGCTGCACAGGCACACTTCTCGACAGCAACTTGATCAAGTCCCGAGCCTTGAGAATAGTAGCCGGATCATAAGTTTTCCGCGTCGTCTTCACCGTCATGCTGCCTTCCACCAAATCGAGAGTGCAGGCGATGCCGTGCTTCTCCAGCGCTCTCGTCACGACCGGCCATGCTTCCTTCAGATAGACCTCTCTGTATTTCGGGAATAGCGTAGCGAACGATGACTCCTCTGCGAAACTACCGGCGACATTGTCCTCCGCCTTGAAAGGATCGATCTGATCGGGTCGCCTCAAGTTAGCAAAAGCTGGCAAAGGCAAAGGACGAAAAAGTCAAGTAAACCAGGTCGCAACTATGTGTACATACCTTCCATTTGTCAATATCATCCGTGTCCCACGGCTTTTCTCTCTTATATGTAGAAGGCATTATGTGCGAAGAGTGGTGGTTGATTCCTCTCCTGTAGTTGGTGGTGGATTGAGGGTATTTGCACGGCCGTCTTTTTTTTTTGTCCGAGCCTGGTCCCGTCCCCGCGGCCTTACGCTTTTGGGTAATGCTGTGTGCCTGAAAGAACGGGCATCCGACCGACCATGGTACATGGGTGACATATGGCAAAATTTACGAATCATTCATTGATTTGGATGTTTGATAGGGTGGAAATGAAATCCTTTTGTTTACTCACTCCTTTTAAAGTTCGATATCGGTAAGGCTTCGGTGTAGAAGAAGTTGTTTCGACGCTACTCAAAGCGAACAAAGTATCATGCGACAACGATAGCGAATTTCTGTGGGCATTGGTCTGGTATTGAGCTTCTGATGATGCGTATGTACGGAGTACATTTGAAGATATCCATCATTGAATGATTGCGGGGTCAAGGTAAGTCTGTAGCCAAATATCGATGGCCAGAGCGTTTATAGGACGTTAATACGGTGGCTCAACGCACAGACAAGAAATATCTATGATCAGCTCGAGACAATGGGGCCAGCGCGATCTCGTCTCCCTGATCTTGTTGTACAGGCAAGAACATACGGAATATATCGTAGGAGAAGCAACCTGGTGCATGATCCCCCACGATATTCGCATGAACGCCAAGCCTTCTATTCTTTTGAATTGATTGATCACATTGTCGGATATGAGAGAAGAGTTGAACCTGTCCATCCCTTGTTCCGTGGGCTCTCCAGAAAGAGGTCGCTTGAGCTGTGGTACACATGGTATACTGAACGGTTGAAGACGAGCAATCTAGCCAGAATACCCAGGAAATCTCATTCATTGTAGTCTGATGTCGCCCGGCCTGGAGTAAACCCCAGCGATGACGCCGGGGTTTAATCTATAGCTTTCAGTCGAGACCCACTGTAAATTATTGGGCCGTGACCGATTGAGGTGTAGGAGATCAAGGCGTTTGGGGCAATTGGCCCCATCTATAGCCTGGCCTATTGCTGAACAAGACCAGATGTAATTGAACTTGATCCATTTGGACAGCTCCTCTTGCAGTTTGGTCAGCAGTTGTACCCAGAAATAGAATTTGATAATGAGCTTTGATATCTCGTAGCCAAGCCCATGGGGAGGCAGGTGACCCCCAAGTTCTTTACGAGTAACATTCACAAATGGGAAAATAGTAGACAGAGGCACCTGCCTTCTCGGATCCGGAAGATTTTGACGTTGTTTCGTCGGTAGAGATAGAGAGGGAAACGGGGATTCCCCCAGAGCTAACGTAAGAGAGAGACAGAGCGACCCGACAGTCTGGGTCCGTTCCCGAGACCGATCTTTCTCTCTCCTTCGTTTCTCCCTTCCCCCTCTCTCCATTTCCTTTTGCTGTGGTTATCTTTCTCGCTCTTTATCCCTATTGCAGTAACGAAAATGTGACAAAGGAAGGTCACTTCCCCCGATTAATTAAGAGAAGTTTGCGTCTCGAGACTTCTTCCAAGAACCAGCGAACCAGAACCTCATGTGCAGAACTTGTATTCTCATTTGAGTATGAATCCCTCTCAGGTTGTGGTCGCTGAGCATAGATGCCCGCGTCATCGTCTTATACTCTCTCCCTTGTTTCTGGCAAACATTGGCCTTGAGGAGATCAGACCCCCCCATACAGTTTCTTTCTCAGACTCTGCACACACCCCATGAAAGTGGTCGTCATATTTCACACCCTCAACTGAACAATGAATGAAAATTGCCCAGGCTCAACAACGCCAGCTGGGAAGTGATGCTTGACACTCTGGACTGCAAAGACGGGACGAAAACGCAAAATCCTGAACAAAACCTTCCTCCTCCTGGACGACGCAATGCGGATACCTGAAGGAGAAAAAGAAGATGAAAGTGAGAAGTGAAAATGAGGAGTGAAAACGAAAGTTGAAAATGATTAGATGCTACCGGCTTGGATTAACGGGTATGTCACCAAATCAATTAAGGTTTGATCAACACAAGACCCCAGAATATAAGCAACGCAGGACGAAATCTGATCAATCGACTCTCACTTAGCTGATTCCCAAGCTCACATTGGATGCGACAGGGCGTCTGAACCCAGAACAACAAGAACAACCGCCATTTTTTTAGTGAAACCGCTAGTAAAATAGGTCGAGTACACCCCGGCTTAACCATATCGGTTTTCCCCTCGAGAAACACGGAAGAGGCGAGATGTGGCTTCCCGAAGCGGCTATAGTGGCTTTCGTCCAATACACACATACCTTCATTGTTAGAATAAGGCGATGAATACTTGCGAGGGGCTCAACCTACAGTGGGAAATATGCTTTCAGACTGGGAGTTCTTGCCTCTTCTTGTGCTCTTGCTACCAACGCCTGATACTGATCCAACGGCATCCGCCGACGTTGAGTCAAAGGAAAGAGAGCCAATGCGTGGAGTAGTCTTCGGGTATTTTCGCTGTTGGCAGCGCCTATTTCCCGCATTCTGGGATCTGTGATATATCAGGGGAAATCCTGTGTCCCGCAAAGGTAGGCAACTTACCAGTGGACCATGCGGAAAGTGGAAGGGGAATCATTCTGGCATCGACTTCCGTCAGGCCTTCCGCCAGTAGGAGGTTCCTTAACCGCGTGCCCACACGCAGGTCTTTCGATGGCTCAAAGGAACCCATATATCGCGTGCTCCATTCTCTCAGTGCATGCTTCTCCGTGATCGAACCATTATCAGATTGGACGTTGAAATAAATTTCGACGAGTTGTACCCAGCCCCCGGGGTTCAGGACTCTGTCACCGGAGATTAGTCGGGAATACAAACAGGGCGAGGTAGTATGGAATGGCATAGCCACGATTACCGGACCTTTTGATATCACGAATATATGACGGCCATCGCTCTCGGTGAATACCTGTCGCAACGAGCCTCGACTGGACAAGGTCAAAATACTTTGTGGGGAAGGTAAACGGTCGGTTGAGATCGTCCACCTGTCCAATGATGTATCAGTCACTGCTTGCAATCTAATATGCATCCACAAACTAACATCTTCCTGCATGGCACGGCGCTAGGGGGAAACAAGCCTAAAGACCTCAAGATGTAGGTGTTTGACAGGGGCAGTTGGACAGGAACACATCAGACTCACCTCTAGATTCACATTCTGAGGTACATCGTCAGGGCTCATGTGGGGACATATATCAATACCGAAAACCTTCGAAGATCCCCAATGATCAGCCCTGTCTTTCTGTATACGACCCCCGCCAGCATTGTTACCTTGCACTCTGGATGTTGGTCCGCAATCTCGATGGCCCAGGACCCAGAACCGTATCCGCAGTCGAGCACCCGTCGAAGGTGGGGGATAGGTGGAAATATCAACCGGTCATCGAAAACCTTGTGGAACACTCGGTGCTGGAGTTCGAGTCGCTCCGCTTCGTCCTGGTAATAAACCCTTGTCAACGTGGGGCAGCATTCGGCGACTATTCAATCTTACGTCGTCGACCGGTTCGAAGGATATTTGACGATCAACCGCATATTTTTGGTAATCGCGACCATTGATGCTGATGATCTCGAGGAATCTCTCGTCCAGTGCTTCGGTTTGTGAATCGGGGCTCCTTAATCATACGGCACGGTCAGCTCTCTTATCATCTGTTAGGGTGTATGCTGGTCAAGTACGTCATCGTGTCTCATTCAGTCTTGTCCGTGCTCTGTCTGCCTTTTGATTCTCTAATCCATGGGTTGAGGGTCGGCGAGATTCGAAGTTTGCCTGTGTCTATTGTGTGGACTAATGGTGGGGAATATGTGGCCCGGTAAATCTCTAACATGAAAATCAATCAATACAGCAGGCAGAAATTGCTGGCGATCAAGTACCGGCAAATATGGGCGAAAGACGTGAGTATATTGGTACCCATGGCCTCAGGAGTACTGCGCGGGATTCAATATGCGTACTAAATTTCGCGGATGGTAGGAAATTCCGCCCAGCCCAGTACCAGGCGTCTCTGTCTTGATTCTGGAAGAACCGAACAAACCATTGGCAAAGGCTCTGAAACACCCCCCCAAGAAACACAAAATAGGGCAGCAACAATCACTCATCAGTCATGCCCGTTTCCGATGGGCCAATGTCGTCCTCATCTTCTAATCAGAATACGCATTTGTCCCTTGACTCCACCATCACAGCCCACCAAATGTGCGCCGATGAGGGGTCAATGGTACTCCCGGAGGGGCTGCCACCGATGCCGATGAATCTAGGCATATGGGTAGCCTAGAGGGTACCTTGTGCTGGGGCTCTGGCTTTCGGCCGGTGGTGGGTTCCAATGGCAGCGCCTAATCAAGCAAAGTTCCAACCTTCTCTGCTTGTGTCTTAAGCGCAGCAAACGGACTTATTAAAACATTACGATGATGATCTAAGATACTACTATCACTTTCCGTCGTTTTACCGCGCTCACAGGCTGCTAGAACTCAGGTTTTGCAACCCCAATTGTTTACAGCCAGACTAGCAAACCGAAATAGCCGAGCCTTTGAGGAAGGCAAGGCCATGCAAAGCGGTCTAAGACATGACCATGCTCATTGGTACATAGGACACGGCGACGTAATAACGTACAGCGAAATACAATTTGAAATTATAAAACGAAGCTGGTGATGATAAGAGGTATAATATACGACAGCACGAAAATGAAGATTCACATCACGGCAGAAGTCCAAGACTAAAGAAGAAATTGACAAAATTGAGCGTCAGTCTTGTCGCCATGACTGTTTGACATTGCAGCGAATGTCTATCAGATCCGACCCCTCATGACCTCCGATTGAATGGAGCCCCCGGTCATTACTGCGCGGCTATTCCGATTGGAAGGGGTTCCAGGACACGGGAGACTACAAACAATTGAGTAGCTTGACATAGGCTTGCTTAAAGGACCGACAGAGAAGGCGAACGACAGGAGATCAATTGGTCAAATGGTATATCCATATTCTCTAGCCCATCTGATTGACTGGTTTGGACATGCAGAAACTTCCCCCCCCCTCCAGATAAAATGGAAAATCAATCATATCCTCTTCCATTCATGGCATCTCGCATATCATTCGCCCTCACCGCTTCTTTGACCCATGCCTATTGCTTAAGGGACCTGAAACAAATGACACTAAAAAAGGCCCATAGAGGGGTCGCAGCCGGATGAAGAATAGTAGGGGTTTGGCATGGAACTTGCCGTGGGGGTAAGCCAATGATATTTTCTGCTTTCTTGGGCATTTGGCTCCATCACGATCGCAAGTGACAGTCCCAGGGGTCGGAACGAATTTAGAATCACTGACACGAGACCCACTACGACAGTTGAGGACTCAATATCCCTCGTGGCATTTTAGGCTCGACGGATCGCTCTTGTCACTGGTCAGCCAACGTGCAAAGGATCGAATGCATGGAAGAATAACAGGCAATCATATATTAATTGAAAAGGGTAGAAGCTGAAGTGATCATCTCCGCGGACTGGAGACGCTTTATTAATACGAGGAGGCTTCTACCTTGTTCGATCTGCAAGAGACATTCCCAACGGAAAAGACGGACAGGAGCAAACCATTCCTGCTATTGTCTCCACTGCCTTAACGTGCAGACATAGGAGCTCATGCAGGCCAGAATGACCTGACAGCCCCCAGTTGGCCATGCCCTGGTTGTGGGGTTTCGCATAAAGGACTGGTAGAAGGACGCAAAGCGGTTGGCAGCGTACCCAGGACCATGGTTCACTTCGGGAAGCCTGGGTGCAGTACAAACCGGAGATTATGCCGGCTAGGCCCGCTAGTGTGCATGGTTCCCGAACTAATGTTAGACGCATGCTCTCCTGAGGGGATATCCGCAGGCCATTTGACCAACACATTGACTATTGTGGCATTGTTTGGGGGCGGAATGAATCTCCTAGGACAGCTCCATGATGTGGATATGCACTTTGCTGCTTTGCTTTCATTACGCCGTGTATTTCCATGTTTATTGGGACTTGATATACCGCAGAAGATTCAGCGGTAGAGAGGAGATGGGTCCTAAGACGTCATAATAGTGTACACAGTGGGGTTTAAAGCATGTCAAAAACCATCGCATTACGGGCCTCTGCTGATAGACATGCGGGCTATCGAACCCGTAGTGCTCCGTAGGCGGGAATCCCCACCCCCCTTTCCCTCCTTGCCCCTGTTCATTCATGACCCTCTACAGGTTTAGTGGACTTCATCCGAGTTCGTCGTATACGCCACACCAGCCCTGACGATATCCATGACAAGCATCAATTCCTCCTCCGTCCGTGGGGCATACACAAAGACGTACTCAGCGGGAAGAATCAACGCCCCTCCCCCCAAAGCCTTAGGTGAACCAACACCGGATAGCGGATGACGCTGGCCCCAACCGGCCTCGAAAACCTTCTTACCTAGGTAGACAAACAGTCAGAGCCTCAAGTCACGCAGTACAGTACAAACAGAAAGCAGGGGCCACGCAAGAACATACAATCAGCAGGCGCCAGCAAAACATGCACGGAAGCGTCCTTCATGCGGTGTATATGCGCGATCTCGCCCTTAAGGAGCTGTTTTCTCGCACCTGGTAGTACTACTCCGTCCGCGACGAAGAGGCCGTCGGCGTGGGCTTCGAGGTTGGAGGGGGCTAGTTTGGTGAGGTGGGGGTTTTGAGCGGCCAGCGCGGTGAATTCGTTGATTAGTTTCTTTGAGTAGAATTTTTTTTTTTTGGGGTTAGTTTTGTTTGTTTATTTTTGAATACATATTTTTTTTTTTTCCCTTTTGTGTGTTGGGAGGATAGTAATGGGTAATGATGTGTGTACCTCACGGATATCCCCCGGAGCAAAATCACTCAACTGCCGCTGCGGCACAACATGCCACCCCATCGCGGGCCGCTCCTGTCGTCTGATCAAATCTTTGCCCGCGAGGTAGCTCTTTGTTTCCCCGTCGGCGAGGATCCGTCGATCGTAAGGCTCTGTGGAGAGCATTTCGCGGCCGAAGGGCCGGGCGAGGGTCGCTATGAGCCAGCCGAGGACATTGTGGGGGGTGCCGCCGGGGCCGTAGGAGATGTAGGTAAGGTAGTCGTTGTAGATGCGGGGGAGGAGGAGGGCGGTGGCGAGGCCGGTTACGGCTGTTGCTGTTGCGGCGAGGGCGAGACGGCTGTGGGTGGTGGTGTTGTTGTTGGTTGTTGGGAGGACGGTTTTGAGGAGTGGCGGGAGGTGGTCTGTTATAGTTATTGAGGGGGAGGGCATGGTCGGTGGTGATGGGGGTTGGTTTTGTACTATCGATGAAGGTGGTTGAGTGGTAACTTTTGGGAGTGACGGTGTTTTGTTTTTGATGAGGGGAGAGGAAGAGAAAGAAGAAGAGGCTATGTATTGTATGACACGGTTGGGTGAGATTGATGTAATAGATGCTACTGGTAGCTAAATAATCGGCTAAATAATCCTGGTTGACTCGGAAGTACATGTTCCCTTGTCATCACGGGAGATTCTTGCAGCCAGGCCGTCGTCAGCGCAGCGTACAGTATAACGATGCGTTACGCTGTAGGAGACCTCCAAGTTCCGGCTCAATGAGCTCACACCGGACAAAATATGGTAGTGGATTGCTGTAGATATTGATGCAGCACGCATTTCTATACCCATCACGGACCATGGTTCCTAACGCTGATCGTGGCGATTGCGAATCAGTCCATCGGCTGAGTCAGAGCAATGTTTGGATCACAAGGGACTGCTAAGCCACCACTTTCTCAGATAAGCTTTTGTTTGGGCGAACATGTTGGATCGGATGCGGTGTCGGGTTCCTCCTGGAGCCTTTCACATCCTGGCTCGAGGCAGGGGTTAGTGTAGTGTTGCCAATGAACAGCGCTAAATACTGAACATGCCACTCGTTCATCAATTGCACCATTGCCGACGAATCGCTGTCTACTAGGAGATCGAGCGTTGTCGGTGCAGCTGTCGACAAGTGTGGGACCTCACTTGCAAGGCGACTACTTGACTCGTGGAAGAGGCGGGTGAGCTAGATGCGTATTGAAACCTCTTGGAGTTACATGGTGGCTCCCCATTATATCATTTGAACTCCCAAATGAGCAGAATTGTATCAATCCTCTTTGCTGATGGAACTCAGGGCGTGTGCTAGCTTGAGAAGAACGACGCTTTCCGTGGCCGCAAAGTAATTCAAACTGCGGGTCGAAAGTAAGTGACTATCCGAACTAGCTGGCCTGGGTTTAGAGCAATGCCTACCTGTCCATCAAGATACGTAAATGTCGGTTGAAGTGGTCTTCGTATCTTTTCAGTGTATCCTCTAGCTTGCCGATCCGTGCCGGGTCATAGCTTCTCCCGTCAGGGTTGGTTTGTTTATTTCCTGTCAAGTCCGGGTCTGCTGAAGCTAGGGCCCTGGCAAGTGATGATGCCGTCCAGGAAGCGAACATAGTACAGCACGTCATCAGTTTGGAGTGAATCTAGAGCCCCGTTAGCACAGGACGACCGAATGGCGCAAAGAAGCTTTAACCAACCTTGAGCAACTTGGCTTGAGTCAACATGCACTCCTTAAGACAGGTATCCAAGAAATCCACGTGGTCCTGCATCAACTCATCCACAGTTCGGTTAACTTGCTTGGTCCCATTGACGGTCACTTCAGAACCATCCGCATCCGTCCCGTTGACCCGATCCATCAGGTTCTGCCAATTGGGCTCGACAACCTCCGCCGTGTAGAAGTAGAGAAGCTGCTGCACGAAAACAAGCATCTTCGAGCGCAGGCTCCATGCCCGCTTTTTCCACATCTCTAGCCGTCGGTCGGAAGACCTATGCCGCCAAGCCAAGACTTTGTTCTGATCCAGCCAGGATGTAAGCAACAGGCCCTCTAAATGTCGAAGCGAGAGAAGGTGTCGGAAAATCAGCTGATATCGGAGGACCGTCTTTCGGCTGATGACCAAAGACAGAGGGAAGGGAACTGAGTAATCGAGCTCAAGAGCATCGAACCCAGTGATATCCTTGTCATCGTCTCCGCTCGTCGGGGGTGCCTGGTACCGTTCGATCGCTGCATCGGGGTTGTCCTGGTCGATCCCCGACACGCTGACCACCTGCATCAGCCATTTGGTGAGTCCGACCTTATTCATTCGCACCTTGACATCCTCCTTGAATGGATCTTGTGCGGCGATACTGCCGGGCTGGCGGAGAACGAGATCAAGGAGCGATTGGAGCTTGCTTTCGTTGACGCTCTTTGCCGGCTTGCGGAGCTCCGACGTCCCCAATTCGATAAAGTATGAGAAGAAATCGGAGCGGTCCAAGAAAAAGTAATGCTTCAGAGAACGGAAGCGTGTCGTGAGGGAGTTTTTGGTCAAGAGTAGATTCAAAAGTGACGCATTGGCGTAGGTGTAGGCAGCGTTGACATTGTCCAAGAATCGAGGATCATCGAAACTTTTCGGCACGTCTTTGACCGCTTTGCTCACGTCGACACCGCCACATTCTCGAACCACATTGAGATACTTTCCGGCTAGAAGAACACGGTCTCGCACGCTGTCGAGCTGTGGCGGAACTTCGTTCTCGCGGATGGTGTATCGCTTCTCCCAGTACTCGTCCGTGTAGTCTTCCTCGAGCTTCTCTCGCTTGATCCATTTCTGCTCTTTGACGAGAAACTCGGCGTGGGGGTCCTTAATTCCTCCGTGGTGCAGCCACTCGTTAAGCATTGTCATGTACGGCCGGCTGGCCTCCCGTAGCAGGGTTTCCAAAAGAGCTTTGGTGGTCGGGTCACCCGAAAAGGTTGCCAGTCGCTCCGTCAGAAGCCGGAGCACGTTTCCTCCTTTGCAGATTCTCTTGCTAGACATACCGCCAGGAACCAGTTCCCCGCCCTCCTTGAGTTGTTCAATGATATTGTCTACATCGTCGAAATCGTCGATCGTGTCATCGATGTCCTGGTCCAATAGCCCATTTCGCCGGAGTAATTCTTGCCCTAGCGAATATAGCTGCGACAGACATTGGCCGGTTGGCATGGTATGTAAATGGAGGATATGTAGCGTGAAGCTCGGGTTGTTGACAAGCTGACTTTCTAGCTGAGCGATGAGGATCAGGTAGTCTTTGAGTAATTTCCTGATGGCCGCGCACAAAGCATGACTGACGGCGCCAAACTCTGCGCGACTCTGGACTTCCACGAATGACTCCATGGCACTGTAGTGGGTGGCCATTTTGAGCATCGAGAGCGTAAGGTCCCTTAAAGTCGGGTCAAGTCCCGAGGGAAGCTGATACACCGGTCCCGTGAGACGATCCTTCTCCGCGGATGGATCATATGAGCTGTGATAATGAATGTATTGGCCCTCGAACCCCATGAAAACGAATAGTAGGTCCTCGAGCAAGACCCTCTCTTGCGCGTCGGCAGAGAGCTCTCGGATCGACGGCGGATGCAGTGTCTGGGGCAGCGTCGAAGCCAAGGGTGGGACGGAGACGCGACTAGCTAACGGCGCGGTCGAGCGAGGTAGTAACGAGGCTTGAGGGTTCCATGGAGCTGTAGAACAAATTGTGGTGGTTAGCATGTACCGCCGAGTAGACTCGGAAGGTCTCTTTGTTCCGTATCACTTACTCTCCGTCGGTTCTTTCTCCTTCTTCTTGACATTCGGACTAGATCCGTCATGATGACTAGCTCTCTTTGAGCGCGATCTCTCCCACTCTCCTCTGTTTCCTGCACTCGATGATTCTTTGACGGGGTTCCTTGACCTCACCTGGGCCTTCTCTTTCGTTTGCACCATCATTCGCTCTGTACGTTTTTCGCTCGAAATAACTGGTTGGTCTCGTGGAACCTTGCTCTTCTGTCCCGACATGCTTCTGCGGTGATCCATGTTTTCCGATTGCAATGGGGACGCGCCGGTGCGCAAACCAGACCTGTCAGAGTCGGGGACGCGATTTGACGCAACGCGGGGCCGCGGAGCATTCATGTAACTGGCACGACGGTCATTGACGGACATTGTCCCACGAGATGGAAAATCGGGCGTCAATCATGCAGAACTGATTGTGGGATGAAGCAAATGGAGAGTAGCAACAATGGCAGATCAAAGACCCAGAGTGTTTGGTAGCAATCGCGAAGAAGGGACCTTCTGTGTTACGCCTTACAAGGTTTACGGTAAAGTAAGGCAGCGCGAGTGATGCCTGACGGGGGTGCCTGATTTAGTGCGGCCTGAGGCAGCAGTCAGGCAGTGGACTTGCGTAGCCCGCTGAGCTTCGCCCGAGCTTCACCTCCAACACCCCAAGAGCTGCTTCCATCACCGCATCCCTCCCCCTCTCACCTTGTCCCCTCCATCTCCGCGGTCTCACCCTTCAATCTGTTTCGATCCTTTTTTCGAATTTAGACTACACTTATACTCGCTACATAATTCAAGATGTTTATCGCGCGATCGGAATATGGTATGCTATCTTCTGTTCTCCCCTCCGTTATGCGGCCGATCTAACAGCTTCTCAAACAGACCGTGGAATCAAGTATGCTATATGCCCTGTTCTTCTCGAATACATAGTTTCTATCTCGACAGCGTCTAACATCGGACCTCACCTAGCACCTTCTCCCCCGAGGGCCGGTTATTCCAGGTGGAATACTCTCTCGAAGCGATCAAACTGGGCTCCACAGCGATTGGTGTATGTGACCCATCTCGCCAGACCCTCCCTGAAAGAATGGCCTCTGCAAGGGACCCGTTTTCTTGCACAGACTTCTATACACTCTAGGACATGGCGTTGGATCTTGGACCGCATTCTAACTCCATGACAGGTAGCGACCTCCGAAGGCGTCATCTTGGGTGTGGAGAAGCGTGTCACGTCGACCCTCCTCGAGGCGTCCTCCGTTGAGAAGATTGTCGAGATCGATCAGCATATCGGCTGTGCCATGTCCGGTCTGCAGGCAGATGCCCGGAACCTCGTTGAACATGCCCGTGTCGAATGCCAGAACCACGCCTTCCACTATGCTGAGCCGCTGAGGGTGGAGAGTTGCACTCAGGCTATCTGTGATCTTGCCCTGCGGTTCGGAGAGACCGGCGATGACGAAGAGAGCGTGATGAGTCGGCCCTTCGGTGTTGCTTTGCTAGTTGCCGGTTACGATGAGGATGGCCCCCAACTGTACGTTGTCTCTGGGAATGGCGTAGTGTGACTCAAATGGTCCTGGGAAGGATATCCGTGCTAACTTTGCCCGCTACTTGTAGATTCCACGCCGAGCCGTCGGGTACGTTCTACCGATATGACGCCAAGGCTATTGGGTCCGGAAGCGAGGGTGCGCAAGCGGAGCTGCAAAACGAATACCACCGCTCTTTGACGCTGCCTGAGGCGGAGACACTGGTTCTGAAGACGCTAAAGCAGGTGATGGAAGAGAAACTGGACTCGAAGAACGTCCAGCTGGCTAGCGTAACCAAGGAGAAGGGATTCCGTATCTACAACGACGAGGAGATGGGCCAGTGTGTCGCGCAATTGGGCGGGAATCAATGAGCGAGGAATGAATCACGAGTTTGTGGATAGGCCAATACGTTTTATTACGAGTACGTAGTGGTCCTATATGGGACGGCATGTTTTGAATCGAACGAAAAAAAGACGACTGTCTATAATGATATGCTTTTTGTCCCTTCTCCCCGTTTAGTTGCCCAAGCAATCCTCTCAGTCCGACACCGGGTAACTAAATTACAGCGAGAATACTATATACATGATTCTCAGAGGAAGCCCACGACTACCGGAGCTTATAAACGCAGGGCTTGAGAACCTGCGCCTCTTCTTCCGCAGTCATCCCCTTGTCTCCATCCGCAGACTTCTCAATGAATCTCTTCTTCCCCGGACGCGGGGGCGCCGCTGAGACGTGCTTGCCTTTAGAAGGCGTCGCACCCTGGTGCTTGACAAAGACCATTTTCACAAACATCTTGTTCGACTTGTCCAGCGACTCCGGCTTGAGAACGAAGCCCCGGGTGCGGAACACCTCCACGAAAGCCGACACATCCGTCTCGTCATCGTCGTTGGCGGGGCGACCATTCTCAGCGTAGATGGCGTCGTCCTCCACATCGGAGTCGGCATCGTCCGCATCCTTCTTCTTGAGCTTCTTCTTCTCGGCCTTGCTGAGCGGCTTCCGCGCGCCGATCTGCGCCTTCTTGCGCATCACCTTGCCGAATCGGCTTTTGACTTCACTCACCCAGCACTCTCCCTTGCCGTCACCCCGCAGAACGCGCCATGCCTCCTCGACGAAGGACACCCAGTTGGTGCCCATCAGACTGAGACAGAAGATCGCCACGTCGACGGAGCCGTCTTCCAGCGGCAGGTTGGAGGCATCCGCTTTCGTGATGGGCGAGCCTTCGGGGGCGTGCAGATCATAGCTGAGAAGCTTCAGGTTCAGCTTCTTCGCGGCGGGGATTAGAGCGCGCGCGAGTTGCGCATCGCCACACCCCAGATCGGCAATCGTGCAAGCCCCACCGGGCCGTCTGGGCAGCGCCTGGCCCTTGTCCGGCTTATTTCCCTTCCTCGGGGCGGGCGAAATCTTGGCTCTGCTGCGGATAGCGGCAATATAGCCGTCCACCGGGTTCGAGGGCCAGGACTCCTTGACCTGCCGTGAGAATCCGGCGTGGTACTCGTCGAAGAGCTCGGGGTTCGAGCTGAACAGTTCGAGCGCCTTGGCCGACGGAGTCGTGTAGAGGGTCTCGTTCAGATGGCGGAATCGGGAGGAGATCAACTTCTGTCGCATGGCCTGCTGCAGAGGCGTGAGGATAGCTTCTGTCTTCGGTGGTGCCGCAGGGACCGCAGCAGTCGCGGGAGACGCGGTGGAGGGGGCATCCTGCTTGCCCTCTTTGTTCTTCCTGTTCCTCTTCTGCTTCTTATTCGAAACCTTTTCCTCGCCGCCCTCCGCAATGTCCCCTACACTCTCTTGAGGAGCTTCCTGGGCCGGTCCCTTGTCTGCTCCATTTTTCTCCTGCTCCTTCGACGCCTTCTGGGGCTGCTCGCCCTGCTGCTTCTGCTGGGGTTTCGACTTGTTTCCAGCCCTTTCAGCCTGCTTCCTTTTCCACGGCGGCACTACCTGTCCTTCAATGTGTCGTTTGAACATCTCATCCACATTTTTCCTGGTGACCTTGTCATCGTCTCGCTTTCGCTTGTTGAGCTTCGGAGGAGCATCGTCCTGCTCGGACTTGTTCTGTTGTGTCTGCTGTTCGCTCTGCTGCTTGAGAGCAGACTTGGAAACCGACCATCCTGGGACGGCAAACATGATTACTTAGTACTCGGTTGCGATTTCGTCTCCAAAAGTAAAAAATATTCCACACCTAATATTGGATAATCGCACCGGACGCGAGAGGATTTTCTTAGCAGCAGCGGCGCATCTGAAAAATTTCGGGCAGTAAAAGGCGGTAGCACGTAGACCGCCCCCTTCTGTTCTGCCGGTCTATCCAGGCGGTCAAGTGCTGCTCACGTGCACGGACCATCCGATCTGTGGTCCCAAAGAGGTTAGCGTGACCCGTGTATGTATTAGTTATGTATGCGGTGGTTCGGAGATAATGATCGGTCATGTCCCTGATTATGTACGGCTGGTTCGGAACTATTGCGTCGTTTCTTTTTCCTATATTCCCTTAGTTCTCTCTTTATTGTTATTTCTATCGTTTTTGATTGACCCGAGGATTACACCACAAGAGGGGGCCGGGATCTCTAACCCATGTCAACGAACCTCGACCTCGAAGGATATCATCCGCAGTGCGATAATCCTGGTCAATGGTGCAGGATCCAGCGAGGTGGCCGACCTCCATGCTGGTCGCGATAGAATTACCAGTGGAGTCAATTATGTGCAGGATGAGATGTGTCGAACTCTAAACTATGTTAAGTCTATACGGCTTCACCACCGCAGGCGCCGTAATTAGCTTTGTCGCGGGAACTAAAACCACTTCCCCCGGGCAATCCACTGCTGGGTGAAGCCCTAGCGCTCCCGAGTCCCCGGAGTTCGCAGAGACAGCTCTTTCTGATTCGACCCCCCCACACTCCCTCTTTCATCGTCTCCATCTCACCTCATCTCACTCCATCCTATCCAGGCGGCTTTTAATACCACCGCGGCTGGTGCTTGCGGTATTTGATCTTCCAGCTACCCTATTCCCTGATTATGGAACCAAGTCTTTCCCTGTCTTCTGTCGCTCGTCATGGGGAATATCAGCCCAACGGAAGAGGTTCATATGGACCTGGAGTACAGACTTGCGGACGGTGATCAGCAGCATGAGCCAGAGTCTGCATCAAATACCCAGACGCAAAGGGCTACCAAAAAACGGACCAAAACTGGGTGCTTGAGTAAGCTCGGAAACCCAGTGAGAGACGATGTTAATACTGACCGGGCCTTTGCTGGTAGCGTGTCGACAGCGTCGCATCAAATGCGGCGAGGAGAAGCCGGTATGCAATAATTGCATCAAATCAAAGCGCGAGTGTAAAGGCTATGCCCAGCGCCTGGTGTTTAAACACCCCCTGGGACCTCCGGAATCGTCGGATTCTCAGCACTTTTTTGACGTGCAGACTCAATCCGTCCCGCCGGGGCCGTCTTCTGTAGGATATGGTGGACCCGCGTTCGCTCAGCAGAGGTCTTCTGGCTCTCAGCCTATCTTGGCTCCAATGCCCATGGTATCTGCTTCATATCAGCCTTCTTCGACCAATGTTTACTTGCCGAATGAGGCAATCCAGGAAGCCGGCTCTATGCCGATCCCTTACCCTGTACCTCGGCATACAGCTCAACTTCCCGCGTCTTATACTCCAGTGACACCAACATTTCCGTCTTATACGCATTCACAGGATTGCTTGGATGATACAAGCGGCCGTTATACACATCATAACCCGGGGCCAGACTTTGTCAGTAGTGCTGGTGGTGCGCTCCAAGTCTCCACGTTAACCAACCAAGGCATATCCTACTGGGATGCCCCACAAAACGAGCTGTCTTCCCTACAAACAGCTGAAGCAAATCCCGTGCCGCATCCTGTTTCTGCCAATGTCTCTCAGGTACCTGCCTTGCACAACTAATAGTTCTTTACTTAACACTGACCATCGAAATTTTAGTATACAAACGAGAATTGGCCACCTAGTGTGGGGCTTCCAATGTCGCAAGAACAGCAAGAATCGCACCTCTCAAGGCACTTAGTCTCCTCCGGATCGCCAACTCAATTGGTACATGCGGATGAAGAAGATGACGATTGCTACAACCCTGGGACAGACGAGGAGCCAGAAGACCAGGCGTCAGCCCAGAATTTCAACCACATGAGCCTTATTGTTGCTTCGGCGAATCAAGATGAATGGCGGCTGCGCTCTTTCACCACCTACTTGAACGAGCCCAACATCCTCGCCTCCTATCAGCCCTCCCTCGGCTCATCTCCATTGAACAATCCCAAAACCGCCCGGATCTTCCTCCATTTCATTCATTCAACCGGTCCGTCTCTGTCTATTTACGAGCGACGCCCGGTAGATCCATCGACCATGCTGGGAGCCCGAGTTCCGGCAGCACAGCAGGGTTTATGGACATACACCCTACCTCTAAAGGCATTGGAGGATCAGGCATTGCTGCAAGCGATTCTGGCTCTTAGCAGTCTTCATATATCGTTCCTTCAACAAGAGTCGCCAGCGGTTTCGCTTAAGCATTACCACTACGCACTCAAGCGGGTTGGTGTCGCTGTGGGACTCCCCACGCGACGCAAACAGGTTGGCACTCTAGCAGCTACTTTGCTACTAGCCTATTACGAGGTCATGTCCGCGGACCACTACAAGTGGAATAGTCACATCGCCGGCTCGGCCCATCTGATACGCGAAATTGGCCTTGCCAGAATCACGCGCGACCTCCGTGCGCATCGACGCCGGGTATCGATGCAAAGAGAATCCGTCCCATCCCACAGTCACGCGTACCCTTTCAAACGGGGAGCGTATGAAGATGACCCGTTCGCCGAAACAGAGATGAGCGTTGATGATGACATCGTTGGGTTACTCCTGGGTCGAGCAATCAATTATGATGACCTTGGAAAGGTTGACAATGACACGAACCAGCCCCGTCAGCAATCTTTCACGCGGAAAGACATCGAGATTTTCAGAATCCAGTGTGATCTGTACTGGTGGTATTGCAAGCAGGATGCATTTCAGAGCATTATCAGTGGCGGTAGGCTATTGTAAGTTGGCACCCCTCTCCCTTTCGGGATTATGCACGTATCATAAGCTTACTGTTTTATAGTATGCCATATTCGCTATGGGGCCAGTGCCCTCCCCGTGCGGGCCTGGGCCGGCTTGATGCCATATATGGCTCGGCCGACCATATTTGGTTGCTTTTAGCGCGACTGGCTGATTTTGGTTACCGGGACAGGAAAAGAAAATTGAACGCAGTGAAATCTTCTGGGTCCGAATGGAGACCAGATGCTGGATTCTTCAACTTCGTAACACGGTTTGCGGGCTCCGGCACAGCTCCAGGCGCGTCTTATGGAAGAGGTCAATCTAGCCCGAATTCCGGACACCCACATTCGGAGCCTGTTCCAAGGCACGTGCCAGACTCACGGCAATCAAAAAACTCATCTGTTGGTCGATCCAAGGAAGTCCCTGTCATGTATGGCATGGCTCCCTCTAGTCTGTCAAAACGCCTGCCCCCTTCATTTGCAGAGTCAACTCCTGGGGACAGTTCGGGCAACCAGGACCACGAAGACAGTGAACTTTCATATAGTGAGGCCGAACATGAATGGGAGGAAATCCGGGCTGCCCTTGACACGTTTGGACAAGCACTTGGTCCGGATTTCTCGCCTCTCCCGCCGGATAGTGCGCCGCCTATATCGACGCCATTCGGACCCGCGCTGCAATACCGTACCAACACGATCGCCGTGCTCTGGGGTTATTACTACACGGGACGCATCCTTCTCCATCGACTACACCCGTGTATGCCACCTGCCATGATGATGGCTGCCGGGCTAGCGGCACCTACCACCGCCGATTTGTCCCAGGCCATCGGAAAGATTGCCGGGGGCATTTACTACCCGCAGTCCTTCAATCTGGAATCTGGAAATCTGAGTCCCACTCTTGGATCGTGCCTGATCGAGGTGACGGTGCCGGTGTTCTTCGCCGCCGTGCAATGCACCGATATCGCCCAGCGCATATGGGTGGCCACCAAGCTGCGGGACGTATCGCGCCTGACCGGGTGGAAATCGTCCGACGCGATGGCCCGGGGCTGCGAGAGTTTCTGGCGCATGTCCGCAAAGAGTGGACGCGGCCCTTCCTACGACGCACCAAATTCTAGAACGCCCGGACAGTTGAGAGGATATGCTTCGCAGACCAATCAGAATCCGGAAAGGCGATTTGTTGCCTTCGAGCCGGCCAGTAACGTCAATTGGGCCAAGGGGGTTCTGAACTTGGAAGACGACCTGGTGAATCTGGAGATCGTGGATCGGAAATAGGTAAACGAAATCTGATAGATGTCTCCGACACAGAGGGTGGTGGACCCATGCAGGTGATGTGTTGTCGGTCCCCAATCGCCCGTGGGCCGGAGACCATGGCAGCGGGCGGGTCGGTCGGCACGCCCATAATTCCTACCTTGCACCCAAAGCAGATGGCAGGGGCTCGACCCAGCCAGCAGCAGACGTGTCTCTAAATACACAGCGAGATCGACCGCCTCGCAAAGGCTTCCGGGGGCCGAGACCCAGTGTTTAGGCGAATAGACCGCCGCGTGGATCGAGCGCACTACCGGACCCGAACCGAAATAAGCTGCAGCGACACGGGGAAGTGTATCGGCGAGAACACATGGCACGACCGATGAAGCGTCCCCTTGCAGGAGGGCTGGGTGGCTCCATCCTCCGCGCTGGCGTTTGGGGGCGCCCTGATTTGTGTAGACCCAACACAAGGTTCTGATCGTGGCTGTCTGGAGCCACTTGGCCGAATTTAATTCCTGATATGCATCCGGACTATCTTTTTAGTACGCCTCGTTATCCAGTCGTGATGACGACCTGGGCAAATCAGCACTACCGGCTGTGTATGCATGTATGCTGGGCAGGCTTGGTGCCCTAAACTGTGTAGATCGATGTATGAATCCATGCGGACTCCAAATGAAACGCGGAGCGAACAGAGTCTAGAAGGTCTACCGCGCTGTCAAGCTGTCACCCAACACTGTCTGCCTGGCTAGCGTGAGATCCATGACCGGGTTGGCGTTTCATGGTGGTGAGATCAGCGTCAGTGGCGAAATCTACCAAGAATAACTCGAGTCAAGCTGACCAGGAATGCTGATGACAGGACCTGACGGCGTCATCATCCCATCTGCCCCGCAAACGAGCGTATAATACGGTAATCTAAACCTATCAATTCAACAAAGCTGAACGTCATCGTGAATGGTCAACGTCAGGCAGCTTTTTTTTCTGGTTTACTCGTTTGATTTAATTCTGTTTACTGTGACTTCTGTTCCTTTCATGATCTAAAAACTTATCTGGATCTGGATTTTCCCCATCCTTTGTGTTGTCGTTTGTTCGGTCCCTATTTGAACTACGATCGCGCTCGCGGGGTGTTCTTCCATACCTCATCCTGTCCCTGATCCTGAACTGAACGACCCGTGGTCCGTCCATCGATCCAGCAGCTTATCTCCCCCACCTTCAGCCAGCGGCCCGTCAAGTCAGCCGCAATCGTCACACCCCCGGTTCTCTCATCGATCTAGTCATCCTTCCTCTACCCATTCCTTCCTCGGTCATACGACCGGTTGATTTCCAGAAAAATAATTGATTAAACAATTATGTCGCGTTATAGCGATTACCGCCGGTCCACCGGAGCGTTCGACCAGGATGCGGACCGGTGGGACGCCGAGCGATTCTCGCGAGAACGCCAGGATCGCATGCACTCGCGAGGCCCCCCGGTTCTCGAACGACCCCGTCGAATGGAAGATGAGCGCTTTGAATGGCGCCTCCAGGAAGATGACCGGTACGGACCCCCTGCCCGCCGGCCGGGCAGGTCTTACGACGACGACCACCTGGTGCAACCATCGGGGCCCCTCGTGGCCTACGACCGCCGGGGAGAGAGCCCTCCGCCCCGCCCCCGCCTCCTACGCCGTCAATCCTCACTCGACACCTTCGACCGCATCCCCGCGCGCAAGCTCGACGAGTACTACCACGCCCCCAGGGGAGCACCCAGCCCGCCGCCCCGGCGCCGCCGGTCGTTTCGCCGGTCCCGCGAGTCGGATTCCTACGACGCTATCCACATTGCGGAGCCGGACTACTATGGCGACGAGGAGTTCCGGGGCTTTCGTGAGCGGGATCTCGTTACCCCGCCGCGTCGCTCCGGCAGTCGGTTTCGAGAGCGTGTGACGCAGGAGGTCGAGAAGCCTTACCCACGCAAAGGCAAGACACGTATGCCCAAGAATCTGGTTCATGTTCGCGCTATCCGCGAGTGGCAGTATCCGTACCACGAAGAGGTATGTTATGCGCTTACATCAATGACCGAGGATGTCATCGATCCAGCCACGATTGTGATTCTGACTGTTTTTTCTTTGCAGGGTGACATGGTCATCATTGATCTGGCGCTGTCAAAGGAGCAGATTGATGAAGTCATCGGGCGGAGTCGCGAGATCAAGCGCCAGAGTGAGAGTAGGTGACCACGTGCCCCTAGGTCCCGAGAGACAAGTAGACTGATATCCCCCTCTCAGTTGAATTCCGACGCCAGAGTCCTTCACCCGTCCGCCACAAACACCCATCCTCCCGTACGATGGAACGACTGGTGATGGAGCGATCGTCTCCCCGCAGCAGTGGGGACACCCTGATTATCGAGGGATCGCCCTCGCGACACCGCTCACACTCCCGCCATTATGACCTGTCTGAGAGACGGATCAAAAGGACCGTCTCGCGGTCCCGGTCGATCTCAGTCCACGGTCGACATCGGGGACGCTCCTCCCCAGTGCGCATGGTTGGCCTGGTGGGGCGCTCTTCTGACGACCGCGTTGAGGCCGAAAAGCCCCGCACCGGCCCGCTGGCCGTCGTGGTGCGACCGCGCAGCAGTGACGACGATCTTCGCGAGTATCTAGAACTGGACCGACTCCATGGCCGAGGGGACGTGGTCCGCGATACGCGGTTGATGTTGGGCAATGGCGAGCAGGAGGAAATCGTCGAGACGAGACAGGATCGCAAGGGTAGGTTGTCTTGGTCCCACTGATGGATGCCATGACTGGATGCTAAGATTTCATTGACAGGACCCAACCCGCGCATTATTCGTGCCATGATGGCCACTCTGACTTGATTTTCCATTTTCTGTGGCACTTATTTTCTCATACGATGTTTGACTTCTTGACACCGCTATGATACGACTTCAACGTGACTTATTGGATATGATCATGGTTATGTTTATGATTGATTGACAGGCTTGTTTGTAGCATAGTATGTTTGCTTTCCTGATATTGCTTGGATATTGCGGGTTTGGTTAGCACAATTTGGAATGGATGTATGCATGTAGTTATTTCATTGATTTGTGTCTTTACATTATTAAAGAGTCCAAGACAACCACCCGTAGTATGAAACGTACTTCTGTTATGACCCACCACTCTGTATAGTTAAAGGGGCTGTGGCGGTGCTAACAGATGAGGCGGTGTCGGAACGGGAGAGTGGCCTCGACTCTCCACCACGTTCGTTCGCAGCCTTCTGCATCCCCCAAACATTCCATCTGACTTGCCTAGCGTCCTCTCCACTTGATCACATCCCTGATCTTTTTCTACTGCACTATATTTGATTTGTTGACCCGTTGTCTCTCACCATGGACAAGGTGCAGGCGTTCGGAAAGAACCTCAGGTACGATGCAGGTCATCTCTCCGCCTTGTTTGGCCCCGGGGAATTAAATCTACTGTCGCTCCTGCGACAGGAAGTCCTCCTCCTTCCCCCCACCCCCGGGGTCTTGTCAATACCCTCGGTAGAAGCATTATGCTGACATGTTTTTAATTTTCCATTGCGTGGGGAAATAGCGCGAATTTCTCGCCCTTTGCTGCGCGCACCCAGCAGATGATCAAGGAGCAGCTGGGCCAGGTAGAGGACAAGACCCAGCTCCCCGATGAGTACATCGAGCTGGAGAAGCGCGTAGATGCTCTGAAGCTGGTCCATCAGAAGCTGTTGCAGGTGACGTGAGTTGTCTTCATCCCACCCTATTGCGCCTTCTCCTTCCCCTCCCCTCGTGCGTCGTCCACTGTCACATGCTAACCCTCCGCGTTCACGTGTTTAGTTCCCAGTACTCCAACGAGCCCTACGACTACCCTCCCAACATCCGCGAGTCCTTCAACGACCTGGGCCGCACCATCAATGAGAAGGTCCAACTGCTGTCGCAGGCGGCCTCGCCGGCAGAGGCCCAGGCGGCCCTGACCGCGCCCCCGTCCGCCAAGCCGCAGCCCAAGACGTTCAACCACGCCATCGCGCGTGCGTCGCTCGCCGGATCGCAGACGCTGGCGCAGAGCTCGACCGGCGAGGACCCGCTGGCGAGCGCCCTTGAGAAGTACGCCCTGGCCTCGGAGAAGGTCGGCGAGGCCCGTCTGGCGCAGGACGCGCAGATCCAGTCGCGCTTCCTCGCGGGCTGGAACACTACCCTTAACACGAACTTGATGTTTGCCGCCAAGGCCCGTCGCAATGTTGAGAATGCCCGGCTTATGCTTGACTCTGTCAAGGCGAGCAAGAAGGCTGCTGCTCGGGGTGATATGGATAACTTGAGCGAGGAGGCCCGCGCGGAGATTGAGCAGGCGGAGGATGAGTTCGTTGGTCAGACTGAGGAGGCTGTGAGCGTTATGAAGAATGTTCGTCCCTCACCCTTTTTTTTGATTTGCTGTTAGTGGTCACGTGCTAATCGATCAGGTCCTCGACACCCCCGAACCCCTGAGAAACCTGGCGGACCTGATTGCGGCGCAGCTGGAGTTCCACAAGCGCTCGTACGAGATCCTGAGCGAGCTGGCGCCTGTTGTCGACGGGTTGCAGGTCGAACAAGAGGTATACCCCATCTGTCTTTGATCCATCCACAGTACACCTCAGCTGACTCTTCACAGGCCAGCTACCGTAAGAGCCGCGAGGGCGCGTAGAAGATCCACGTGGATCCTCTTATATCCCTTCCTTCTTATTTTTCGTCGTCGTCTTCTTCTTTCATGTCTCAGTATTCTTTGTCGAGATTCACCCCCGTTGCACTTGAATGAGATGATTCCCGTCCCCATGGAGATATGGGGACTTGGTTGGATTGCGTAGCTTATCTTATGCGTGTCAGTTATCAAATGATTCCTCGTAAACATACATTTAGTCCAATAAGCCGTACTTACGCTTGTAACTCAGCTCTGTACGTCCATACAGGCAGTATGTCCAGGTATTGCACCGCCACACCACGCCCAGTATCCATGCCTCAGGCACCTACAAGTTGGCGCAACCTACCCGAAACAGACTAGCCGAATCTCTCAGGCTCCGTTGCTATGTCATGTCAGTTCAGCGACTTCACCGGATATTCAGATAACAGGACCTATATTCACCCTCTCGGTATCACCACCCTCCGCATATACCCTGGATTTTCAATCGTCGAACAGCTGAGATTAACGCCCCGCATAATCACCGTCGCGCTCCTTATATCGTGCGACGCTGTCTACTCACCCAGTCGGTTGACGAACCTCCGCCGCTCGGATCAGCTAGGATACGGGGTCGAACATATACATTTGAGGTTGGAAGGAAAGGAAGAGAGACAAAACGGGCAGACACGAGGCTGAGGCTGGTCCTACGTCTCATTCTTTCGCATACGCTTGGTGTTGGTCTGCTAGTTACTCCTGGCTATCTACCGACCTATTTCGATCTCGCGTCGTTCGATTTATCCGATACGATTCGATTGTTGTTCGACTTGCGGACGAAGACGAAGACAGAAGACATATACGTCGGGCAGTTACGTCGGACGGAAAAATCGATTCACGCATACACAATGGCCAACGGGTTCGTTTCTCCTTGTTCTTTGCTACGTTCCTCCTGCCTGTCTATTCGTCTCTGCTACCTGCGCCGATGATCATACGCACTTAACATCTACCGTCTACCCACCACAAGGGAAAAAAGAAAACAACTAATAAATAATAAAATAGGTGGAGTCTCATCGTCGGCCTAATCCTCGTCGTCATCGCGTCGGTGGTAGCATGGTTCTTTAGTCCCAAGGGGGATAACCAGACGTATGTTTATCTTTATCCCAGTCATCCATTTAGCCATACATTCTACAACCTGTCCACCGAGACAGACAGAGACACAGACACAGGCTGACAAATGGAATGAATATAACAGGCTCTGGCGAAGCACCCTCATCCTGTCATTTGCGTCGTGTTATTTGATGTGGGGTATGTACTTTTCTTCTCTTCTTCCCTTGCCCGTCCTTGTTATGGGTGTGTTGGGTTGGATTCGTGGCTAATCCTCTTTTGCGATGTGTTTAGCGATCGTTTTCCTCGCGCAGTGGCATCCGCTTATTGTGCCTAAGAGGTCGGATATTAGGCCTGGTCGGGTGCCGCAGTGATTTCTTGTTTCTCAGTTGGGTATTGGGTGTGGGGGTGGTGAGTTTGTGATGGGGTGGTAGGATGTGTGATGATACCTGGTTTCATCTGTTACCTACTTTTGAAATGAGTGGGTGAGAATAAAGTCTTGCCTAGGATTAGATGTGGAGAACTTGTATAGCTACGCTTTTATTTTCGATCTCTATATTCTCTATTTTGTCTGAGACTGCGTATTATATTAAGGCTAAATTATATGAAGACTATATTATAATAAAGGTTGGTTTGATGTAGTGCGAATAGGCTATCTACAGTGAGACTATCCCACACCCGCAAACCCCAATATCACCCGCTGCACCGTCCACCGCGCCGCCAACCCCGCAACAGCCAGCGCCATAGCCCGCACATACCCACAGCCAAGCAGGATATACAGCGCTTCGATATTGCTCAGCAGCACGAGGTGCGTGTCTGCTGCGCCGAGCGAGAGGATCGACCCGATCAGCTCGACCACGCTGGCGGGCATTAAGCCCACTAGGTTGTCTAGCAGGGGCGGGGACGCGAACCATTCTGCTAGTCCTGAGGGTGAGACTGTTGCTGCTGGGGGTGGGCCTTGGGCTAGGCTGGTGGGTCTTGTGTGTGTTATGCCGGTGTCGATGGGGGTGAATGCGCTGTGGGCTGTGGTGCTGCTGATGTTGATGCTGCTGATGCTGCTGGTGTCGGGGGTGCCGCTGTCGCCGGTGCCGTTGGGGCCCCAGATGACTAGGAGAATGGGGAATAGTTTGACGCAGCTGCTGACCAGGAGCGCAGTGCTGATGGCTGCTGGACTGGCGGGCGAGGGGGGCGGGAGGGGTTGGATGTTCTGGGTTGGGGCGGTCGAGGTGCGGCGGAGGGGAGATGGTCGGGGCGGTGGTCCTGGTGCAGTTGATGCTGGCACGGCAGGGTGGCTGTTGTTGTTGTTGTTGTTGTTGTTTGACCCCGCTGGAGGTGACGATATGTCGTGGGATGACTGGTTCGGGGTAGGTTTCGGCGGACTCAGCGCCGAGTTGGACGGGGGAGTCTGCGTGGGCTGGGCCGGGAAGGAGGTCAGTACCGGAGTCGACGGGACCGATGACTGCTCCGCTCCGGCGCCGGTACCCTTGTTGCTCCCTGCATATCCTCGCGGCGTGGGTGCAAGAATGGAGGCTAGGAAGCGGACGGTGAGGTGGTGGGCTAGTGTCGCAAGGGTGTTCAAGCTCAGGAAAAACAGGTACTGGATGACGATGGGGGCGCGCAGGAGAAAGGTGGAACCCAGGGTGGGGGATTTTTCGAGACGCGCCCAAGTCAGATAGACGTCGAACAGCAGGAGGAGTATTCCCAGGCGAAGAATGGAACGCTGAGGACAAACACCGGTCAGCTCGCGTCCGTTGGACTTAGGGGGAAGTTAAGACATACATCTAATTGGTTATCATTCCCTCCGAGCCGATTGAACAACAAATGTCGATATACCTGGTAGACGGTTAGTTGCAATGTACCTCATCCAATCTGTCTAGCTGGCACACCTGTGGCTTAATCAAGACGAGATCTATAAAAAGCACAACAAAGTCATATTCGACGTATTTGTCGGCGAAGCGTTGACACCGCGGGCACTGGGTCAGGCGCACGCCCTTCCCCAGAGAGCGATCATCGGCACGACTGTAGGTACTATACAGATGGGAGACAGGATAGGAGCACTCGATGCAGATGGGCATCGTGTCATTGTCTGGTCATGATGCTTATCGGACTGGAAGTGAAGTCGCTGGAGCTGTATTGTATCGCAATTGAGGGCGGAGAGCGAGGGCGGTGAGCGATCTCCGGTCTCTGCTTAGGTAAGACCAGGCACACATATCCCGTGACTCGGCGGGGGGATTTTTCCGCTCCTTCTTGTTCCTGTGATATGTAGGATGAGTAATCTGTTTTATGCAAACTGGGGTATGGAGTATCTATCTCCAACTCCAACTTTGACAACTACAGATGTGTTTAATTGATGATGTATAGTCAAAGACATGGATCGTATTCTTACTACTGATTGTGTTGTAATATTCTATAGAATCCCCCATATTGGTCCGTACATCTCCAAGTTCCACCCCAGAATTCTCCGGTGGCGACAGACAATCCTCCGACTCGTTGCCACGCAGGACGAGACAATCAAGATGTGATCCCTGCATCGTCCGTGACAATCCGACTGCTCTTAACTCGTTCTAGTCTTAGCCCTAACTTGGAACTCTCACGATAAGCTTCTTCTTCTTTGTCTTCTTCTCTTATCGGTCTGGAGTATTCAGTATCAACTCGGACACCAAACTCAACACTCAGAATTTGCCCCACCGGCTTTCCGTGGGTTCGGGAACCCCTCATCTTTTCCGTTCCTTTTCGCTTCCCTTTTTTTTCTCGATTTTCTTTTTGATTTTTTTTGATTTTTTTTTTCTTTTCGTTTCGGGTTTAAGATTTAGTCATTTCTCTCCATCTCCTCCTTCCTCCCCCAACTTCCGCCCCCTACGTCTATCCGACATTAAATCCAATCTCCCCTTCCTGTTTGAAAGAGAAACGTTGGTAAATCCCTTCCGTGCTGGGAATTCTGACCAAAACAACCCCCACACCCCCTTCGCTCGCACTCTGTGAGTCGCGCCCGATCTCTGCCGTTCCCTCTCCTCCGTACTTCTCCGCCACCTCCGCCTCGCCTTTTGATCTCACCACATCTCCGATCTTTTACTCCAACTACGCTCAATCATGTCCGATCAAACGAATCAGCAATCTTCTGGAACCGTGAACGGTGTCAAGGTCGAACCCTTGTCCCCCGCGTCCACCGCCGACGATCTGTCCCGCCATATCAACCGGGAGCTGGATCCGCTCGCCTCCGCCCATCTCCAGGCCCAGGGCTTCCCCCCCGAACTGGCCGATGAACTCGACGATGACGATGATGAGGAGGAAGTAGATGAGGACTACGTTGCGGTTGACCATGACGATATCAACGAATTCCCGTCTTGGTTCCGCCGTCCCCCGGTCCACCACCGCACCCAGCTGGACGAGCTGCACCCCTTCACCCAGGTCCTCACCGTCTCCCACGTGGATGACTGCGTCGAAGTTGAGCAGGCTTTCCCCGAGGCGGAGCGTTGTACTCGCGACAAGGTATGTGGATTATTCACCCCTCCCTCCCCCCCAAAATGCCGCAAGTTCGCGCTAACCGAGTTTTCCTCTCGTGAAGTTCACCTACCGTTTGAACCGATGCCCCGAATTGTGTCTGGGCCTCTTCACGCTGCCCATTCTGCGCGATGGTGAGCCGAAACCCCGGCCGACCCTGGTCGGGCATGTGGTGGCGTCGCGGACGCCGACCGTTCTCGTCACTGATAAGGCCATGCAATTGCCGGACGACTGGCGCACGGAGCGCTTCTCCACCAAGGACGGAGAGACGGTCGGGCACGATGAGTACGGCAGCACCATCGCCATCCACTCGCTCGCCGTGCGACCGGAGCACCAGGGCAAGCAGGTCGCCCGCACCTTGATGAAAGCCTACATCCAGCGCATCAAGGAGGCGCAGATTGCTCAACGGATCTCCATCATTTCCCACGACCACCTGGTGGCCTTTTACGAATCGTTTGGGTTTGAGAACCGGGGTCCCAGCAAGTGCCAGTTTGGTGGCGGCGGCTGGGTTGATCTGGTAAGCGCACCCTCACTGTGTGGTCATCATACTTAATCTTACTGACCGGTGTTTTTAGGTATTGGAATTTACGAATGAATGAGCGATGGACGACTGGCATTTCTATGACCCAATGCTATCTCCCTTTCGCTAGGTTGTCTTTTGTCTTTTCACTGTTCTTCTTCCCCTTTTCTCTTTTTTTTTTTTTTTTATTTTTTTTTTCTTCTCTTCTTGTCGTTGATTTTTTCTTGCCATGATCTTTTCGCTTTGACACCCCCTGCATGTTGACGGTTTCTCTTGGGATTACTGGGTCTTTACCGGGTGGCTTCAGAAAGACAAAAGCAACGGAGTTTGTGGGCTACGATGATGATTCTGTTCGGGGACTATTCGTCTTAACGAGTACAAGTGGCTTTTCTCGCGAAGCCCTGACTTGCTTCCTATACCCATGTGATGATGAGACAGCGGGTGGTTTGGTCGGTATTATGATGTATCATACATAGTCCCACGGGTAGTTGAATGTATATGATCGATAGAGACTTATATCGTAAAATAATCAACGTCAACCCGTCTTCTCAAAGATAGTAGATATAATGTTACAATCCTATAAAATTGGTTATCAACCATAGAAATGTCGATGTTATGCAGTTATGCTTGTTTCTCGGCTAGTGGGAATCACGTGATATATACTCTCCACATTTCCTCACCGCCCAAAACTCTGCCGCCTTTATCGCCTTTTTTTTTTTTTTTTGGGTCGGGATTTTTGGGCTCGGCGACGACCGTCCATCACTCTAACAGACGATCTCATTTTTCTCCCTCCTCTTCTCCCATCAACCCTTTGTGATTTTCTTGAGAGTCGTCCATCCCTCTCAAGTTTCCATCATGAAGACTACCTGGAAGGACGTAAGTTTTTTTGCATCGCCCCGCCTCTTGAACGACTTTTTTTTACTAACTCTGTGATTAGATTGCGCCGGTGCCCACGAGCCAGGAATTCCTGGATATCGTGCTGAGTCGCACCCAGCGTCAGCTGCCTACGCAGATTCGCGCGGGCTTCAAGATTAGCCGTATTCGAGGTATTTTAGACTATTTCCATGCGTTGTGGTGGGCGTTTTGGATGCGATCGGACAGTCCGTATGGTGGAACATTTTACTGATCTGATTTTTCTTATAACAGCTTTCTATACCCGAAAGGTCAAATATACCCAGGAGACGTTTGGCGAGAAGTTTCAGGCTATCCTCGATGGCTTCCCGCGTCTGCAGGACATTCATCCGTTCCGTATGTGCTGAATTTTCCCCCACTCCCACTCCGGAGAGAGAAGGACGAGGAAAGAACATCAAAGAAAATCAAACAAGTCTAACACCCCCGCAGACAAGGATTTGATGAACACCCTCTACGATGCCGACCATTTCAGAATTGCCCTGGGCCAGGTTTCCACGGCGAAACATCTCATCGAAACCGTCTCGCGCGACTATGTCCGTCTCATCAAATACGCACAGTCTCTGTTCCAGTGCAAGCAATTGAAACGCGCTGGCCTCGGTCGCATGGCCACCATTTGCCGCCGTCTGAAAGATCCCCTGGTCTACCTGGAGCAGGTCCGACAGCATTTGGGCCGTCTGCCTGCGATCGACCCCAACACCCGAACCCTGTTGATCTGTGGTTACCCCAACGTCGGAAAGTCGAGTTTCCTGCGCAACATCACCCGCGCCGATGTTGACGTGCAGCCGTACGCTTTCACGACCAAGAGTTTGTTCGTGGGTCACTTCGACTACAAATACCTGCGGTTCCAGGCCATCGATACGCCCGGAATCCTCGATCACCCGCTGGAGGAGATGAACACCATCGAAATGCAGTCCATCACTGCCATCGCCCATTTGCGGTCGGCCGTCATGTACTTCATGGATCTCTCCGAGCAGTGCGGCTACTCCGTATCCGACCAGATCAAGCTGTTCAGCAGCATCCGGCCGTTGTTCGCCAACAAGATCGTGTTCATCGTGATCAACAAGATCGATGTCCGCCGTCCCGAAGACCTGGAGCCCGAGTACCAGCAGGAGCTCCAGGACATTCTGAAGTCCGGTGACGTGGAGCTGCTGCAGCTCTCCTGCACCACCACCGAAGGCGTCACGAACGTGAAGAACGCCGCCTGCGACAAGCTGCTCGCCGAGCGTGTGGCGCAGAAGCTCAAGTCCGGCACCAACAGCGCCGGCACGCCCGGCGGACGTCTGGGCGACGTGCTGGCCCGTATCCACGTGGCCCAGCCGATGAACGGTGCCCAGCGCGAGACGTTCATCCCGGAGGCCGTCAAGTCCCTGCAGAAGTACGACAAGGACGACCCGAACCGGAAGAAGCTGGAGCGCGACATCGAGGAGGAGAACGGTGGCGCCGGTGTCTACAACGTGGACATGAAGAAGAACTACCTGCTGGAGGACGACGACTGGAAGCACGACAACATCCCCGAGGTGTACAACGGCAAGAACATCTACGACTTCGTGGACCCGGACATCGAGGAGAAGCTCGCCGCGCTGGAGGAGGAGGAGGAGAAGCTGCAAGCGGACGGATTCTACGAGTCCGACGAGGAGATCGAAGAGGCCGACGAGGCCGACCTGCGCATGAAGGCGGACCTGATCCGCGAGAAGCACGTGCTCATGCGCAACGAGGCCCGCATGCGCAAGTCGCTCAAGAACCGCGCGATGATCCCGCGCAGCGCCAAGTCGAAGCGGGTCGAGGACATGGAGAAGAGCCTGACCGACGCGGGCTACGACGTCGACGCCGCCTCGGCGCGTGCCCGCTCGCAGCCGTCCCGCGGCCGCAGCACCAACCGCGACGTCGACATGGACGACTCCATGGACGTCGACCCGTCGGACCCGCGCCAGGCGATCGCCAAGGCCAAGGGCCGCGCCCGCAGCCAGGCGGCCACCAACCGCCGCGACGACGGTGTCACCGACGACTTGGCGCGCACCAAGGCCGAGCGTCTGGCCAAGCTGTCTCAGAAGAAGATGAACCGGATGGCGCGTGCAGGCGAAGCCGATCGACACCAGACTGCGTCTCTGGCGAGACATTTGGTATGTTGTCCCTTATCTCTCCAAATCTCCCAATACAGAAAGAACGGTGCTAATATGATAACAATAGGTCGCCGGCAAACGTGGCATGGGCAAGACCTCTCGGCGTTAAAGCAACCACGACACTCCAACCGACCGAGTTCCTCCATAATACCAAACGCAGCTACTCATTTCGTGATTATGAACTATTCGAGAAAAAAGAAGGGCGTTGCGGTGTCATTACACAGTTTTATCTATTTATTTATTCTACATCTGTTTTGTTTTGTTTTGCTTGGCCGTGCTTTTCCCGCTTGTCTGTGGGACGGTGATATCCGCGGGATGGATGGATGGATTCATTGACTTGATTGATTCTCATTGAGTGATGATGAGACCGGGGAGGTGATATTGGTAGTAGATTGATTGATTGAGTGAGTGGGTGATTGGAATGCCTCTGGCTAGCATTATGAATATAGTCATGACTTATTTTCTTTTCTTTGCCAACTATCAATAGAACACAATGTAAGGTCGCAATGATCGTAATAGCGATATGATAGTCATAGTGTGGTGACGGTGACGGTGACAGTGACAGTGATAATCATGACGAACAGCCCATTTAGAAGTCTTAATTAAGCCTTCAAATCCCGTACCATCTAGCATCTCCATCTACAATCCTCACAAAAAAAAAAATATTGGTATGGTACCATAAGATTAACTAGTTATTGCTATTCATTTCCCTTGTCTTGTTTCTAAAAACATCCTCAGTTGTTGTTTGAATACATGTTGTTTTGTTTGGTCCAGCCAGACCCAGACATTAGGAAGCATAAATAAAACCCAGTGAATCTGTCATCTCGTAGATGAAAAGAGGAGAGTCATAATAAAATAAAAGTAAGACAGAAAGTAAGAAAGTAAGAAGAGTAAAGAAGAAAAGAAAAGAAAGTGGAAGAAAGGGACAGAAAAAGAGAATAGAACAAGAGAATAAAATAGAACAAGAATTAGAATTAGAATCAGAAGAAAAGGGTCAAAAGAAAACTAGGCACTCCCCTCCCCAGCCTTATCCTTAGGAGGCTCCTCATGCACATGCACATGCTCCCCCTCTCCCTCCTTAGCCTCCTCCTCCTCCGTCGCAGCAGCGTTGTTATCCATATCACCAATGACACCCCCAGGAGGCGTCCAGCCGGAGCTCTTCCACGGTTTCACGCCCTCCACGTACATGGTATCGACTTCCTCGAGGGTGCGGCCCTGGGTCTCGTTGACGAAGAAGAAGACGATGAGCAGGCCCGCGAAGCAGCAGGCGGCGAAGACGTAACCGTAGGCGAAGTCGATCGAGCTGGAGATGAACGGCGTGAAGAATGAGATGAGGAAGTTCCAGGTCCAGTTTGCGGCGGTGGCGATGCCGATGCTGACGGCGCGGTAGCGCGCGGGATACAGCTCGCCGCAGATGGCCCAGACGATGGGGCCCCAGGTTGTGGCGAAGCCGCTGTTTTGCAGAGTGTTAGTTGTATTGCGATGATGGGGAGGGGAGGGGAGGAAAGGGGGAAAGGGGGAAGTGTGGGATGTAGTAAAAGGGAAGGGAGACGTACACAATGAAGAAGCAGGTGAAGACGATCATGGCGGCGCCGGCTTTGGGCGTGTTGGACGGGTCGACCAGGTCCAGGGAGAAGTGGCCCACGCTGGCCCAGATCATGAAGCAGATGAACATCCAGCCGGCGCCGACCATCAGGCTATTGCGACGGCCGTAGTGCTCGACGACGTACAGACCGGGGAGGGTCATGCCGAAGTTGACCGCGCCGAGGATGATCTGGGTGACGTAGGAGTTGTCGAGGCCGGTGGAGGTGAAGATGCTGTTGCCGTAGTAGAAGATGAAGTTGGCGCCGGTGAGCTGCTGCAGCGACTGCAGGGCGATACCCAGGAGGGTGCGGTAGAACATGCGCGGGCCGGTGAAGATCTCGTACCACGCGGCGGTGCCGGCGGCGCGCTCCTCGTCCAGCTTGTCCTTCATGTCCTTCATCTCCTGGACGACGGTGCGGTGGTTGGGGTTGACGCCGTACAGCTTGCACATGACGTTGCGGGCCTCCTCGACACGGCCGTTGCGGTAGGCGAAGCGGGGGCTCTCCGGCAGGAACAGACTGCCAATGCCGAGGATCAGGGGCCAGGCGAAGCCGATGCCCATGGTGATGCGCCACGAGGCGGTCGACGCGATGCTCTCGGTGCCGAAGTTGATCAGGTAGGAGATGAAGATGCCGAAGGCAACGAACAGCTGGAAGGCGCTGACCATGGCGCCTCGCACTTGGCGGGGAGCGGACTCGCTTTGGTACATGGGCACCACGGCGGACAGGGCGCCCACGCCGAGACCGGCGACCCAACGGCCCAGAGCCACCTGGTACCACTTGTCGTCCGTGGCGATCTGCACGATGATACCGACGATATGAATGATGGACCAGAAGGTCATGGACAGTTTCCGGCCAACGCGGTCAGCAATGGGGGCAGCCACCAGGGCACCGATCATAGTTCCGATGGAGAGCTATAATGGTCGTCAGCACCACGTAATGATGATGAGGACCGAGTACACCTCGTCCGATATCCGCGGTTAATAAGCACTTACGAGACCAACAATCAAGCCATTTCGGACGTTGCTGAAGTGATACTCCCCGTTGGGCAGCCTTTCGGCGAAGCGCTGCTTAAAGTCGGCCATGGTGGTGAAGCCGGAGATCTGGCCAGTCGAATAGCCGAAGATGAAGCCACCCATGGAGACCACGATCCCCAGGATGAACGACCTCCAGGTCAGGTATTGAACGGGACTGTCATCGAGCAGGACATGGTCCCTCTCCGCATTCGAATCCGAGCGAGCGGGAGTCGACGCCTTTGACAGCTCCTTCTGTTCCACCTGCGGTTTGAGCCGCGAAATCAGACTAGAAACGCCCATGGTGAGCAGTCCAGCCAAGCAACGAACTGAATTGCAGCAGATGGGGAATGGGGATTCAGACAAAGCACAGGAGGGGAGGTTTGGGGGTGGGGTTGAAATGGAAGAGAGGAGTCGGCAGGCGACAGAAGGGTTTAAAACAGGAAATTAGGCGCAACGACGGAATGTTGTCCGGATGGGTGACGCGGGCATGAGTAATTTCTATCGTGATGAAAGTCTGTCAAGGTAGGACCATGGAAAACCACGGGCCCAGAGCTCAAGCTTGCTCTCGTGGTCGAATGCTAGGGGCAACCTCGTCCCTGGAGACCTTGCCAGGGTTTACTACGAGTGGAGAGATAGTGGAGAGACTAGAGTTACGCCGGTGGAGTGCCTGTCGCAGCGCAGATTGGCCTCTCATACTGATGGGAACCATCACTGTCCGAGGTGATATTCACTGTCAACCAGGTGGTTGAGAGTCTCCTGTTCGCAAAGGCGTTGTGCAGGATACAGTCCAGCATTACAGGATCATACGACGGCCGTGGCAATGGAGAAAAGGCAAGAACCTTGATCATGACTACTGCAAGTCTTCGTTGATAAGCTCCGCCTCAGACATCAGGAAATGAGGCGAGTTGGGCCTGAAGCAAGGGTTGTTGGATTGTCTGACATTCTTCACACTGTTTCTTCTGTATGTGGTTGGATGGCAAAGTCAATTTTGTTCAGATGGTCCACCGGGTGATTCTGAGGTTGGACGACTGTGAAACCAGCTCGACAAATATTGCCCCTGGCCTGACCGTAGTCAACTTGCCGGTTCCGAAATGAACAATGGGTCAAAAGTCGTGGCAGACTTGGTGGACCCGGGCAAAAAAATAAAAATAAAAATAAAACATTTGTGATTCTTTTGAGCGGCTACGGACTGATCCCGACTCGGGCAAGATCTGGACAGATTGGAGAAGTGACAGCAGCAAGAAAAGTGAATGGAGACATGCTAATCGTAAAACAGCAGGATGCCTGAATCTTATAGTCTCTTCCCTGTTTCCTCTGGATTCTTTTCTCTCCCGGTGTGTTTCTTCCATCCAGGAAGAATCCAGAGCGATGCCGAGCCATCGGCACCCGATATCTTCGGACTCGGGATCAGCCCATGGACCCTTCGGTGTGCCGAATTGGGCGGCCCACCGGGCTAAAGAAAGCAACTAAGAAATCTCTGACCCAGTACCTATCCCGTTTGAAACTCACCGGTGATGGATCTTGTCTTTCTTTTCCCTTCCCGAGTCCTATACCCACTGTCAGATCTCCATCCAACCATGGCGCAGAGAGGGAAGAAAAGGTCTGGGAATTGGCCAATGAAGTATCTTCCTGACCATTTGATCAGAATCCACTGCGGATCCCGATCCAACCGAGATAACCTTAGCTGAAATGGGAAATACCAGGCTGAGGATCATTGTGCTCTACTTGCTTGCGCCTCTTGACCTTTTTGAGCTTGCGGTGAGGGTCTTGAGCCGGCTGTATGCCATTGTATCCGTATACGTTAGTGCATTGGGATCCCACGGGTCCATCGGCGGTTCACCCATGCCGGTCGTAACAGTGGCTGTTTTTGACTACAGTGGAGCCTGGGAGTATACACTAAACAGTAGATAGACCGGTGTTCAGTGCTTGCTGGCTAGATCAGTGGCAATCTTTCTTTTGCCTCCCAACTTGCCTAGTCTTGGTAGGTGTGTTCGAATTTCTAGCGTGTCTTAGCAATTTGTCTATGAACTATAGCTCATTCTGTGATGTTATTCATATCTTGTTCCAAGTAGCTTCATTAGGCCAAGATAGAGAAGTCGAGATCTCAAGTGAGATGAATCGAGGACACGAGCAGAACAAGCAGGGTGTTTCTATACGACTCATCTCTACCACAGTGGTGTATAACTAATGGGACAGCAGTGATATAAATGGCGGAGTCCTCCGCCATGCATTCCATACTCCACAAGACTCGAACCATCCACAATGTACTGTACTCCGTATAGTTTGTAGAATTATCTGTGGTCCTTCAGCCTCCTTAAGACCTCTCAAGCCTGAGAGCATGGTGGATACAAGAGCGGAATCTACCGGTTCAATACTGTTATATTATTGACACCATGCTGATAATTTCCCCCTGAGGTGGTCATGGATTGCAGTGCATTGTCTGTTGAACTTCTGCGGCTAGAAGACCCAAAGTGGACGAGTCTCCGTTCCCCATTTTTATGCCCTTACACTTACAGCGGCTGTGAGGTTTCGGGGAAGGTAGCTAGCGGATCTCTGACCTATGCTTTTGCAAATTGAGCTGCTCAATACCAAACACAGGTCTATTACACCGGGCAAATGAGTCCCTGTCCGGGCCAGATCCATCCAGAGCCAATGTTTTCGGCTCGCGCCGATCCTTCTCGCCTTCCCTCTCCTCTCATGACATCTGGACCTGGCGCACTGGCTAGCTCTAGATAGAAGGTAGTATTCTTAGGTACTTTTCTTGCCCTTCTCCCGCTCCGCCTTGCGCAGGGCCCGCTTCCGGATCGACTCGTGCATGCCGCGGTTCTGGCCCAAGACCACCCGGCCCATGGTGCCGGTCACGCAAGTCAGGAACCATGCCATCAGACCATGGCTCCAGTAGGGCGAAGAGCTGTACGCATACGTCGGGGAACCACCGTTGCGGCCGATCTTGGACAGCACCGACTTGACGAAGGTCCGGGGGTTGGGGATGGTCGCACTGGCGCGGCGGATCTTGGACATGGCGGAGGTGATGAGGTAGGCCTGGACGAGCTCGACCGTAATTCCGTAAGGCTCCAACTCCCCGCCGAGCGCGGTGGACCAGTGCTGGAGGAAAGCCTTGCTGCCAGAGTAGGTGGCGAGGAGCGGTGTGGGGAGCAGGCCACCGAACGAGCCCATGGTGAGCACCAGCCCGCGCTTGCGCTGCATCATACCGGGGACGACCACCTGGGTGGCCCGCAGGGTACCCGTGCAGTTGATGGTCACGATATCGGCCAGCTCGTCTTCCGGAGTCAGGGCAAAGGGAGTCGGGATACTGTGGCTCTTGCCGACGTTGTTGATCAGGATCGACACGTCCAGCTCATCGACCAGCGCCTTCAGCTTCTCGTAGTCGCTATCATCGTTGCGGGCGAAGTCCATGGCCAGGGTCTTGGTCTGGACGGAGGAGTATTGCGCGGTGATCTCATCGGCCAGGGCGGTCAGCTTCGAGGCGGTGCGGGACACCAGTACGATGTTGAAGCCGGCACGAGCAAGCTGGAGGGCGAACTCCTTGCCCAATCCATCGGAGGCACCGGTCACCACCGCCCAGCTACCGGGGGGGCCAAAGGAACGGAGCTGGATCGATCGATATTAGTCCCTCGTCTCTGATTTCCGTGGATCCATCAGGCATTACATACCGGTTTTCCGGGAAGCACGAACAAGCTCAGAAGAACTCTGATGAAGACAAAAGCTCGGGAAGCAACATACAGGCTTCCCGAGGCCAGCAGAAACCAAGCGGCCACCGTCTGCCACCCAGGGGCGACATTGAGCTCCAGCGTGGAGAGACAGGCGGTATGTTTCGCGAGGAAATCCATGATAAACACTCAATTGAGGCGTATACCCTCAACCAACTGTGATGGATCTGTGTGGTGGGAGTGTTGACAGTTGTGGAGGAGCGGACGCGGAGAGCATGGAGAGAGCATCATAATCAGAGCCGAGGGAGGAGAGTTCTTTTCGCGCGTCCGTGCCAAGACATCGCGGCCTGGTAACTCAGGCACCGATCTGGAGCTGAACGCCTTTTTGGACTCCGGTTACTCCCGGCCCACGGGAATAGCCGGATGACGTTTGTACCCCTTATTCTTCAGGCATCGATCAAGGCTACCACCACTATCGCTCAAGAAGATGGACCTTTGCAACGAAATAAGTCATAGAAACGATTCTCTATAGAAAATTCCTCTTCAATTCTTTGAGACACTGTCTTGTACCAGTTGTAGAACTAGCATATATTGATGGATCTCCCATGGGTGACGTCAGAACTTGGGATCAACCACTTATCTCTTATCGCACGCGCTGGTTGATATCCTCTCAAGTACATCCTATTGCTTCTCATACTGTTGTCCCTCCTTTACCTGACCAAATGAATTCGGCTGTTGTATACTAATGTACCGTCGCATTAATTTAACCTCTGACAGTGTCGCCCCACAGTGCGGGCACAATATCGAACATAATGGACCCCGCATCACTACCACGCCTTTACACTCTCCCTAACGAGGTATGCTTGATATATACTTCCAACCAGCCCACTTGTTTACTGCAGGAGTGCACAATGGAATCTGATATCTAGCCAGGTGTTCGTTCAAATATTCACACCATTCTCCACTCGCGATTTACTCCCCCTTACAACAGTCTCACGTCGGTTCCACGCCCTAATCCTGCGAATCCTCCACTACCGCCTCCTAGTTTCGGCCTCCCTCAAGGAGTACAAGCTCATCCTCGAATGCTTCCATCCGGCGTCAAAACTCGTCGAGCCGCACGTCTTTTGCAAATACCTTGGTACGGACGGCCTTAGCGACCAGTATGAAGGTAAAGGGTCGCTCTACGAGGATGTCGACGAAGCCCAACGGCTGGGCCGACTGAGCTCTCTGTACTCGCGTTTTCGCCCCGAAGCTACAGTGGAGGAGCAAAGTATCGGGGTGAGACTACTCTCGTCATGGGGTGGGTTCTTTTGATCTCTTTGGGAAGACGCTGTTTTCCTCTGGGCTCCTAACTAACATATCGTCTATGTTAGGAATTGGCGGTGGATCTCGGGAGGATAACTTGCTGGTGACGCGCCCTATCCATTTGGAGGTTTTTGAGAACTTCTCCCAGCTGTGTATTGTGGTGAACATTGTGAAAGTGATTCCGGGCAGTAGTCTTCTGCTCAGTGCCGTCACCGTGGAGGACGAGGTCGTGCGGTTGTTCCAAGACTGGCTACAAGATGCTGTAAGACGGAGGGAACACCTGGAAAATCACAACGATCCGTATTCAAGAGAAACGACAGAAGAATCCGATGCAGACATTCGCATGGATGGTAGTCAGATGCTCTGGGTTGATCAAGCGCGCAATGTTGGTCTGAAGGTTCGGGTGCGGGAAAAGAGAGAAGTCAGCGAAGCTGCTCCGATTCTTGTTCATCGCGACGAAGAGCCAGCAACCAGTTTTGAACTTGCTATTGAAGGTACGTTTGTTACACCTTGTCTGTGTTGCCGTCAGGACGGTGGTGCTGACTCGATGGTTTCTAGAGCTCCATGTTAGGACCACTCGGCTCCTAACGACTATGGAAAAGTCTCTTGAAGAGCAGCAGAATCATTCCAAGGCAATGATTTTTACTCCGAGTTTAGGATAATCACTGCTCTAGACATTTATTTGATAATGGTTATAGCACGTGTGATGATATACACACACCTCTAGCCGACAATTCAGAGTCCTGAAGTGATGATTCTGTGTGGTCTCCGCTAGATAGTCTTACAATCTACCGGTAACAGATGGCTTCTGCTCAGAGTTACCCAGTTACTCAGTAGTATGCTGGTCCCAGACAACAAATAAGACTATGTTGTTGAAGTAGCAGGCACACTTTAGCATCAGAACCAGGCTATTTTTTCGTCCCCCGATCACCTCTGTCGATGTCTACACTTGAGGAGGACGCTTAAATTCGATAAGACAATTGCATATGACAATTTCTAGTATGAATATTGGAGCTCGATTGAATGTTTCAGATTTACCCATCAATGTCTAGACCTATGGCTTATATTGATATAGGAACGGGCGAGAGTATGTTTATGTATCAGGGAATCAAAGCCAGAAAATAGCCATATCACCTTCCTTTCGTTCTGTAGAAAAAATCATCTCAGTAGAGTGAAAACGAAGAAGACTTAATCTATTAATGTATTTTGATATAGTACCGATAGATAAATGAGATAGACTCATTGTCATGATATTTCTGTACACTAGGATACTGGCTTCTTAGATCTCATAGAAGTACTGATTGAAAGATCTCGATAATATCACTGATTGCACATTCTAGGCAATATCTTTATTATCTACTATGACCAATTACATGAAGAGATCTACTATGCTAAACTCCAGTGGATTTTATACTATCACTAAACCTATCAGTGACTGTTGAATTTAATGCAATCATCTCACTACTGAACAGTGATGGTTGACTATCACCTGAGCATGATATCTGTATTCACTGTTGAATAGAATCATATATATATATGACCTTATTAGCTTTGTTCTCTCTGTATCTCTTCATCTACTACCCTCCATACAAGTGGCCGTATTGCTCACAGGCCATCCACAAAGAGCACACCGCGTGATCATGCCTGAAAAACCACCCATTCTTTTCATCACCAACAGCGAGTTGGGCCAGGCAGCGGTGCATCTGGCAGTGGCCTTTGAGTTTCTCATACGAGTGAGTTACAAAGTCCACATTGCCTCCTTTGCCCCTATCGACGATGCCCTCGAAGACCTCCATAGACGATTGAACCAAATGCCTTGGAATACAGGAAGACCATACTTTCATCGGATCAACGGCCCATCCATGGTGGAGTTTGTACGCAAGAAGACTGGAGTTAGAGGCTCATTCGACGCACATCCAACTGGTCTCTGCGGAGCCATGAAAACATACAAATCGTTGCTGCACACTACCGTCATGCCATGGGACGGCATACAGTACATGGAGATCTACCGGGACTGCGAGCAGATCATCCAGCAGGTCCAACCGGTTGTTGCCGTGGTGGACCCTCTTCTACTCCCAGCCGTGGATGTGTGTCGCACGATGGGACAGCGCATAGTGAAGTTGGGACCCAGTACTGTTCTGACCCACGTGCGTCAGCCGTACCTGGCGAATCTGTGGAAATATCCCAGGTAAGCTTCTTCTCTGTCTGCCCTCGTCTTACAATCTCTAACATTGCGCGCAGTCTGTGTTCCGGATACTCCTACCCCCTACCGTGGTATCTGTTGCTCCCCAACACCATTCTCAGCATCTGTATACGCAGGACCCTATCATCGTGCAAGCAGTGCGATGAAGTCGAAGATTACCGCAACAGGTGTGGAATCCCAGGCCCCATACCCAGCGTACTCGTCGCGGACACCGACAAAACCCCGTTCATTCTATCCAGTATGTCTTATACTGACTTTCCCTGCCACGTGCCCGAGCAGTTTACGCTCTGCGGTCCAATCCTCCGTGCCAGTGCCCCGGTCACTCAGGAGATGCCTGAGCTCGCGAGATGGCTGTCGCGGCGGCCCACGGTCCTCGTCACGATGGGTTCGCATCTCCGCTATAACAGCGACAACCGGCGACAGTTTGCAGAGGGGCTGCGCATGCTGCTAGATCAGATGCCCCGGGCCCAGATCCTATGGAAGATGGTTCGGGAGCCTGAGCCCGGTGTCGACGATGACGACAAGACAGATCCTGCCCTCGCATGTCTTCATTCGGCTATAATCACAGACCGTGTGCGCATTGAGCCCTGGCTATACGCTGATCCAATCGTGATCCTTGAGAGCGGCCATGTCCCGTTAATGGTTCACCATGGAGGTGCCAACTCATACCAGGAAGCAGTCAAGTAAGTACCCCTTTCCTTTTCCCTTTGTCTTTTCTGTTGCAATCCTTCCCCACATGGTTTCTCCACATGGTTCCCCACAACCGATTGCTGACATTACTTGGCAGAGCTGGCATCCCACAGGTCGTGGTACCCGTGTGGTTCGATACGCACGAATGCGCAGCTCGTGTCAAGCACCTGGACATTGGGGTCTGGGTTCGCTGGAATCATTCATCTAAGACCAATGGCAAGGCGTTGGGAAACGCTATGCTCCAGGTGGTGCAGTCGACCTCTATGCAGATCAACGCGATGACACTGGCGGTGCGACTGGGACCGGTCGAGGGTCGTGTGCTGGCCTGGGAGAAGATCCAGGACATACTGGCGGAAGAAAGGGCTAGAACTCCGTTTTGTGGTTGAATGATGATCAGGATTTGTAAGGGTATTCTGAATGGTGTTTGGAAATGGTGTTTTGGTTTATTTTATCTATCGGAATCAATTGGAATTGATAGTCATGTACTCTTCGGCTAAGAATTGAACCGTGCAGCAGTTTGAATTGATCTCCCCGCATTACGTAGTTCATTTTCCCGCCTTTCCCCCTCTCTATCCCCACTCTCTGTTATATTATCTACAGCTACTGATCCCATTTCCATCACCACTTCAGAAAGTCAAAGTAGTATCATCATGGCCTCGGAACGTGTCGCTTGGATTGGCTTGGGTAACATTGGGCGCGTAAGTATCATTCCACTCTCCACCTCTGCCCCCCACTAACCCATTGATTCGCAGGGTATGAGCCGTAACATCGCCCTAAAGGGACCCCAAACGACCCCCCTGGCTCTTTACAACCGTACTGCATCAAAAGCCACCGCGCTAGCCGAGTCTCTGGGCGTTGAGAAAGCCTCAGCCGTTTCGTCCCTGCCCACCGCAGTTCAAAATGCTACCATTGTCTTCATCTGCGTGGGGGACGACCATGCTCTGGACCAGATCGTCGACACTCTCATCAACGATGCCTCTGTCAAATTGGCTGACAAAATAATTGTGGATTGTTCCACCGTCCACCCTGACACGTCGCGACGCGTCCACAAGACCCTAGCCGCGCAGGGCGCCGCATACATAGCCTGCCCGGTGTTCGGGGCGCCCAATATGGCAGACGCGGGCAAGCTGCTGGTCGTACCAGCCGGGGCGGCAGCGGCTGTGGAGCGCATCCGACCATTTCTGGACGGTGTGGTCGCGATTGCAACTATGCCAGCGGGTGACGACAGCGACGTGGGCCGTGCGACGCTACTGAAGGTACTGGGCAATACGTTCATTCTCAACACTGTTGAGACGCTAGCGGAGGGAATGGTAGCGGCGGAGAAATCAGGACTGGGCGTCGAGACGTACCAGAAGTTCATCAATATCGCGTTTCCTGGACCGTTCGCCAAGTACGCTGACCGGATGGCCAGCGGTGATTACTACCAGCGCGCGGAGCCGCTGTTTGCTGTTGATCTTGCCCGGAAGGATCTTCGCCATGCGGCCAGCTTGGGTCAGGATGCTGGCATGCGCTTGCGCAGCGTAGAGGTCACAGATGGGTATCTGAAGGAGGTCAAAGCGGAGCGTGGGGAAAAGGGCGACATTGCGGGAGTTTATGGTGCTATTCGGAAGGAATCGGGGTTACCGTATGAGAGGGAGTGATTGGTCCTTCCATGGGACTGATCCCATAGGGCTACGGTCCATGGAGTACATATCTGAAGGGGCGTTGCAATTCGACTAAGCCATATAGATGGGCAATCACCAATGTCCACCATGACGTCATTGGGGTAGCATGGAATCTAGGGCTAGGATTGATGATCTGTCATATCCTCTATACAATATTGAGCTTACCATAAATTAGCAAGTCAATATCGGTATGTGAACCTGAGACAAAGATATCTGCTTATCTGCGTCTCATCCCTCCTCGCTAATGGCTTCAGCTCGACAGTTAGGATAAGCTTTTTGTGACAGCATTAACGGGATATTTCCTCTTATATTGTATATTCCTCCTCCGAGCGTGGTCATAGGCCAGAGCCAGAGATTATCGCCTGGTCAAGCTTCCGGGTGATCTACCGGGTAATCTCCGATCCTTGCCTTAATGGTATGCATTGCTGGATCGACATGTCTCGCCCGATCATCCTCCCTCGTCATCGATTGTTCGAGCACCCAATAAGTCGGTTGGTTCCATGCAAGAAAGTCAACAGCTGTGAATGGGACCACGTCAGTCATCTCCAAATGGGAGGCCAGTCAATGTCATTTTCATGACCGAGGTCCAATATCCAGCCCCTGTATGCAATATAGGCATGCAGAGATTGCCTACCACCTTGATGGCGAAACAGGGACCAACACCCTTCGGCGAGGACCCATTTCCCGTGGAATGATGGACCCACTACGGTCATACAAGAGTCAGACCTATCTCAGGCCGCGTCAAGTCGATGCACATCAACCCGGTGCCACAAGGGCATTGCCAGGGACGCACCCAAACGCCGCTGAGCGTGAGGTGAAGATGGACCAAGGTGTTGCCTTATGGGGCCACTGGCCTAGCTTGTCGATCAAGTTTTGATGAGCCCGTTATTGGTCTTGTGGCGCAATAACCTTGCCTGTTATGCAAGGGTCTTCGGCTTTCCTGGGTCGTCCTGCCACTAAGAAATAGTCTCGATGGCTCACCTTCCTATCACGTACTCGGATCTCAACTACCAACCTTATTGTTTATCTATGGTCTAGGCTCATGCGAGTGGTCGTAACAGAGATAGGTATAATACATGCCTTGGAAGGAGAAGAAGAAAAACAAAGAAAAATAAAAATAAAAATAAAAGAGAAACACAATAAAACAAGGAGAGGGCAGGTTTGGCCAAATGGACCACATGCACCCGCATACCAGGAATTCACTCTTCATCTAGAGACGCGCGTTACCGACCCATCACTTTCCAAACCATCATTATGATCATCATCGACAATGAGGCGACATGGAGGACCGCATCCTGGTTATTTAATCGTCTCCCCGAACATGCTCACAATGTTGTTTTCCAATCGCATTCTTTCCTATCAGCCCAGACCTCCTTCTCCCTTTATTTCCTATCATGACGGCGCAGACCCTGTCTGAACCTGATGCTACCTATGCTCCGACTTCCAGGTCCGACCTAGAGAAGGAGATCGCCCATGTGGAAGCTGAAGGCGTCGACTCGCTGTCCAGTGATCTCGAGACAGTCGGGTCCTCCCAGGATGGGGATGACCGCTTCGTACACTGGGAGGGGCCCAGCGACCCGCTGAACCCTCTGAACTGGGGCAGCGCTCGCAAATGGGTGACCATCGCCCTGATCTCGTTGAGTAGCTTCAACGTGTATGCCTTCCCAACACTCCTGTTTGCCTGCAGACCTGTTTGCTGACTTGCGCCCAGGTCAATGGTGTCGACGATCTTCGCACCCGGCGTGCCGCAGGTGCTGGCAGAATTCCACAACGACAACCCGTCTATGGAGTCCCTGGTTGTTTGCATCTATGTGATGGGCGCTGCCATCGGCCCGCTAGTACTCACCCCGATAACTGAGGTGAGCGGACGGCTGCCTGTGACGCACGCTGCCAACATGCTCTTCGTGGCCGCCGCTTCTGTCTGCGCAGCTAGCATCAACCTGCCCATGCTGATCCTCTCCCGTCTGGTTATGGGCTTGGCCAGCTCGGTGCCTGTCACGGTCGGCGGAGGATTCGTCGCGGACATGATGCCTATGCAGGAACGAGGCACGGCGATGACGGTTTGGACAGTTGGGCCATTGATGGTATGATTTTCTCGTCCTTTCTTTTTTGCTTTTGGTTTGTTATAATTCCCAATCATGCTAACCGGTTCACAGGGCTTTGTGTCAGGTCCCATTTTCGGTGGATTCATGGTCGAGAGCATCGGCTGGAGGTGGACAGTCTGGCTGGAAGCCATCCTGGTAAGTGGTGTCATATCTTAGATCCGTCCTACAGCAGCTAATCAATAAAAGGGCGGGGCCATTGCGATTGTATCTATCATATTTCTGCGGGAGACCTACGCCCCTGTCATCCTGCAGCGTCGCGCCATGGAACTGGAGAAAGCCACCGGCCTTCGGTACAAGACCAAATACGACACGGACAAGTCCTTCGGACACATGATGATCCAGTCTCTAAAACGACCGATGTTGTTCCTGGTGCTGTCGCCGAATGTGCTGATCGTATCGCTGTACAGCGCCGTGACATACAGCTACATGTACGTGCTGTTCACGACTTTCACAAGCATCTTCGAAAAGGTGTACAACTTCACCCCGGGCCAAGCCGGCCTCGGCTACCTAGGCCTCGGCCTAGGTTTCATTGTCGGCCAAGTGACCGTTGGCCTATACTCCGACAGCCACCTCAAACGACAAGAGCAGCGCTACGGCAAGATGAAACCCGAGCACCGACTCCCCCCACTAGTCCTAGGCTGCGCTCTCGTTCCCATCGGACTCTTCTGGTACGGCTGGACAGCCGAGTACCACCTCCACTGGATGGTGCCCATCACAGGGACCTTCTTTCTCGGCGCCGGCCTCTACTACGTGCACCTATCCACGCAGGTCTACCTGGTCGATGCGTACCCGCTATACGCCGCCAGCGCCGTGTCAGCGGAGCTGTCGCTGCGGTCTGTATTCGGCGCCATTGTCCCGCTGGCGGGACCGCCGCTGTATGCCAAGCTGGGGCTGGGCTGGGGGAATAGTCTGCTGGGGTTTATTGCGGTGGCGTTCGCGCCGTCGTCGTACTTTCTGCTGCGGTATGGGGAGCGGCTCCGGGTGAATCCGCGCTTCCAGCCGCGGTTTATTCAATGATGTGTTGTTCTTATATTGGGTGGTTTGAGATTATGAGTATGTGCATATCTTTACGAGTATGACTGGAACGGAGTTGGTGGTTTTCAGGTTTTCATATACTTTGTTTTCTTTTATGGATATTGTTTTCATTTCCATTTCCTATCGCATTGAGGATTTGAATGGCGTCCTGTACAGTAACCTAATACCCTACAGAAAACGAGCCCCCTCCCAGAAGAGGGCAAATACAGCATTTGCACCCATTCACGTGGGAAAGAAACCATAAGACATGAATCAGTGGCCGGGTTCCAAGCTCAATCCAAGCAAGTATATCCCCATCCATACGTGGATACATACATACATACATACATACATAGCAAAGGGCGAGACCGTCGATCATTATCTGAACGCAAGACACGTCTCATTCTCGGAGAATATCAAGACGGTTCAGAATCGCGGTAAATGATCCTTCCGCCGGTAGGAGCTTGTTCAGGGTTGGACTAGTTGGCTCGTGCAGATCCATGCATGCATGGGAGGGGGAAGGAGGAAGGTTATTGGAATGGAGCTGACGACGCAGGTGTTTCAGGGGTTTATTCATGTTATTGATTCTATTCATTTCCTCGTTTTTTGTTCTGATTCTCGTTTTTCATTTTTTTCAGTTACACATTCATTTGGTATTTACATGGAAATTCGAATCACACATGCATCACCAGCCACATGAGCGAAATTGCAGATTACACGTGTAAGAAGACAGTATTTGAATAGAGATTATACGCCACAAAGCAATACGATAATGTGCTGCGTCATCAAGCTGGAAAAGAATTCTCTTTGCATTCCAAGTGTGGTTAAATCCAACAGATCAAGGAAATATATCGCTCAACCGAGCAGTGTCCTAGCCCTATCCGATTCTACTTCGGCACGCGGAAAATGCTATACTACCTCTTTTTTTGTAAATTATTCAAGTTTCAATAACTGTATGCAAGCTCTCACGGCATCAGTCATACTCATAGTGACACTATGTGTGTATGCCTTTACCATCTAGTAGAATTATCAAGAGTCTACGTAGTCAGGAAAACACAGACTTGACTAGCAGAGCAAGGCCAAAGTAGCCCATCCATTCATCCTCCACCTTCGAAAAATGGCTGCAATTACGCAGAGTCTATGCCTTCTAGAAAAAATATCTAGCTTCATAACATATACACCCTGGAAGCCAAAATCAAACCTATACTCATCCCTTGCTAGGACATCAGCGAGCACGATGTGTCTACCCATGTATGTACATAGTCCGTAGATGGATCACCTCCACGATATAAAAGTTCTATATTAGAGAGATTATTCTTCCAATAGCTTCTTGAATTGTAATCTTTTGACTAATCCAAAGTCCATTGACATTCCAGTACGAACGCCTATTCTATCAAGGGACAGGGCGTAAACAGAGGTAAACAACAGAGACATGGAATGTAGGGAGGGGGGCGTAGGGTCGCGACATCCACCACAGGGATGGAGTACATCTTTTGCTGGTTGTATCTCTTCTCTTCCTTGATTCTTGGGAGCTGTCCTTCATCCGTTCTTTGTCTTGATGGGTGATAATTGCTGGACTTTGGCGGAGTCAACTTGAGAAAAAGTATGTACGTACTCTTTCTCTATATCCACCCACCCACCCACCGACCTCCTAGAGCTAACAGACATCATAACCAAAGACCAAGACAAAACAACCCACCCAATCCAAGCTCCATTCATCCCCAAGAAAGACAGCCCAAAAAAAGAAGAAAATCAGCAAAAATGAAGCCCACTCTCCCCGTCCTCCTCCTCGCGGCTATAGCCACCGCAGCTCCCATCCCGGTTCGTCTCAAAGCTCCTGATCTACACGGCCTGTCTTTATCTAAGAGACAGCAAGCCAATAGGGGCAGCCAGCTAATGAAGTTTATGCCTCCAGGAGAACATTCCCCGCGCCGAGGGCGAGAACCTCCTCGGCCTGATCGCCAGTATGGGAGGCTTGCATAGCCTGCTTACGGACTCGTTGTCGCTTGGTGGACATCCGCTGAAGGAAATTCTTGGCCAGGATGATGATAAAGGGGAGGGGAAGGGAAAGGGAAAGGAGGGGGCCGAAGAGGCTCCGGCTGCGGAGGCTCCTCCGGCTGCAGAGGGTCAGGAGAAGGGTCAGGAGGGACAGGGCGCTAAGTCTGAAGAGAGTCAAGGAGGAAAAGCCGATCAGGCTTGATCGTGTATCTCTTGGCGGTGATGACATACTGGTCTTCTTCTTCCGCTCCATGCTTGATGTTAGTCAATATGGTCTTATCATTGGTGTCATTCTTTTGTCATTGTCCATCATGTAAGTAATAACCAAATCGTAGTAAGTACATTCATTAATCATTGATTCGTTCCACTGTGGGGTACTCGTAGCAATATTCCGTTTCCAAAAAAAGTCCGCAGGGTCGTGATTTGTCTTGCAAACCACGAGTAAAAAGACAACGTTAATCCTCCATGTCATACCCGTCTTCCATCTCCACCTCGACCCGGGTCCCCAATGCTTGCTTCCCCTCTCGGATCATGGCTTGAAGCTGTTCATTCAGCCGCCGGAGACTGGCGTCTTCCTCGCGCTCCATCCGTCGTCGTCTCGCCATATAACGCTGGGTTTCGACCGACACGGGACTCTCGCGTGGCTTGGCTGGTGATGAAAAGGGCATCTTGCCTGCCGGCTGAGATAGTAGCGTGCGCTTACTTGACTGGGGATGTCGTCGACGGGAATGGTGGCCTGAAGCGTGGTAATTGTGGGCTAGATGAGCGACGGGACGATCGGATCCCGCTGCTGTTCGCCGCCGGAGGGACGGACTGGTGTCATCAGCCTCGGGTGACACCAGGACCCAGTTGCCGTGCAAAGAGGCATCATCGTCATGACCCCATCCACTGCTATACCGCCGGTGTTCACTCGGAAACTCTCCTGGAATGGGAGTCGATTCGAAATGGTGCTTCTCCGTGGCCACCGTCTGGTAGCTGTAACTTGCGTCCACGGCCTCATGCCCGGCTCTCTCTCCGGTTGCCATCGGGTAGCCCGGTCCTCCACCCGCGTAGAACCCTCGGAAGGCGCCTGTCCAGCAGAAGTCCCACACTTTGCCCACAACGTCCATCACCGTCCGACCCCAGGAGCCCGAGACGGGAGACTCGACCGGCGACGGGTAGATGACTTTTTCGGACGGCGATGCGGCGACGATGGCGGCGGAAGACGAGGAAGGGTCGAGCCGACTGCGTTTGCGACCGACATCCGGCAGCGAGTCGACGCTGTCTTCTAGCGAGGCAGACCGTCGCGGCGGGTTTCGATAGCGGCTGGGCCGATAGTCGCCCTCGCCGAGGATGCGACGCTCGTTCTCATCGTCGTCGTCGTGATGGGTATCGTAGTCGGTGGATGGATCACGGAAGCCACCAGGGTAGCCGGGAGGACTAGAGTAATGAGACCTTTTACGGCGAGAAATGGTGCGGTAAAGGGCGGAGGATGCCGAGGGCGTTGGGGGCACCTGGAATAGCTGCGAGGGGGCTGCGGCCCGGTCAAGCTGCGGAGGGATGGGAGTGTCGTCGAGAAGGAGGGTGCCGGGCATATTGGTCCTTTGTCAAGTCATTCGAAAGAGCGAACAGGTTTAACTGGAGAGATGAATAGTGGGGAATACGAAAGAGTGGGGATGACAGGACGCAGCCGTGAGGATCACACCGTAAGCCTGACGAGAAGAAAGAAGTATAGAAGAGAAAGCAGGAGAGAAAAGAAAGAAATGGTTGGGGCTGACCCCGTGATCTTCCCCGTGCCGGTTCTGGATTAGTGTCCAGATGCATCTACAACCAGCCTTACATGATCTTGATCTCTTCATGTCACATTCGATCTATCCTGATGATATGCGGTACTCAGCTTACAGCTGTGACTTCCATGGCACCCCCGCCGCCGCCAGCCCCTCCTCACCATCCACCAACACACACCATCCTTCAAAGCCCCGTCCACCATCACCGGCCACCACCGCCGCAAAGTTCTCTCGGGCGTATTGAATCACTGCATCGTTGAATGTACCCGGCTGCAGCCATACGGCAGGGATGCCGACCGAGTGTGCCTCCTGGAGCAGTGCCAGCGTCACCGCCGGTGGGGTCACCACGGACAGCGAGGTCTGTGTGGGCGAGGGCAGCTTGCTGGGGGAGGCCACTGTCTCGTAGCTCCGCGAGGGGAGATCAATCTGCGCGGCACGAGGATTCAGAGGAGTCACTGGGAGCGAATGCTCATGGTACCAGGCTAGGACTAGACAGAATACTCATTAGAAGTGTCACCGTGGGGTAAGAATGTATGGTACTCACGCTTGTAGCCAAACTTATTGGGATCGTTGCTTGCTCCCGCCACGGCAAAGCGGGGAGAAGAGAAGAAGCGCTTCACAGCATCCATGTTTACAATTTGAGATGAGAGTAATATCACGAGGGTAGGGGTGTTGCAGAAAGATCAGTCTTTGTTTCTCCAACGATGATGAAATTGAACCTCGGTCTGCATCATCTGGCACTGATAAAGCGGCGATAATAATGCGGGGAGATCTCCGGCTTAGGTAATGTGTTATGTAAGCCATCCATCGCGATCGATCGATCAATGGATTAATTCCTGTCCACGATCTATCCCCCCCTTCTATCTTCGTTCTCATCATCTAGATTGCTTCTGTTTAGACACTGTATCGATTATTTCGACCAATCGCTCTCGTATGCCCCCCTTCGTCCCCCGAAAGCGTGTCTCCTCCGAGGATCCGCCAAACGCCAAACGCCGTCATGCGGCCCCTGCCCCGAGCGACGAGAGCAACGGTAACCAGGTCAAGAACGAAGAGAATGACTCCAGCAGCAGTGAATCCGAGTCCAGTAGCTCGGATGAAGTCGACTGGGAAGATGCCATTAACACCATCCCTCCCGCCATAGCTCCCTCCGCACCCATCGAGGATCTCGAATTGACTTTGGACAAGAACGAAGCCCATGTCTCCGACCTCCTGACCGGCAAGAAAGCCCCTTCCAAGATTGAGCGCCAAATTCGCATTCAAACCCATTGTCTCCACGTTGAATTTCTGCTTTACCACAATGCCCTTCGCAATTACTGGGCCAACGACCCCCAAACCCACGACATCCTGCGCCGCAAGCTGCCCCCGGCCATCCAGAAGGAGATCACCAAGTGGCGCATCGCGTCCGGTCTAGAACAGCCTCCCCCGAAACCGTCAGCATCCAAGAAAACAGCAAAAGGCAAACAACGGCGTAAGTCGGAGCGGGATTGGAGCGAGGACGCCGCGCGCATGGAGCCCGGTCAGCCGGATATGAGCCGTGGCGACCCCATCATCCCGTTGCTCCGCGTGCTGACAGCCTACTGGAAGAAACAATTCAAGATCACCGCTCCGGGTCTGCGAAAGCACGGCTACCGACCTATGGCGCAGCTAGAGGCGGAGATTTCCGCTTTCAATAAGGAAGACCCCGATCCCGAAAGGCATGGCGAGAAGATCCAGAATTTGGACGGATTCCGCCAGGCTGCAGAGCGTATGGAGGGGTCTCGGGATCTCGGTGCTCAACTCTTTACCGCACTTCTCCGCGCAATTTCGATAGAGGCGCGACTGGTCGCCAGCCTCCAGCCATTAGGGTTCGGGTGGACCAAAGCGGAAACATATACACCCCCTTCTTCCAAGACGGCCGACACGGCACCGGATGCGACGACAACGGAAACAGGCACAGATGACGTACTAGATCTAGACACCGATAGCAGCGATCTGGATGCCCCACGGGGTAAAGGCCCCGCACCACCTCGATACGATCGGGACCTCCCATTCCCGATCTACTGGGCCGAGGTTGCCTCACCTATCACCCACGAGATCATCCCAGTCGATCCACTCGTGCTCCAGAACCCCGTGGCGAGCACGCCCGAGCTCCAGGCCGCGTTCGAGCCGCGCGGAGCCAAAGCCGAACGGGCCAAGCAGGTGATCGCATACGTGGTAGCCTACGCAGCCGACAAGACAGCCAAGGACGTGACGACGCGGTACCTCCGCCGCCGGACATGGCCCGGCAAGACCAAAGGCTTCCGCATGCCCGTCGAGAAGATCCCCATCCCCGGTCGGAAAGGCAAGTTCTACGAGCTCGACTGGTTCCGCATCAAGCTGCACATCTACCGACGACCCCCACAGGACCGGACAGCCGTCGACGACATCGAAGAAGCCAAGGACCTCGTCCCCAACCAGCCAGAGAAGAAAGCCGCCCCAGTCGGCGACACCCTACAAAGCCTACGGTCATCAGAAGAGTTCATCCTCCCGCGCTTCCTCCGCCGCGAAGAGGCCCTCCGACCCGATGCGCAACCCGTACGCACCTTCACAAGCGGCAAAGGCGCCAAAGCCAAAGAAGAGCCCGCCTATCGACGCGCCGACGTCCTCAAATGCCTCTCCGCCGAAAGCTGGCACAAAGAAGGACGGCAAATCAAACGCGGCGAAACGGCCCTAAAACACGTCCCCATCCGCGCCGTGACCCTCCTCCGCAAGCGCGAAGTCGACGAACTCACGCGCGAGACCGGTCAAAAACCCCAACAGGGCCTCTACGCGCGCCACCAAACAGAATGGATCATCCCACCGCCGATCCGCGATGGCATCATCCCCAAAAACGACTACGGTAACATCGACTGCTTCGTGCCGCGCATGGTCCCCCGCGGCGCAGCCCACGTCCCCTGGCCCGGCACAGTGCGGCTCTGCAAAAAACTCAACATCGACTACGCGGAGGCCGTCACGGGCTTCGAGTTCGGCTCGAAGATGGCTGTCCCTGTTATACAGGGTGTTGTCGTGGCTGCTGAAAACGAGGATCTCCTCAAGGACGCCTGGCGCGCTGACGCTGCTGAAAAGCGCCGCAAGGATCATCTTAAAGCCGAGGCTCGCATTCTGCAAACGTGGCGAAAGTTTCTCTACGGTCTTCGGATCGCTGAGCGCGTTCGCGAGGAGTATGGTCCTTCTGATGATGCTCTCGATCGCGAGCGAGATACTGTCAATCCTTTCGCTAGTAGTAGCCGCTCGCGCCCCGCTCCCCAGGATCCTGAAGATCACGCTAACCACGCCGACCACGGCGGCGGCTTCCTCCTCCCCGGCGAAGAAGAAGACCACGCCAGAAACGACAACGACAACGACCACGGCGGCGGCTTCCTCCTCCCGGGTGAAGACGAAGCAGACAACAACGACAATCACGGCGGCGGCTTCCTCCTCCCCGGCGAGGAAGAAAATGAGGAATCCAACACCGATCCTCTACTCCTAGAGCAGCAGCACCACCACCACCACCCGCCATCTCAATCCGCCCCAAAAGCGGCTAATGAGACAGGAGCGACAGGGATGGACATCTCCGACGATAGCTCGTTGCAGGAAATATCCCCTCCACCGGAGGATATCTCTTCCGAGGTGGATGATATTGATAAGGACGATGACGATGACGATGACGATGACGATGATAATGATGATGATGATGATGGGGAGGTGGAGGTTGAGTCGGAGTATGAGCCTCCTTCTACGCGCAGGCGCACTCGGAGTTCGAGACGGTAGTTGCTTTTTTCTTTCTCTTTTTCTTTCTCTTTCTTGGTGGGGTTATTTACAGGCGTTATATGGTCTTAGTAGGATGGTATTTCAGCGTAATCAGGGTAAACTTAGGAAGGATTGGATGATACCCGGTATATCTTATAACTCGATTGAGCTTAATTAACACGGTTCCTCTACTGAGTAGCTTCTGAGACTTGCAGTCATCTCCCCCGACCCTTTGAAGGCGATCCCACAGCAGCCCACTCCGTCTCCGCCTCTACAGGACTCTCAGTGGCCGGTCCGAGATCCAGATAATCATCAATTGGGTTGAAATGCACCGCCGGCGAAGCCACGGGACTGTGTGCAACGCGCGGCCTCGACTTAAACACACTCGCGTATTCGGGGTGGCCCTCGAAGAGCTCGTCGTGCGGTGTCGATGCGCGGCTATAGTCCGGGGATTGTTTCCGTGGCGTGTCGAATTGGTTCACTGGGAATGAGGCGCGCGGGCGGTGCGATCGGTGGGATTCACGGCGCTCGGGTGCAGGCGGCGAGGGCGTGAAGAGGGACATGGATCTGCGCGTGCGCTCTACGAGAGAGGTATGGCCGGCTCGCGGCCGAGGCTGGGGCTCGGGTGGCTCTCCGTCCTGGGAGACGTGGATGACGGGTGGTTCGTCGTCGACTGGGCTGCATTGTGCGGAACCCTGGTGGTCTGTCTCGGAAATCGTCCCACTGGGGTTGCCCGGCTGGTCGTAGACAGCCAGGCCCGGAGGTGGGGAAGGCGTCGCCTCGGGCGCGGGCTGGGGCTCTGCTTCGCCTAGGAGATCCGGCTCGGGCGATGGTGGTGATTTGTGAGAACTCGGATCCCTCGTCCCGCCAGGTGGAGTGCGTCGCCTCCTGGCATGGGTCGTGCCGTTGATGCGGGCGAGAGCTTCGGTCATGGAAAACAGTAGGGACCGGTCCTCTGCCGTGGGCGACACTCGCTGCAAGGGTTGGCGAACGGCCTTGGAGATACTCGCGACGGTGAGCGTCTGGTGATCGCGGAAGACCAAGGGCTGGTTGGAGGTGCCGTTCGACTGCACACGCCCCTGTCGGTGGATGGAGTGACCATACTGGCGCCAGCGGTGCAGGCGGGCGCGCTGGTGCAAGACCCGCGACTCGAGGTCGACGAGGAGGTCCGGAGTCGAGCTGGTGGTGAGATCCTCGACTGTGGAGGCCCTGGCCTTCGACCAGGCCGCATCGAACGGGAGCTCCAGAAACGCATCGCTACTGCCCTGAGCACCGCCGTCGACCAGGGTGTCGGCCCATTCGGCGCTACCCAGCCAATTGGCCCTCACCTCGCGCGCCAGGGAATCTGTCTCTCCGCTTCGGTCGGGGGCCGGCACCACATTTGTCTTGGTCCGTGCAGTCAACTGATCCTTCTTGCGATCCAGTAGGTGAGCGAACTGGTCATGGGTGCTCCGGATCCGAGCTCGGCGTTCCCCCGCAGACCGCAAGGAGACGCGATGCGCCAGAATGAGGGGTAACAGCCTTTCGTACTCGTCACGGGTCACGCCCTCCGCCATGGATAGACGCAAGGCGACATTGTCATCTCCTGCGCCCGCTAAGGTCTTCCGCAAGACCGCGGTCGAGAACAGCGCCAGCAGCTCGTCGAACTTGTCCCCCTTACAATCATCCAGCATGGATTTTCGGAGGATGGATTCCCGGCCCAGGTCGCCATTCTTCTTCAGGTCGGACAACACACGGAACAGAGCGGCACGCAGGTTCACGGACTGCAACGGTTCAAGAGGCGGAAAGAACGGTCGGAGTTTCTGGCGACGCCGTCAGTCAGTGGTCCGGCATGGCATGGAGGGGCATGGCGTCCACCGTACATCACGCGCGGTCTCGGGGTCCCAGATGGCGACCAGATGATACAGGGCCCACTCGATGGCCTTAATGCGCTGGCGTTGGTTCTGCGACGAGGGCGCCAGGGAGCGCACGGTTATACCAGGCCAGTCATCATGGCAATCCAGTTGGAGGAGCTGCAGGTTGCGAACGAAGACGGCCAGGGATGACTGAGGGGGCCAGTTGGGGGGTTTGGGGCGGGGGGTTCTGGCGGATTGCATGGATGCGATTTCAACGCGAGAGGATAGACGTAGAAATCCACGATCAAGCAGAGATGCCTCCGTAACTCCAGAGAAAGTGGCGGTAAACAAAGAAGTGACGATGGTGGTTGGCCTTAGGCCCATCACAATCGGGGAGATGCAAACAGTGCAAACGCGGAGATAAACACGGATTTCTTTCAATCTTCACTTTTTGGTCTTTGACTTCTCTGTCTTTCTCGGGGTTGTCTTGCCAGTCTTTCAATCTCTTCGTCTCTCGTTCGCAGCATTCTCACATCTGCATTTCAAGCCTGCATTCAATACTTGGTTATCTTACTCTCCATACCCTCTGGTTGACACCCTCCCCAGTCTTCACCACGGTCGATCTCCCCCCACGTGTATACTTCCCCTCTCCCTGTATACTCCTCCACCATGAGCTCCAACTCTACAACCGATAATCCGTCTTGGACCGTCGATTCCGGTGAGTATTCCATACTCCTCGTAAATACGCAAACGAAAAACCATACTAATCATGCAGCCCTCTCCACCCTCCCCCAACCGCTCGAAGAAAACTCCACCTCCCCGATCCCCTTCTTCCACCTCCTCGGACTCCTCAAGACCACCAAGCGCGAAGGATGGCGCCGCTTCGGCATCAACTCGGGTGAATCCGTCTCCGACCACATGTACCGCATGTCCATGATGACGATGCTCGCCCCGCCCAGCCTGGCGGCACGCCTCAACCTGCCCCACTGCATGAAGATGGCCCTGGTCCACGACATGGCGGAGTCCCTGGTCGGCGACATCACGCCCGCCGACGGAGTCGACAAGCCCGAGAAAGCCCGCCGCGAAGCGGACACCATGAACTACATCTCCAACACGTTGCTGGGCGGCGTGCCCGGTGGGATGCTCACGGGCCCGGAGATCCTGAAGGTCTTCCAGGAGTACGAGGACAACGAGACGCTCGAGGCCCAGTTCGTCCACGACGTCGACAAGATGGAGCTGCTGCTGCAGATGGTCGAGTACGAGCATGCCCACGCCATCGATCTCACGGAGTTCTGCCACGTCGCGGCCCGCATCACCCTCCCCGAGACCAAGGAGTGGGCGGCGGCCGTGATGCAGGAGCGGGAGGCGTTCTGGAAGAAGCAGCGGGCGAGCACGGAGACGAATGGAGTTACTCACTCATAATCGGGTGATCCGGGTCTAGCGATACGGCGTTGATGTGTTACGGCTGCATTTCGGGTTTCGTTTTGTGTATGGGTCTGGACTATGACTGGAGATGACAGATCAAAGGAGTACAGCAACAGGTATAGATTCATCAATAAAACAATAAGCAAGCATCGTCTACCGTAATCTCTCTATAAACATCCCACCCCACCCCCACCACAATAAAGAAATCTAATCAACAGGCTCCCCCTCCATCTCCCTCGCCAACCTCGCGGCCTCATCCTCCATCTCCTCCATTTCCCTAGGCGTCCTCTCCCCATCATCAACAGCCGGAAACCTGGACCTCCTCCTCTCCTCCGTCCCATCATCCCTCAACACCCCAAACGCCCTCCTCAAATCGCCCTCATCCCCATCCAAAAGCTCATACACCGCATCCGTAGTCGGCAAATCCAGCCGTCTCCGGGGAATAACATGCGCATGCACATGCGGCACGCTCTGCCCCGCATCCGCCCCATCCTGCACCGCAACGTTCAGGCTCGACGCATCGTACACCCGCTCGATCATGCGGCCGACGCGCCGCACGGTCTGGAACAGGTCGGAGGTTTCGGCGGGGGTGAGGTCGTGGATGCGGGGGACGACGCGGCGCGGGGAGACGAGGACGTGGCCGGGGAGGATGGGTTTGAGGTTTACGAGGGCGATGGTTAGGGCTGTTTGGTAGAAGACCTATTCATTCAGAGAGAACGACTTTAGTCAGTTTTCATTGTTTACTGTTGTTTTTGTTTCTTTCTTTTTCTTGTAGTGTTCTGCGTTTCTCTAGGTCGAGTATAGGGAGAGGAGAGGAGAGGAGAGGAGGGCTCACCTGTGATGTCACCACAAACGGCCCAAAGTGGATGGGGGCGCCTTTGGGAGCAGGAATCATGTTGTCGGTGGACATGTATTTCTTTTTTCTCTTGTTTTTTTTTTTTTGTTCTTTTCTTTTAAATGATTTGTTTATCGCTCTATTCTTTATAGTAGTCGGAGTAAATGTCTAAACTTAATGGCTCATTGTATATGACAGAACATGCCATGCAGATAAAGGCGGAAGCGCAGGCGGTCAGGAAACATTGATAAATTGTAAGACTCTACGGGAGTTACATCAATCAATACATACTCAGTAGGTCAGGTTGTATACACTCCAGTCTCTTAGGGTATCTCATTGATCACCTCAATCCTCAATCTCCATCCTCCTCAAACAAGCAATCATATATTACATGCAACCTCAAATTAAACATCACATAACAAACATTCAACTCATCAGTGCAATGCAGGTATTAAATTTCGTAGCTGTATGGATCGTCGTCCACAGAATGATACTAGTATCATCTTGTCGGTTCTTCAAGCAGACTTATGCCTCCTTTGCCGGTTCGGGCTCCGGCTGGGGCTCGGAGGTAGATTTGGTCTCGGGTTCGGATACAGGTTTGATTTTAGGCGAACCTTTGGGCGAATTTTCAGGCGTGACTTCATTCTTAACTTCGGGCGAAACCTCTGGTGAAACTTCAGGCGTCACTTCAGGAGTGACTTCTGGTGTAGCTTCAGGAGTACCCTCGGAGGTATTTTCAAGCGTAACTTCAGGCTTAGCTTCGGTTTCAGGCGTAGATTCGGGCGCAGATTTGGGCGCAGACTCAGATTCAGGCGCAGATTCAGGCGCAGATTCAGGCGCAGATTCAGGCGCAAACTCGGTCTCCGGTGTGGCGTCCGAGTCGGTCAGCTTTGAGTCGGTCGGCTTCAAGTCGGTCTGCTTCGGTTCGGACGGCGGCTCTGACTCCGTCACTGGAGCTTCAGACGGCAGATTCGTCTCTGCGGTACCCTCCGGCTGTTCTGGCTTCGTCTTTGGAGCGTCCTCCGTGTGTTCTGCAGCCGGCTGCGTTGGTTCCGCCTGTGTTTCCTGCGGCGACTCGGTGTCGGCCGGCTTCTCACCCTCTGGAACCGCTTCCTCCACGAGGACCTCCGCCACAGTGATCTGGGCACCCTCGGGCTCCGACGCCGTGGATTCCGCCGGTTCTGAGGTCTCCTCAACAGCTGCGGCGGGGGCGGGGGATTCGCTGCTCTGAGGAGCTGGCTCCTGCGGAGCAGATGGTCGCTGTGGCACGTCTTCGTCTTCGGCGCTCTCGCTGATGGTGGTGACGCGGGAGTTGATGGACGGGCTGTTCTTGTGTCGACGCGTGGTAGCCCCCGTGCTGATCGACGAGTTCTCTATATTCTCAAGCGACCCCGAGAACGACCCCTCGGGCTCCTTGCGCAGGATCGTGATGCGACGCGCATCCGGCTGCTCCTGCGCCGGGTGGGGCTTGGCCGGGTCGATGCCCTCAGCCTCCGGGGGCACGGTGTAATTGTCCTCGGGTATGAGCGCATACATGTCGCAGACGGTCTTGAAGAAGATGTACAGCCCGTCGTGGCCCTCGACCTGCCAGAACACTTCGCGATGCTGGAACCACGCGTGCGCAAAGATGCGATACAGGCGTCGGAAGATGTTGGTCAGGTGGCGCATGGCCTGGGGCCCACTACCGGCTTCAGGCCCGCCCAGCGCCAGCCGGCTAGGAAACAGCCGAGTCGAGGTAAGAATGTTGGTCGCCCAGTCGAGTGTGTGGCAGCAGTAGTCGATGGCGCAGCAGGATTTGGGAGGGTCGTGCACGGCGCACAGGTACTGCCATTCCGACGCGCGCATCTCCGGGCACGTCTGCGACGAACAGGGCGGGTCTTCGGCGAAGAACGCGGTGACCAAGTTGTTCACCTTCATTGTTAGGAATCGACACAGCTCGTAGAGCCAGAGCGACCGGTCGACGCCCTCGGGCGGCTCCGCCAGCTTCGCGGCGACCTGCCGCGTGATCGGGACTACCGTGTCGGAACCTTCGGGCCGGGTGTAATGGTTGTAAAGCGCTTTGAGGTGTTCTTGCAGTTGAAAGGGGGAGTCCAGCTGGATAGCAACATTGTTGGTCAGTGGATGTGACGGGACGGATGATTTGGAAGTATGGACAAACCTGCGAAAGGGGAATCAGCGGAGGACCGGCCGCCATGTCCACGGCCTTTGTCCCCGGTCGAATCCGCCGTTCATCAGCCGGCGATACACCTAGTAATTCCTCTGCATCTTTCCCAAGCGTGTCGCCGATCAACGGCGACTTGGGGCCAATCTGAACCTCGGTGAAGGGCGGAGGGCTGGGGAGGCGCGGCGAACTGGGATGAGAGACTCCCGCAGCGGTCATGCTGAGCAAACAAGGGAGATGAGAGAACGAGGGACGGGGGGTAAGAAAACGAGGGTCCAATTGGGGGAGACGAGGGTGTCTTGCAAGGAGAGGGAAAGAGAGAGATAAGGCAAAAGGAGAAGCCGAATCAGCAAACTAAGGAATGGATGATGATGCATCCTCATTCCTTTCTCCATCACGGCGGAGCTCGAGTCCTGCCGCGCTAGCCTGTTCGGGTTAGATCAGCCAGGCACCAGACATGCATAAGGCATTTCAGGCACTTAGGCACTAACATCCTTGAGGCATTAAATCCAGGCATAACATGTTCAGGCACCAAGGCATCAGGAATGCCATGACTATCGATGCCCTAAACCCTACAGCCTGAGGCATATATCTCCGCTCTGTAACGTCATCTCCATGCATCCAATCATACATTCATCCGCCGATCTCGATCGTCTTGATCAAGCTCCCACCTGCCAAAGGAACTAAATGAACATGGACGACGAAGAGGCACCCCCCGACCTGATCGATGTGTCGCTGCTCCCGGACTCGGAGAAACCATTCGTGTCCACGACGATCCAGGACACGCCGGTACAGGACCGCGTCCCGATCACGCTGGTAACGGGTATGGTCATCCTGTAGAGCTTGATTCTACAAGTATATATAGACCTATATTGTTCGTATTGCTTACGCATGTGTGCGGATGGTAGGATACCTGGGTGCGGGCAAGACCACGCTGCTGAACTATATTCTCACGGAGAAGCATGGCAAGAAGATTGCTGTGATTATGAACGGTTGGTCTGCCGCCGCTGTATATGTGAACAACGTTGACACTCACTAACATGGACATGGTAGAGTTCGGAGACTGCAAGTTCCTCTCCATCGTGGCAGGCACAAAACCCAACTAACCAACCCAGCAACCGACATCGAAAAGCCCCTAACCGTCAACAAAGACGGCCAAGAAGTCACCGAATGGATGGAAGTCGGCAACGGCTGCATCTGCTGCTCAGTCAAGTAAACCCATCCCCTCCCATAAAGCAAAATACAAACCAAAAGACACAAGACTAACCAAACCAGAGACTCCGGTGTCATGGCCATCGAATCCCTCATGGACCGCCGCGGCACCTTCGACTACATCCTGCTAGAAACAACCGGCCTCGCCGATCCAGGCAACCTAGCCCCCGTCTTCTGGGTCGACGACAACCTAGGCAGCTCGATCTACCTCGACGGGATCGTCACGCTCGTCGACGCAAAGAACATCCTTCGCCTGCTTGACGAGCCATCCCCCGAAGAAACCGTCTCGCAGCACGAGCCTGAATCCGAGCACGGCCACAGCCACTCCGGCCCCGTTCTCTCCATGGCGCACATGCAAATCTCCCACGCGGACGTCGTTGTCCTCAACAAAGCGGATCTCGTCTCTGATGCAGAGCTAGAGCGCGTGCGCGCCCGCGTAAGCGCTATCAACAGCGCCGCCAAAATCCACGTCACCGACCACGGCAAGACGCCGCAGATTGAGGGCGTCGTGTTGGATCTGCACGCTTACGACAACGTGACCGATCTGGATTTTGCAAACAAGGGACATAGTCATATTGATCCTGTACCAAACCCCCCTCCCCCTTCTCTTCCCTTCAAACATATATAAATATATGTATGCGTGTATGTATAATAATAACAACAAACAGGCAATCTCAACCCTCTCCCTAACACACCCCCCAATCACCCCCGCCCAAATCCCCCTCGTCGACGCCTGGCTCCGCTCTGTCCTGTGGGACTCGAAGCTCCCATCTTCACCAACCGGCAATAGCCTCACCACCACCAATGAATACAAAGAACTAGACTTCGAGATCCACCGCTTAAAAGGCATCCTGGTCCTAACGGACGGAACGACGAAGATCATCCAGGCTGTGCGGGAGGTATTCGAGATCCGGGATGGTAGGGCTGCTGCTGCGAGGGACGCGGAGGAAGGAGAAGGGGGGCCGACGGAGTGTAAGATTGTGCTTATTGGGAGGGGGTTGGGGGATGGAGGGGTTTGGGAGCGGAGTTTTAGGGAGTTTCTGGGGAGGGCATTAGTATAGTAGGTTAGGGCTGGATGTCTATATGTTGATGTGGGGAGGTGCTGTGAGAGGGGACAGTCATACGTACATAGATAGATAGGTGTATACGTCTACTTCCTGTGTGCTAGGTCAAGAAACTCACTTACAGTCCATAAAGATATGTAATGAATATAAATCAATAAATACAGCCCAAAACGAAGAAGAAGGTAATATCGACATTGATCAATGTACACGAGCATGAGGCTATCCAACGAAATCATAAGCTAAAAAATCCAAAAATCCATCCATCCAGTTCGTATGTCGTAATTGTCGTAAGCCTGTCCGATCACATCGGGTAGTGTGTGATCTGATCTCTCATCGGCGAGTTGCCGATGATAGAGGGTGTGATGCACACTTTCCTTTTTCTTTTTCTTTGTTAATGTGGTTTTCTCTCTTAAATTCAACCCATAACAAAGGAAAACGAGGAAATATCAAATTTTCAAATGAGAAAAAAAAAAGAAAACATCCACAATCAACTCCAATTCGCCATCCTCTCGCTGAGTCACGAATGCAAGCACTTCGGCAGATAGGTATCATATCAGTACAGCGTTCAAAGAACCGAATCGAAAAGCTCTCAAAGGGTATCGCGCATTGGCAGGACTCGCCAAAACAAAATCATGGGCAAACGCAATGGGCATCGCATGCTGGGCGCTTTCTTTCGTCTGTCGTGAGAGAATGACCCCACCGGTGTCATAAGGGTGTCAGCACCTTGTCGGCGAAGGATGGGTTGATGGGGAGGTGGGAGTCGTTGAGGAATGGCGTGTCTTGCAGTATTTGACGCGGGTAGCATAGTGCTGAGCGGATGGTTGAAGGTGGGAATCTTTCTGGGCCGGGCTCAAGGAATCTCGATTCCTTGAGGGACAAGGCTGGGTTGATGGGAAGGTGCGAGTCGTTTAGAAAGGGCGTGTCTTGGAGGATTTGTCGGGAGTAGCCCAGTGCGGAGCGGATGGTTAAGGGTGAAAACTTGTCTACGCCGGTTTCGACGAACTTTTGCTCTGACAGAGGGAGAGCAGGGTTGATGGGGAGGATGGAATGTAATAACGACGTCACGGAACGCGAAGGGGCCGACCAGTCGTCTAATGTATGCCCCAAGTCTGTCACCGGGGCGGGATACGGAGCGCTGGACTGCGTCGCCGCCGTTGAGGCCGCTGATCCGTCGGACTGGGCAGAATCCGGCAGGAATTCAAAGGCAGAATCTCGTCGCAGACAAGGATGGCTACCCACTCCCACGAGGTCTCCGGAGGAATTGGCCGGATAGCCTAACGAATCAGATCTATCTGCGGAGGGCTTGCGATGGGAGACCATATCAGTGTCCAGGTCGATGCTATCAACCTCCACATTGTCTCGCCGAACCACGTCCGAAGGTCCTTGGCTGTCCCGGTCGACGTTGATGATATCTGTACCCGCCATGGGCACCGGTTGACTGCTCTCTCCCCAGTATTGTTGCCACCCTGAGGGGAAAGGGTCCAGCTCGTAGGAACTGCTGTCGTTGCGGTCATCCCTGACCCTCTCAATGTCCGCTGGTGGGCGCGACGGTGACTCCTCATCCGGGAGTGAGACCATTCGGCCTCGCCCACGGGCGAAAGATGCTGGGCGGAGCGAATACTCGCGATCCAGAGGTACTGATGTGGAACCGTCTACTGGTCCGGGCCGTGGGCCTAAGAATCCTACCGGATTCCCAAGGGTACGAGGGTTATACAATGGTAAAACGCCGCTATGCAGACCAACACCGGGACGTGGGTGCGGGGCGGGGATCGGAAATAAGGGCAGATCCCCCGCCATCAGTTCGCGGGGGAAGAAGGCGAGAAGGTCCTTGGCCGACAGCCGATGGCGGGGCGTCGGGCTGAGGCAGATTGCCACGATGCGGCGGTAATAATCCGGGATGGGCAGGTCCCCATCCAGCATCAGAGGTCGCGGTTGTCGTTCGGGCTCATCCTCTTCCATCGCAAGTGCCCACAGCGTCATCCCGAGCTGAAACAGATCGGTCTTGACCCCGATGTACATCGAAATGCGCTGGTTGCTCTCGATTTTCACGGCGATTTCGGGGGGTTCCCAGCCCACAGGACAGCCCCGTCGGTTGATATCAATGATCTTGGCGTCGTCGTTGGCGTCCACCACAATGTTCGAGAGGGTGAAGTCTCCCTGCACATACCCCGCCTCGTGGATTTCGCAGAGTCCCTGGACAATCTGCCGGGCCCATCGCTCGCGGCGTTCCCACGCGATCGTTCCCCGGTCCTCGTACAGGATGTCGACCAACGCCCCCTTCTCGGCGTACCCGATTAGCAGACCCTTCACCACTTCTTGCCGATCGTCGACCACGATCGCCTCCACCTGCACCACACTCGGAACCCCCTGCAAGGCGTGGAGCGCGTTGATCTCGTAAAGGAATTCGTCCACCGTGTCGGGCCCGGGAATCTCTTTCTTGATGTAGGATTTGCCGTCCATCTGCACATTGTAGACAAAACCCGATAGATGGGCGTCAAAATGCAGTTCGCGCTCGCGGACCATTCGGGCGGTCGGGAGGTGTCCGATGCAAGACACGGGGGGGTACGGGATAATCTCGTTGACGTCCTCGGTGACGTGGACATGGAGGCGGCCATCGCGCGTCTCCAACTTCAGGTTGGTCACGGTGTCGTAGAACTGGATCTCGGCGAGGGACTCGCGGATCGACTCGTAGATCCGGCCGCATTTGTCACGCTGGTAGCGCAGCTCCTTCAAATCCTGCTCGAGGGAGTCGGGCGTGGCGTTGCGGTAGTCGCAGGATATGGTGACGCGGCGCCAGCGGGTTGAGGTTTCGGCGTAGGTGACGAAGAATTTCTCGCGTTCGGAGCGATCCCGAAAGTGCATACTCAGGTTCAGGATCCAGCGTTTCTCCAGCTCCATCTCGATGATGTCGTCCGGGGGGTCCTCGGGTAGATCCGTCACGTCGGGGTAGGGGTTCCATTCAGAACGGAGGTCGCTGTCCTCATTCGTCTCCGTGGTTTCCTCAACCGTGGTTTCGTGCAGCTCGCCGCACCACTGCACTTCGGGAGCGGACAATCTGGGATCCACCGAGGCTTGTGGAGACCGCGTCCGCTGGGCGCTGAGCGTCCGATGGGTGCGACGGTCCGCGGAGACGGCGCGGCGGGGCGAGGGTTCCAAGGGGGCCAGATTCTCTCGCCGTTCGGAGCCCTGTCGCTTGAAGGTGGTGGCTCGTGGCAGACCGACTCCCACTTTCCGAGACAGTCGGCGGCCGAGGTTGCCGTGGGGTTTCGGAGGGTGGGTGGGGACGGCGGTCCCGAGGGGCGGGGGCTGGGGAGGATCTCGATCATCGCGGCCCAGCCATTTGCGTAGGCCTAGGCGATGCCACATGCTCTGCTTGGGGCGCGGGAGGTCGATTTTTTCCGGGTCTAGCAGACCCTCGAACCTCGTCGGGCTACAGGAATCGTCTGCTATGGAGACGTCCATCCGGGATGACGGGGAAGGGGAATGGAACGAGGAGGAAAGAGGGACCAGACACTCCGGGAGTAGGAACGTCGGTGTCCATAAGATTGACCGAGTTCCCT